ATACAGCGTTTCGCATCTGTCAGAACAAAACCTCATATCTTCAAAATGGTAACTTTACAGGAGAAGGAAAAAACCTACTTTACTTTTAATGTAAGTCAATAGAACCAGACTTTTTTCCAAGGGCCGTTACTTTTGGTCCATTCACCATGAACTTTACATACAATGTAAAGGGCAACAAACATCAAATTATGTCAAAAACTGAAAAACTCAAAAATGGAGATTTTGTTCTGACAGCAGTGATATTCTTCAAGTGTACTATACCAAACAAGCTGGTGTAAAATGTTGTAAATCATTAAATATATTCCCCTTAAGGATCATGAACATGATGTGCTGTTAGTTGGACACTTCCAGCTCCAGTTTCCTTTGAAAATAACAAAAAATAATGAGCGAATGATTCTCTCCTACCTGTTTCTCAGTTGTTGGTGAAGCAGATACAAAATGAAAGAACACAGAAGGTAGCTCCTCTTTGACCTTGTGTTATTTTTTTTATGGAAAAAAACCTCAAAAAAACTCAAACTCAAAACTCTGACTCTGTATGAGCACTGAGCACTTCTTTGGTATTAAACTCAAGCAGAGCAAAATGTGAGCATTTTCAGAAAGTTGTTTCAGAAAGGCTTCCAGTTTTAATAAAACAATAGTAAGATTAGAAAATCATGGGCCAAAGCTGTTGTTCTTCCATTCCACTGAATAGTCACGAACTGCAGCGGAGTTGCATCATTATGCTGTGAAGTATATAGATAAATATAATCCTGATCAGCTTAACAATGGAGACACAAGAAAGACAGGGAACGAGAGAAATGAGCAGTTTCTGAAAGTCAACTTGGGTGTTTCTTAGGAGGAACATCTGTCCTAAATGAAAGCTCATTTCGGTAATGTGGAAAATATTCAGTTGTCATTATATACAGATACTAAGAACTAAAAAAAGGATTTCTTCCAGCATCGTTAAACAACAGCTTCACTGCAACTGTGTCTTCACTGACACCATCCTTTTTGCTGGGTGTACGTCTGAAAAATTTCAGAATTTTTGGAAACAGAACTTTTCTTTAGATTTTGAACTCTGAACAGATTCAGGAACTGTTGTTAAAGATCCACTGCTGTGGGCTGAGACACTGGTATGTGCTGATCCATAAACAGAATTAGAGTCAGGTCCTGATCGAGATCTGAATGAGCCATACGCAGAACTTCCCAGAGACCAGGTATCTGACCTCTCCTCTCTGCTCACTGGAAAGAGCAATAAAGAAAACAGAGAATGAAAACTTGTATCATGAGTTTTAGTTTCTGAGATAGTATGGATCATTTATTAAATAAATTCAAATGTAAACATATATTTGAGCATGGCAAGTCACCAAATTTCACCCGAGTATGAAGTGGCAAATTGTGCTTTACCATATTCAAAAATAACATAATTTCAGCTATATTATATAGCATCAGTTTCCAAATAAATTGCATTTTATTTCATATGATGTTTCATGTTGCACTTTACTCTATAAGCCTTTATGAAGCACATTAAAACATAGCGCAGCAGTCAAAGGGACTATATGTAGCCATGATGGGAGAGAGCAGCTCCTTCCTTCTGCTGAGACATGGCTGGGAAATTGTGCTAAACCAAATTCAAAAATACATAATTTCAGCTACACTTTATAGCCAAAGGTACGTGGACACAACTTGGTCCTAACTATTGAGTTCAGGTGTTTCAGCCACACCCATTGCAGGTGTATGAAAACAAACATATAGCCATGCAATCTCTATAGACTGTCAACATAGATGCCAACTTTGCCACAAGTAGGTTCATGAAATTCCAACTGTGAGTGCTAATATTGTGAAATGGAAGCTTCTAGGAACAACAACTCAGCCAGGGAGCAGCAGACCACACAAACTCACAGAGCAGGGTGCTGAGTGCTGAAGTGTGTAGTATGTAAAATCCTCTGTGGCATCACTCACTACAGAGAGTGTGAGCCAAACCCTCTCGTCCAACATCAGTGCCTGACCTCACAAATGCTCTTTTGAAAGAATGGGCACAGACACACTCCAAAACCTTGTAGAAAGTTCTCCTGAGAAGAGTGGAGGCTGCTATAGCTGCAGGGGGTTGGGGGAAACTTCATTTTAATGCCCATAATTTGAAATAGGATGTCCAACAAGCGCATACAAACTTACTTAAGTGTGATGGTCAGGTATCCACTTACTTTTGGCCATATAGTGGTTTTGAGTAATCAGTTAATATACTGGGTCCTATTGAGAAATAGAAAGCTAGAAAACATTCACCTAACCTCCACTTTACTTCAAAACAAATGTTGGGACATTAATCCAAAGGCATATGTTTAAAGCAGAAATCTTCAATGCTATACTTGGAAAGTCACAATCCAATACAACAGACTCAGTTTCATTAACATTCTAAAAGACATTGCTTTGGATATTGAATATTGAGTCAAACTGTCAAATATCTGAGTCTCTTGGTAATTCATTCTGGTAACAAAATGTCTACAGATACACTGTAAATTCCAAAATCATGAGTAGAAATGTATTGAAATCTTGAGAGAACACAAAGTGTTTAAAATCCACAACATTCTGACCATCTAAAACAGAAACTCCAACAAGCCTGGGTTTGAGTTTTGCAGACTCATGCACTGCACGCCTAGAAGACTTTAAACTGTGCTCCAAAAGCTAAATACTGACCTAATAAAGGACAGAGATTGTCCAACTGATTTTTCAGTACTTTTATTTACCTTGTGTAAGTTTTCAGTTCATTACTGGGGTCATTTTAAGTTTCAGTTATCAAATGTGGTCGTTATTGCTGGTTGTTATAACTTTTCAAATGGATACAAAAGATAAATTGTAACTTTAGCTTGAAAAGTAATAAATGAGCAACATGTGAACTGTATTCACAGTGTCCTAGGACTACTTTTGAGCAATGTATATTGACACCTTTTATAGCATATAATTTATAGGGTAAAAACAGTAAAAAAATAAATAAATAAAGTAAGAAAAAATTTCATAAGAGGAAAAAAGGAATGATCTAATAAAATACCTGAAATGTGTTGGTTGGAAAATTGGTCGAATAGATTACACAAGCCATTTGCTAAACCAGAAGCTTTCTATTCAAAATGAACTCTTCGCTTTTCAAAAGAATAATTTTTTTATTAAATGAAAAAAATATAACGCCAGTTTAAAAATGTAAATCTGTAATACTCACTGGAAGGTGGTAATCTCATGCTATCAGACCTTTCCAAGTTCAAAGACTCAGGAATGGATGTAATAGAACCAAATCCGGAGCTGTGAGATGAGTCTTTGGAACGTGTCGATGCAAAAACATCTCCTAATCGTGATCTGAATGATCCTCCCACAGAAGATTTATCTGAGCTCTTCTCTCTACTCACTGTAAAGAATGAGGAAAAGAACATGGTTCAGTTTTCACTCTCTGGCCTTTAGTCATTTGTTATTTAATTACTTGGTGCAAAATTATCCAGTCTCTTAGTTTCACCAACTAAGGAATAGACTGACAAATGTTGGCATATATTTAGTTGATATGTTCTGGTTGTGGTGAAGATAAGTGACAGCGCTGGCGCAGTTTCTCATATTGAAAATAACTGCAGTTGTTGTGCACCATGTGGAGTCCTCATCTTGGGCGACTGCACTATGAACCATTTTCACTCTGTTCTGACTGCTCTGAAGCTTTCTTTTTCTACTCATTCCTCCTCTATAACCTTGTATCTTTTTCAAGATTTTAAAATTTTACTTAAAATGTATGTAAAAAAAAATAAAGTAATAATAACAAATATGTTGTACTCACTGGAAGGTGGTAATCTCATGCTATCAGACCTTTCCAAGCACAGAGATTCAGGAATTGATCTTAAAGATCCAAATCCAGAGCTGTGAGATGAGTCTTTGGAACGTGTTGATGCATAAAAATCTCCTGTTCGTGATCTGAATGATCCTCCCACAGAAGATGTATCTGAGCTCTCCTCTATATTCACTGTGAAAAGAGAATGATGAATTGAAATGCCATTGTTCTATGTGATGAAGGCCTGAGAAGGCTGCAATGCAGCGGCACATTTTTATACTCATTGCCATGTTTCAGTAAAGGCTTTTAATACTTTTTCTAAGGTGTGCCTGGGATTTCTTTGCTCTGAGATTTATTTTGCACGTGCCCTGTGGATGCCGACTGGATACTTTTTTGGGTTTTTTGCCTCTACCAGCATGGAACCATTTCTTTTGTGAGCTTTTAGGTTTGTCTTTTAGTTCGCAAAGTTTTGTAAGTATATTTGTCACTACAATTCTTGTTTTGTTTAGTTTTGTTGTTTTCTTAGTTTTCAAACCTCTTTTTCCTTATGCATCGTTCACAGTTTCCAATTGACATCTCAATAAGATACTACAGGCTTAAATTTACAAATATGATATTTCATATTTTGGTATAAAATCTTTTTACATGGTATTCTACTCAATCATGTTGTCATGTCGGCCATCAGAGCTTAAAATGGTTTACTGTGGTAACTCACACATACACAGTTTTTTTCCTATATTTACATGGTCTCCACTAATGTTTTAGATCTCAGTGTGCTAAGGACACTTTGCATGACTCACTTTCATACCAATTTCATCTGCCTCATACTATATGTTTCTGTGTATCTACTCCACTCTTTTTAAACTGAGCTTTAAGTCTAGTGTTAGACTGTTCTATAGTTATTGAACTGTAAGTTGGAGTTTTACTGTATTTATTTGTGTGTATTGTGTGTGCATTGTGTGTACTCTATGTCTTGTTTACTTGTACTCTGTTGTTCTGTAAACATAGGCCCTGCGTATATGCTGAACCAAGCCTCTGGAGGAATGTGTTGGGATGAAAATAAATTATTTTTAATATTTATGAAATCTTCAGTAATCACCAAGATTACTGACTTTAGCCATTACTTTACGTCTTGAACTATTTTATGTCTGTCACGCTTCCCGGTTCTCAGACGGACTATCATTCCATTGCAGACTTCTCAGAATCATGTGACTCCACTAACCATCATCGAGCCCATGGGGTTCTCTGTGCACCGTGCAGACAGAACAAAAGACCTCTCCAGGACGATTGAACGGGGAGGTGTATGTTTTATGATGAACAGTGCTTGGTGTGATCAGGAGGAATGTACACTTCATCAAGTCTTTCTGCTCCCTGGACTTGGAATATCTAATCATCTCTTGCAGGCTACCAAGAGAGATTTCAAGGGCCATTGTTACCGCTTGTACATTCCACCACATGCTCATACAGACCTTTTCACTCAGGAAAATGTACAAGGCTATTAACAAGCAGGAGACCATGTGCTGGAGGCTGCCTCCATTGTTGTTGGGGACTTTAGGGAAGTTGCCCCAAAGTGCTTCCAACATATCTCATGCAGTACACAAAAGTCACACACGCTGGACCGCTGCTGCTCCCCTTTCCGTGAGGCGTACGAAGCCCCCAACCTCCGTTTAGCAAATCGGATCATCTCTCCATTCTGCTCCTGCCCACCCATAGGCAGAAGCTGAAAAGGGTACCACCCACCATCAGAGAGGTCTGCTGCTGGTCGGACCAATCAGACTCTGCACTCCAGGAATGTTTGGATGACGCAGACTGATCAGAGACTTTATCTTCTCCTAACTACATGCCACTCTGGACCCACTGCAGCTTACAGACAGAACAGAGCCACTGATGACGCAATAGCCCTGATTCTACACACTGCCCTCTCCCATTCAACACCATCATGCCCTCAAGGCTTGACATAAAGCTTTGGGATCTGGGTTTGATCTGGGTTTCTCTGTGCAGATGGATCCTGAACTTCCTGACGGGCCGACGCCAGGTGGTAAAGATGGGCAACATCACGTCCTCCTCACTGACCCTTAACACAGGAGCTCCTCAGGGCTGTGTGCTTAGCCCTTTCTTGCGCTCCCTGTACACCCATGACTGTTCAGCCAGACACAGCTCCAATGTCATCATTAAATTTGCAGACGGCACCACAATTGTGGGCCTGATCTCCAATGACAACGAGGAGGTCTACAGAGAGGAGGTCAGCTTCCTGACACAGTGGTGCCAGGAGGACAATCTCTCTCAATGTCAACAAGACCAAGAAGCTCATAGTGGACTTCAGGAAGCAAGAGAAAGTGCACACAAACATCACCATCAATGGAGCCATTGAAAAGAGGGTCAGCAGCTTCAAGTTCCTTTGTGTTCACATCTCAGAGGAACTGACGTGGACCGACCACACCACACGGGTGCAGAAGAAGGCACAGCAGCGCCTCTTCTACATCAGGCGACTGAGGAGGTTTGATGTGAACCCCCACATCCTTGGGACGTTTTACACATGTACTGTGGAGAGCGTTCTAACAGGCTCCATCACGACCTTGTATGGAAACTGCACTGCCATTGAGCGGAAAGCTCTGCAGAAGGTGGTGCGGACAGCCCAGCACATCACCGGGGTCCAGCTTCCAAACCTCCTGGACTTATACACCAGCTGCTGCCTGACCAGGAGGACTCCACCCACCCAAGCCACTGTTTCTTCTCACAGCTGCCAAGTGCGAGACGATACAGAAGCATAAAGTCCAGAACCAGCAGGTTCTGAGACAGTTTCTTCCCCCCGGACCATCAGGCTGCTGAACAGCCAGTAGTGCTGGTGTATCGGTCTATAGGCCTGTTACTACACCTCTGAGTCATCATCATGATGATCTTCATGGACAATCTACACTGCATCCACATCTCAACAGACTTATTTTGATCGTACTGTACCTTAAGTCCAGTCTCAAATCTATGCTTACACATATAGATGGTCATCTTGCACATCTACTCTTATTTTGCATAATCTGGATATGTATATATATATATCTATATATATATATATATATATATATATATATATATATATCTGTATTCTATCCCCTGTATACCCTGCATCTCATTTATCTACCTCAGACTCACAAATTGCATACATGGTAATGTGTAAAACTGTACATATCATAGCTTTTCATTTCATAACTTATATTACTGTGCATTGGAAATAATGCAATAGTGGTGTATATTAATGCCTATATTGTGTGTATGTGTATATATTTAGAGTGTGTAAATATATTTTTTCTTATATTTTTTGTATTTAAGTTCTACAAGGGCACTACACACCTAAGCTTTTCATTGAGTGTACTTTGTACACAATGTACAACGCATGTCTAGGTAAATAACTTTCCAACGTTAACTAGCTCATTTTAATGGGTACATAATCTGTGTCCTCATCAATCACAATGCTGATGTGGGTCATCCCACCCACACAGCTTTAGCAAAACTCTGTCCTTTCTCTCTGTTTAAGCTGAAGAAACATCCTGAGAGGAAGCTGATGATGAGCACACAGTAACCTAGCAAGCGTTACTGAGATAGCAAGGACATCCTTTCATCTGATCGTTTGGTCAACCTAACAGCATTCCCTGGATGCAGCAGTAAAGTAAATAAAAACCTTCTCAGCCTTTTAAGATGTCACCATATAAAAGCAGGATCATGTTTTAGTGAACTGCAGTCAGAGTGGGGTTCTACAACACCACCTACATACGTAAAGCGGTTTCTGTTATTTCTCTCTGCTTAAAGTGTTGTTTCATACCAATATTTTTAACAACGTACACTGTAAACATGTTCTGTTACACTTATTTTCCATGCTGTTTTATTTGTTTTATTATGTTGCATTTTCTCTTCTCTTAAAAGCAAAGACATTTACGGAACATTTTATGTAACAGTGTTTGTCCCTGTATTGTCCCTGTCAAAAAAATGAATATACAAACACAATGACCCCATAAGTTGGCAGCAACTCCATTTTTATCGCAGAGTGGTGGATTAAGGACATCAAATCCCAGCAGCAATGACCAAACATCTAGTGCAGAGGTTCACAATCCCAGTCCTCGTGAACCAACATCATGCACCTCTTTGTGCTTTGTCTCATCCAGCTCACCTGACTCAATTCAGCAATTAAGCAATTAACAAGCTCCTCCTTGGCTGAGGCAGGTGTGTGGAGTAGGGAAAACACACACATGTGCAGTGCACAGGGTCACCAGTGCAAAAACCATTAATGCCTCCCCCCACACCATACAAAAATTACTTTCAATTAATAAAATATAAGTTGATGCTCTCAAGGCATGCCACTCCACCCACTAGCATCTAATATACATTGCTGTATAACATTGGAATAAATACAAATAAATACAGATACAGTAAAAAAAAATGTGTTGTTTGGCAGGGAAGGTGTTTATTATGTAGGTTTGATAAATACTATTAAATAGTATTAATTTATTGAACAATGTATTTGATAAACAAGGTACTGGATAGTGAATGTAAACACTTGACTTCCTCCAGGAGAGATTTAGAAGATGGTTTAGCTAACACACATCAAACCACAATGGAATATTTATATTCATTCTAATGGTAAGCACTTATAAACACTTACTGCCCAGATAAATAAGTTTACATATCATTTTTTAAGATGCCTGTTATTATTTGTTTACAATAAGAAGTGTTTCCAGACTTGAATGTAGATCATGTATGAAAGCACAATAATCAGCTCAGTCACTTAAACATTCTGGTGGAAATAATAATGCATTTCCTATGATTTTTTTAAATACTTGGAAATGTGTAGGTACAAAAAGCTCATTTACATCTTTACCTTAACCCTTTAAATGTAACAGCATTTCTGTATGCATGATGTAATGTCTGTGTTTTGTAAGTCCTCTGTAATGTCTCTAAAATATTAATTTAAAAATAAAAAACGGTTCTGTTGGGTCCTGTTTATAATTAGATGTAAGACGGCTACACTAGGAAGCAGAAACTGGACTATTTTTGTAAGCAAATGCTCAACGTGCCATGGCTAATAAAATCAGGTAGATACAGTCTGAAGATCAGTAATGGAGATCATCTTGGTCAGTGGTGGATGTGTGATATTTTCTGAGGTAAACCTACAGTAGCGTGTAGGTCTAAGTGGTCAGGTGAGTAAGCTAGTTGTGCTCTGATTTAACTTGTTTATTAAATGACGTATACAGTGTATGTGCTTTAAGACCAATCTGGTGAGAGATCAGGGGGCGGAGGGGCGCTAATTTTTATTATTATTTTTTTTTTACATAGTAATGAATGTGGCTGCTGTGCTCTAGTTCATCATTTGTCAAGTCAAACTACCAGCCAGTGTGAATGCCCACCCGGCCTCCCCTCTAGTTACGCCACTGGTCGCCAGAGCTGAAATTGGGAACCCCTGAACTAGTGGAAAGCCTTCCCAGATGAGTAGAGTAGAGGCTGTTATGGCTGTAAATACAGTATAAGCTCCAAATTTATATACTTTATTTCAGCAATAATATTAGGAGGGCAGGTGTCTTCTTACTTTTGAACCTTGTTGATCATCACTAGAATAGGCAAAGCAAAGATTTATACAGAATGTTTTCCTTTAAATATCTTCATTATATTCTGCCAGTTTTGAGAAAAGCAGGTGTAACAGGTTGGGTTCAGTCAGGAATTCCTGAAAAAAGACAGAACTCCTATGTCCGTAATTCCAATAATAGAGAAATTAAATAGCCTAGTTTAGGAGAATCATTGTTTATGAAGCTCCACCTCTCTCCTCTTTAACTTCCTGTAAATTTCCACCTCTTCTACTTTCCATGACACATTTTTCATACCCCACCACTTTCCCGTCTCCTCCTTGTTCCTCAGTCCTAGGTCTTCTCCTCACAGTCTCATCACAATTCATCAAAAGGGGATCTTAAAGCATAAGCCACCCTTATTTCCAGCCCAAGTTCCCTCCCTCCTTCTCAAGCATAAGGTTGGAAGTAGGGCTGGGCGATAAAACGATAACAATAATTATCGCGATGTAACTTTTCCTTGATAGAGCGATAAGAAAGGTTAGATAAATTTTCAATATAATAGACCATTCTCTCACACTCCCACGTTCTAGCAACAGCCCTGGTGGCGTTTTCTACTGCAAGGAAAGGAAAGCAACTCTGCTGTCACCAGGAGAGGGCGTACTTCTGAGTTTTTCAACATGATTAGAGAGGGAGAGGGTGATGAGTGAAATGTGTCACCAAATTTATGTGACACCCACAAAGTCTGGTCACTTTTGTGTTAGCATGTTTTCTTTATATTATTATTATTATTATTATTATTATTATTGTTAGTTCAATTTTGTTAAATCTACCTTTTTAACCCTCTTCTCAATGCACTTAAATTCTAAGCTTGGCAATAGAATGCGGGTATCCCTGCTATTCCCTGATGCTACCAGAAGGGGGCGCTGGCTGTGCTGTGATTATCTACGGTAGTCTTGAAATTTCCTCTCAGACCAAAGGGGCATTCGTGAAAGCAAGCCACGTCTTCTGTCTCATCCTTTCATCCCTGTTTTTCAGGTGAGCACTGTATTAAAAATACACTAAAATTCTCCTGAACTATTTAGTACAGCATACGGATACGTATATTAGTACATTTGTGTTGACTTACGTGCACTGAGTCGAGGTTTAGTAGGTTATAGAAATGTAGACGTGCCGATTCTAAGTTGTAAAATGGCGGACATACTTTTTAGTTGCTTGTGTTTAGCTTAATTTAATGTTGAAACTTGTTTGAGAAAGTTGAATGATTTTATTTTGACAGTGTAAATGAGTATCAAAATGTGTTTACATGTAAGAGATGTTCTAAGAGATTTGATAGCGCCAGTTATTAGCACTTTGAACATGTTTTTCTTTGTTGAGTTCAATGTACCGCAGTTATTAAGTGAGCCTCATCTGTATCTGTGTCTTCGGTACATAATATGTAATGTTATAGACTACATATACGAGCTTTAGCCATTCTTTTAGCACATGGACATCCTGTTGTATTTTAAGAATATTGTCTCCTTCAAACCTGAAGAAAATGTGAATTGAGGATGCTGTATTCTGCTACGGAACAAAGATGCCTAAATGGGACTGTAGTATGCAGTTGTCTCCCTCTGATAGGGACATGTTCAGCCTATTTTAACATATGTGAGAAAGAAAGCTAAGTATTTGTATGTTTTGTACTGAATTGTGAGGTTTGCTGGGCAAAGAACAAAAGAAAATAGGCAGAGATATTTTTATAAGTAGAATTGTTTAAATACACCGAGACCATAGAGGCATTCGTGAAAGCAAGCCACGTCTTCTGTCTCGTCCTTTCAACCCTGTTTTTCAGGGGCAACGTCTGTCCCACGGGTCCCAAGCCTGGGACCTGTAACATTTACTTTAGCAACGTCTGAAATGTGGAGTTATACATTCCCTTTTTGAGTGGAGTGACCGGCCATCTGTTCTCCTGTGACCAAGTGTGAGTGACGAGATAAGTGGCGTAACTGTACTGACCTACAGTGAACTCACCTCTTTCCTAACATCCTAACAAGCTTTGGCAGCGTTAAATCACGTCTGCTCCTCACAACTACAGCACTGTTACAGCGTTCAGTCATATTTTAGTATTAGTGCATTCCCAAGCAATGAAAGTGAAAGTAAGAAGTGGGTTCATGCAAGTTATTTAAAGAAAAGTAAACTGAGGAAGCTGTGAGGCGTTGGAGAGTGAGCGAGCGCTGTCTTTCCAGGGTAGCTGTTTTTAGCAGCTGGCTAACTTGAAGCCGCGCTCCATCACTTGCACAACACGGCGAACTGATGATACTATAGATCAAACAAGACACAAAACCACTGCTTTCAGTTTAAACATACGTTTATACTTTATAATCTGGAACGCACGTTTAAACATACGTTTATAAAAATAAATAATCTTTTCTTTCTTAAATTGTGACTATTACAAAAACTGTGGCTGTGCTTTTCCAGTTGATAAAAAACAGTCAATCAGAAACTTTCTCCCACTGTCCCATGACAGATTTGTGAAATGTTCCACTGTCTGGTGAGTGTTTTTCGTGTTCTGACCATAAAGGATAGTTTAAGACAGCAGTTAACCACCCAGGAGCAAAAAAAAAAAAGAAATAATGACATTTATCATGATATGTATCGATATTGAACAATATGAATTTTGTTTATCATGATAACATTTTTGGCCATATCGCCCAGCTCTAGATGGAAGCCTGGTCCAAAGTCATTAAATGATATTATTATGAATCGGGAATCATTTAATGCATAGCTTAAAAAAGTAATTTTAAAGAAGCTTTTCTTAATACTTCGTCTACTCTGTAGTTTGTCTGATTGAATTATTTGACGTGATCAAGTGTGTATTATAATTTTAGTTAATTGATTTTAATTCTATTTTATTCTTTTATTTTTTCTTTTTGTAGATTTTTTTATTGTTATTGAATCTTTAGTATTTATATTTAAAATGTTACATTGTTTTTTTTATACATTTTCATCTTCCTTTTTCAATGCTTTAATTTTTAAATATTTTGTTTCTCATTTATGCATTGTTTTCCATTTCTAAAGTACTTTGAGCTCCATTTGTATGAGAGAAGCTATTTAAATAAAGATTATTATTATTATTATTATTATTATTGTTATTATTATTAATAGTAGTAGTAGTAGTATCTTTTTTCTATTTGTTTATTTAATTTTTTAACACATGCTGTATTAAAAGTAAGCATAACTGGACACAGAAAGAAATTTAAATATAGAAACATATTTAAATATGTTTTAATATGTTTAAAAGTGTTGTGTTCAAAGCAACACTGAATGTCTTGTCCTAAGACACTGATGTTAAGTACAGAATGTAACTACTCACCCATCCATGATCTGATGTGCTCCCTTTGTTTCTGCACCTTCATCATCCTCTCTTAAGCTCTCTCTTCCTCTGCTCTCCTCTTCTTTTCCACCTTCTGTAGAATCTTTCTGTCCATTTCAAAATGGCGTCCACCGTTTGCTGCCACCATCTCCTCTATCTTCTCCAGCAGCTCTGTGACCTGAGTGTCATCACTCCTGTTCTCATTGTTGAGAACATGATACCTGTTCCCACATTTCTCAACCAGCCACTGGAGCTCCTTCCCTTCACTCTCAATGTGCTGCTCTATGGGTGTGTCTCTCAACAAGTCACCATAGGTGAAGAGCACTATAGTGTGTCTCCAAACTCTCTCACTGAGAAGCTTCAGATGTCCTTCAAATATTTTTCTGTTATTCAAATTTAAAGTTCTGTCTACACGAAGGACCAGTAGTAGAGCATGGGGTCCTGGAGGACACAGAGACACACTGAGCACAATCTCCTCTTCGAGCAGCTCAGCTACAGCTGAACTCCTCCACCATCCTGGAGCTTCAACCACAGTGATGTGTCTCCCTGCTACTTCTCTCTGTCTCTTCACACACTGAGCAGTTCTCTTTAACTCAAACTCCTCTCTGTTCAGGATGGTGTTTCCTGCTGAACTCTTCCCAGCATATCTGTACCCCAGCAGCACAATCCTCAGCTCTGAGAGGTTGTCTGTGTTATCTGTTAAAGAAAAACAGAGCCTCTGTAAAATCACTTTAATTTTCTTTTTTATCCAGTGAAAACTACTAAACTCTATATGTATCTATTCAATAGATTTAAAATTCAGAGTGTCCTTCATAGCTTACAGATTTACAAAGTGTCATTGCTATTTAATGCAAGGGATCTACTTGTGTACGTGTGTATGAAGGATAAAATCTAACACAAATACATAATTTGAAATGATAATGCACTGTACAATATATATACATATATATATATATATATATATATATATATATATATATATATATATATTCAGATGCTCATATTCACAGTGTGTGTTTACATGCACTTTGTAACCCAATATTTGCAGAAAATCAGATTTTCTTAGTAATTCGTTCAACATATTTACATGCACTTGCAAAGTCAGATAGGGGAACACTTCAGGCCTACATGAGGGAAACAATAATTGAATTCCTAATTTACAACCTGCCAATAAACTCACAGAAAAAGAAGGAAGGATTTAAAAAATTAACTTCATGCTGAGGCTACTTTGAGTGACCTTGACCCCACTGTACCATCCTCAGCCTATGCCACTGCACTACACAATACAACAGTTCTATATAGAAGCAAGAAATCAAGCAATTTTGTATGCAAAACAGTAAGCATACTTTTCTTTCTATTTGTTGTTTCAGGAACACTTCCCAGCTCAATAAATGACTGTTAAATAGTTTGCTGTTGTAGCTAATATGAACAGCCATAAGCAAGGATTTTACCCTCATAATGGCTAATCAGGTAGTGCTTTAAAAAGGATCAATATTTAGTTATTCCTATGAGTCAAACAACAAACTTTACTTTTTATTTTACCATGTTCAAGAAACGTGTGTCATGTTGGATCCAGTTTTGGGATCTACAGCATTATTCTCTTGAGTTTATTCTACAAGGACTTTTATTGTGAAGGCGAGGTTAGTCCAATTTGTTCTGTGCTGATACCTGTACAACAGGAAGAACTAGTCAGAGTTTGGATGAAAGTAAATGCAGACCTGAGCTAATACTAGAGCTAGCTGTTAGCTTAAAGCCTTGCTTTCTGTATGGCATGGCTGGGGCCAACTACAGCCTTTAATAAAGAACAACTTGTGCATACATCATGCGTCTTCTTTCATAGCAGTAAACCTTACCTTATGTAAGGAATTAAAAATATCCTGTGAGAAGGACTTGACGAGCTGGGTGTGTGAGATTGCACATTGGCTCATCCATCACATGATCTTATGGTCTACTATAAATCATTGTTTATTCAGTGTCATTGCTGTCAGTGTTGGCTACTCTCATCTAAAGCCAATGTGTATTTAACATCACTGTTGACAGTGTTAGGAGCTGCTGACGTTCATTGACAATTTAACACTGATCCAGCATATTGTTGACATTTCAACCTTGACCAAAATGATCATTCTGATGGAAAATCAGTAATAGATCAATAACACCCTGCTAGCTGGGTAGTTTTACCATGTTTATTTAAATAAATGTCTCTCTGGATATTACTTGTCTTCATTTTCAATTATGAATTATTATTATTATTAAAACAATTATGTTATTAGAGCAATATATGTCAAAAACATTTGTTCTGGTTTTGACATGATTTAAAAATGATGTTCTGATGCTCTTTCATTGTGTGTAAATTTCATAATGAATGGACCAAAGAATTGACAAAATGACATGAAAAAAGTTCTGGTTCCATTGACTTACCTTGAAAGTACTGTTTTTGTGATATCTGGATACGTAGTACTAAAAAAAAAGCTTGGTCAAATACATACTGTATTATATTGAGGTTTTGTTTAGAGAAAATGTTTATAGTAGGCTCTGTTTACCGTGGTCTGTCCATGAACTGTGTAATTATGACAGTCCGAAAAATGGTACAGAATGTGCATAAAATAATATACTGAATGAAAGAGAAGTGAAGTTGATCCAAGACATTTGAGAGTTTGGACCTACACATAAATAATAAGTTCAAATTCTAATAGAAGTTATAGATGAAAACATGTTTTTAACCAGGAAAAGATATTTCAGATGAACTGTTCTGATATTGTGTATAGATGAGTTGACAAAATACAGAGACAAAATCCACTGTATAAAGATTTAACAATTGTAAACAACAATGCATTTACTAACCCTTAACGTGGAGAGACCAGATTCAGATACTTGACATTATTTTTGTTATTTCTGGAGATGCTGGATCCCTGTACTCTGAATTGTTAAAGTTTCTCAGCTTTCTGAACATGATCTACTGTAATTTATATAAATACAGATTATATGTTACTAATAATTTCTTTCAGCAACGCCGCTCTACTACACACCACTACATTTATAGATATAATTTCTTATTTAAATCTATAGCTATAATATGACTTAGTGTACATGTGATTTGGAAAAGTCTTGCCTCTTATTTGGAGATCAGTCATTGTTATTTTCTGATCTGCAGACGATTTCCAGCCAACAGTATTATGGATGCAGTGATTGAGAATGCTTGTTTTGATTCAGGAAGTGTGTGCGCGTGGGAAAGAACTGATGGGTGACTATATAAAGATGATGCCAAAGACAACGACAAACGTATGAGCATTTGCTTTCTTATTTTCCCCTTTTCTTTAAAGATTTGATAAGAGAGAACCAACATGTCACAAAATTAAAGTCAAAATTTTAAAAGTTAATCAATGAACACTGGACTGTCTATAAACTAAGCAGTTAGGCTAAACCACTTACAGCAGTTTGCATTACTGTTGGATTTGAGAAAACAAAACTAATTTATTTGAGTTTTTTAGTTTGTTTATCCCACTTCTTAGATAACCTTTGAAGTAGTTATTATCTAACTTCTATAACCAGTCCTGGATCATCAAGTTATCAGCTCCTGTGCACAGATATTTTGTGGGCCCCTTCCTTGCTACTCTTTTTTGGGTAGTTAGTGAATTTGTACGATATCAAAGTAGATTACACAAGGCCTATTCAGCACCACGACGGCAGCATACTAACCACGTTATTGGGCACTACTATAAACACATTTTTGTCCAACTGAGACAAAACAATAACAAGATTATTTTTAACACATCAATTAGAGCACAGGTTAACATAACCCAATAGCCACAGCAACACTTCCCTATAAAGCATGCCTCTGATGTTTTTGACAAGAAATCTGCAGGGATTTGTTAAGTTTCATTCTTAGAAGGTGGTGACATTTTCTGCTTCTCATAATTCAAGTAATTACAGACATAGTCAATGTTGTTGAGCTCTGGCCAGTCTAATGTTCAGAGAACACCTGCAGCTTCTTTATTTGACAAGCTATTTTTTTTCCTCAGGGCTTCTTAAAATTACACATCCTTTCAGATCTATAGCCTTGAATTGTCTTCTTACAGTGGAAAGATGGACAGAAACACTTTTTTTCATATCTGACCAAGAGTGGAGTTGATTTTCTCCCGACTCTCAAAGACAGTTGTTCTTGGTGATCTACCAGGTCTTGCACAGTTCTTAGAGTCCCGTTATCTCTGTAGCTTTTAATCATTTCTTGGACTCCAGTTTTAGAAACTCCTGTTGTTTCACTTGTTTTGCTTTGACTTTATCCTTAATCATGCAAATGGATTATTTTATTTCTAATCTTATTACAGTATGCACTTCTTGTGAATAAGTTCTATAGTATCTTCTAAGCTACTTTGCTAATCCTAGCCAATACAAGTGCATTGTTTCAAACATGTAAGTAGACAGAAGTATTACAAGACTTTACACTACTGTGACATTTACAGGTTAAGTTTAAAGTAGGTAGTGAGGGGAGGTTACACGAGCACACAACCATATACACACAGCCATATACACACTCAGCAACTTCACAACCTTCTCACGGCTGCAGTTGTCTTCTGGCCTGCAGCAAACATTAGAGACATTTAAACAACATGAGGCAGAAATATGTAGACTACGAACAAATCACCATATGAAGCTGGATCAAACCAACAAATTAAGTTGAAAAAGCAATTTGTCTACATAGAAATATTTGAGACTCTCATGTCTGCCTGTAAATATAGATAAGATAGATTTATGTTTAGTTTACTGCAACACTAAAAATATTCATATTATTATGACAAAATACTGAGATAACACTATTACACTTCAAAAATTCATGCAATCTCTGATATATAATAATACTAAGTTGCCTAAACAAGGGCATTTTCTAAGTTCACATCTTCAAATGGGAAAACCCCTCTAAAAGTCCACTAAGCTTTACTTGGTCCAGCCTCCAGTTCATCCACTAAGAAAGGCTGTATCTTTTGAAGGATTTTATAGAATTCTGCTTTCACTGCTGTTCCTCCTGAATCTAGAGCTCTGTATAAGATCCTCATTTGCTCCTGAGACATTTTTGCAGTTTGCATGCTGCTGTACATTTCAGCAGTGATCATGTTTTTACATTTTAAACAGTCCACTATCTCCATCACTGAGGGAACTCTCTGAATGAGCTTTTGTCTGTGTTCATCCACAAATTCAGCCTCTGAAATAAAGAATAAAATCAAATTATGATTAAAGCATACCATTTAAAGCAAACCACTGTTCAATTTAAAGCTTGTTCCACAGAATCTTATATAATTAATCTAACTGTCGTATAACACTACCCTGCAAAAAAAACTAATATAAGCAATGAAAATGCTTTAACATTAACTGACCATTAATAGCTGTCAACAAATCAGTAATCACAATTTGAAAATGTTTATAAAAGACATTTCATGTAGTTGTTGATGTGTATTTATAAATTATGTACATAGTATTTTTGTGTACATTTACAACAAACTCAGAAATAATCTCAGAAAATAAATTCAGTAATAATTACAGAATTGTACAACTACATCACAATCAGAATCAAGCTTTATTGGCCAGGTATGCTTACACATACAAGGAGCTCACAGTGCACAGCATGTGACAAACATTTTACAGCACTAAAAAAGTCAAATAAAACATGCATTCCTACCACACACTCAGACCATCACTCACACTGTCATACCTGTTAGCCTTGCATTGTGTAAAGTGCTGAGTGCAGCAGCAGTTAAAAGATATGTAGGGGCAAAAAGAGGGAAGTGAGGTAACAAATCAGGCAAGTGAGGTGCTAGAAGAAAAAACGCTGGTCTGAGATGGTAGTTTCAGAGGATGGAATGTTGAGCATGACACTATATAACAATATATTTAAGTTGGAATTAGTGCATGTGTATTTAATATCTTCTTTTGGCTGAAGTGCTGGCCTGAGGGAAGATGGAGAATTTCTCTGCACGCTTTCTGGTTCTGGAAGCATGCAGTTTCAGCAATGACGGCAGCTTAAAACCAATTATCTTCTCTGCAGACCTGATGATGCACTGCATTCAGGTACAGTCATTGGTGTACAGTGAAAAGAGCAGTGGGTACACAACCCTGTGGAATGACCATAATGATGATCTGGGCTTTTGAGGCGAACTTCCCAAATATCACCCGCTGCTCTCTGCCAGTGACGAAGTTGGTGATCCACTTGCAGGTGGGGTTTGGCATGCTGAGTTGGACCAGTCTTTTGTGTAGCTGTCCTGGGATGATCGTATTGAAGGCTGAAGTGAAATCCAATAAATGAATTCTTACCCAAGTTCTTGGATGTTCAAGCTGTTGGAGAATAAGATGGAGTACCATGTTTACTGCGTCGTCCACTGACCTGTTTGCCTGATATGCAAACAGGTGGGTCTAACAGAGGATTTGTGATGTCCTTGAAATGAGTAAGCAGCAGTCCAGTCTCTCAAAGGACTCATGACTACAGAGGTCAATGCAACAGGTCTGTAGTTGTTTAATCCTGTGATGGTCGCTTTCTTAAGATTTGGTATTATGGTATGACACACAGCTCCAGTGATTTGTTGAAGATTTTTGTGAAGACAGGCACGGCTGGTCTTTCTCACCGATCTTTAGGGCATGCTGAATAGGTGGCTGCATGACAGGAGGGTGTGAACTTGTGCTGAATGGGTGTGAGGAGCTGGGCTTTCCAAACCTTCAGTAAAAGATGTTAAACTCCTCAGCCAGTTGACAGTCACTGATTGTCTTGTGGGGGGTGGGGAGGAGGGGGTCCTTTTGTAGCTGGTGATGTTCTGCAGGCACTTTCCGATGGCTGAGGGCTTGTTTGTGGACATCATACTGCTTAGCTTGTTTGAATAGCTCTGCGTTTGCTACTCTTTATTCAGTGTGTTTATTGCCTGATTGTGCAGAGCCCGATCTCCACTTCTATACGCTGCCTCTTTAGACTGGCACAACTGTTTCAGTTTGGCATCAAACCAGGGCTTGTCGTTGTTATATTTAACGAGTCCTGGTGGGAGCAGAGGTGTTTTCACAAAAGCTAATATAGAATGTCACAGTATCTGTATATTCATCAAGGCTACTTGTAGCATCCTCAAACACACTCCAATCTGTTAATTCCATGCGGTCCGAAAGCCTCTTTCTTTAGCCTCGATAGTCCACTTCTTCAACGTACTGACTACAGGTTTGGCATACATGAGCTTTTGCCTATAGGTTGGAAGAAGGTGGATTAGCGAGTGATTGGACAGGCCCAGAGAAGCAGGGAAACAGAGTGATAAGCCCCCTTTAACACAGTGTAGCAGTGATCTAAAATATTACTCTCCCTGGTGGGTATTAGGCAGTTCGCTTGTGAGCTGCACTCTGTTGAAGTCCCCTAAAATGATAAAATCAAAGTCTGTGTGTTTGAGCTCCATGCTTGTGATGTGATCTGCGAGAACGTGCAGCTCCTCGCTCACGCACACCTGGTTTCAGGTTAGGACTGCATGTTTTCATTAACACTGTGACATCTGTACACCAGCCTTGGTTGATATAAAAGCAGATTCCACTGCCTTTTTTCTTGCCTGAGAGCTCTGTGAAGCGATCCACTCTATAGAGGTTAAAGCCATGGAGCTGGAGCGCGCTGTCTAGAGTAAACTCAGTGAGCCAAGATTCAGTGAAGCATAGCACAACAGAGAAAAGACCTTATTAGTTCTGTTTAGAAGGGAAAATTTGTCTAATTTATTCCCTAAAGAGCGAAGATTTGCCATGTGAATGCTGGGGCAGCGGTCTGCAATGTCTGCACTGTTAGAGGTTCCCCCGCCCTGTATGTCCATCTGCGTCTGCGTCTGCTGTAGAGTGCAGCCGCTCCGCTCACTACACCAAGTGTCATTTATTACAATTTTGAACTTTTTCAAATTCAATTCAAATTATTTGCTCACAGCTTTTAATGAGCAATTAATAGTTTATTAAACAAAGTTATTATGAAGTGTTACCTTAATGGGCAGTACTGTATGAGACCAAAGGATGTGAAACAGTTATACATTATTTAAAAACATCATACCCTGTTTCCATGTTAAGTGGATTTGCTTCTGTACTCTGTCCTGAAAAAATGAGACAGAAACCCAAAGCTTTTTAGCATTCCAAATAAACACCTGAAATAATGTGATCTAGAACAATGGACACCATTCACCAAACTTTCTTAAGCAGAAATTTCTTAAAACCCACTTACACAGTTTTCACAAAGATTGTGACATACAACAATTTGGGATTTAGGTAAGAACAGAATCTACACACACTCAAGAGCACAAAGTTGCAAACAATTCTGCAGTTTAAGAACAAGTCATGAATCTGACATAGACTTTGTTCTTCAGAAAGGTCCTAAGAAGTAGGACCAAAGTTCAGAATACATCTGTACTTTTCATTAGGGAAAGAAATGGAGCAAACCACATAACTACTACTTAACCAACAATCTGAATGAATACATTAGGCCACTGTCCAATCTTTACTCTGATGTACAGCTTCTTTAATTTCACTGACTGCTGGTACATAACTATTGTGAACCATTAAGTTATCTTATTGGTACACCTCTTACGTAAATGAGATAAGATAAAATAACAGTTTATAAAGCCCAAAGAGAAATTTGAGTTTGCCAGCAGCATATACACAAGAGGAACACAGAATACACAAGTAAGGTAAACTGGTAGTATAAAAAATTGTAGAATAAAAAAAATGTATAGCATGTAAAGCAATACTATACAATAAAACACAATATAAATATACATACTATTACATACTATGTAGTTAATATGAAACTTTACAACTGGTAAATGTGAACTGTAAAGAAATAGGGTAACGTGATCTGACCAGCACTGCACATTGGGGGTGCTGATCAGGTATCAAAAGACTGCTCAGTGTGTTGTCCAATGCACAGCGTAAGCTGTTTGGTTTGGTGAGAGACTGCCCTGACATGAGAGATTACCCATCCAAGACAGGTAGGGGCTTGTCTAGAGCGATCAAAGGCAGAGAGCCCTGGCTAGTGCGGCATCAATGAAGTTCCCCACTGTGCGAGTCAACAAAGGCCTTGAGGCGCTCCTCACTGTCTTATATCCCAGAGGCCTACCAGGTGAGCCACCACAGGTTTAAGGCAAGACCCAAGTGCCAAGCTAAGGTACAACTGGAAGAATGAATTTAAGGAAGAAACTTAAACAAGCAATAAGGCTGGGGATCGAACCCTTGTCATACTGGCATCTGCTGTATTTCAGACAGGCATCTGCATGCTCAGTAAATGAAAAAAAGGCCACAACCATGCACAAGTTAACAGCATGATGTCAAAATAGCTGTGTTTTCCCCAGAGATCTCACTGTGAAGAGTGTTTTACAAAACTTTACAAAAATCTTTGTGTGGACAGAAGGTTAAAACAAAGAGAAAAAGCTTTTTCAATAATATCCAGATATTTCTGATGTATTTTACACTCTACTTACTTGTCTCACCTGGTTTTTCGCTTGTAAGAAAGATCTGATGTGGTTCCCACACTTCTACGCCATCTTCATCCAAAATACTTACTGTAATATCCTCAGCTTGAAAGAAAACCACAAACGTTGGGTGATAGTTTGGGCCATAGTCACGGACAAATCTGGCAACCTAGGAAAACAAAATGGCAGCAAAATTGAAATGAAAGCATGAAAAATGTCTTAAAAATCCAATTTCAACCTTTCTGATGTGGTTGTGTAGGCTGGACTTTACCTTCGGCTCAGATACATGGGGATCACAGGAAGGTTTGTACTTTCTTCCTGCGATAAGTTGGCATGTGGAGCTGGTCTCAAAGTATGTGACGACTTTATGCTTTTTTTCTACCTTTAGTCATAGAAAAAAAAGGATTTGTACAACAGTGTGATTTTTTGAGCCAGTTTTGAATTCCCATTTACACGGGGGGTGGGGGGGGATGAGTAGTTTTGCACTGAATACTGACCGATACTAAAATATTACATCAGTACCAGCAGCGGGAGTCATGTGTCTTCTGGTGCTGAATCCAGAGTGACAGAACACAGGCATGGTGGAGCTAACTTAGCCAGAAAATAACACCACAGACATCGGCTGTTGCACTTGTCATAAAGCATGCAAATCAGACAACAAAGCACCAATGCTAGTAGATTTTAATTTAATAGCATAGAATCTAGCAGAAACACTGGTTGGATGAGTTATGCAAGAATTGTTGAAGTAACACTGAGAACAGAGAAATATCTTTCACTGTTCTCGTGTCTAGCTAATGCTAGCTAAAGTGATTAGTTCTTAGTCCTTCTGCCTACTAAATAGCTTCGTTAACAATGTGTCTTTGGCAATGCTCTCATGACAAGATACTCGTGTTTTTAGGAGCAAAGTATAATAAACATACTGACAAATATGAGCAGAACTTATATTTTAGAGCTTTTTTTTGAAACATTTTGAATACATATTACAAATTTTGCTTACATATTTTGCACATACATTTACAGGAGTTTCTTTCTCACAGTGCAAAATACTGTTAGCATTATTATAATGAACCACCTACTCCCATTGTTGTTGCTCAGAGTCACCTGTCCAATAAACAGAACCCTCTTTCTGCCAGGTGAAAAAAAGTCCAGCAGCACTATTTGCACAAGCTAAATTTGGCTTATGTTTAACCTTTCAAAATTTTGAATTATTATTACAAAATGTATCCTCTTGAAATTTTTACTATGTTGACATGATTACTTTTTTTTTCAATATAGTAACTGTTCTCAAAGTAATAGCTTATTATCTCAAAGACATACAAGTCAAGATATGTTCAGGTGCGTGAAAGTTCTTAGTAGACCTGCTACACTGGCAACCCCCACCAGCGCAGTCATTAATTAGAGCTGCTTTCAATAAATCTACCTCTAGGATTTCGAAAGAAGGCTCCAGGGTAATGAAGACAATATGAGAAGGCAAAAACGCTGATTACCTCTTCAACTGGCACATTTCCTGGCAGTAAGTGAATGTGTAGTTTTTTCCTGATTTCCTTGCACATCATTTCTTTATAGAAGAGCAGGACTTGTGCACTTATGGGACCAGGAGGTAATATTTTTTTAAGAAGGCCAAAGAGGGAAAGGTCTTGGATGGAAATGATCACATGAGTGTTTGTCACTCTCAGTGGTTGTATGACCTCTATATTTTCTCCAGTGAAATGTGCCACCACCAGTTCAGCCTGGTCTTCCTCTGTATAAAAATAAAGAGAAGAAAAAACACTGCAGTGTATTGAGGACAACAACGAATTAGACTACTTGGTGAGCAAAGAGTCTGTGTCATTTTTGGGAACAGTTTTTGAATGTTTTCGTCTTTTTGGCTGCTGTGAGGATAGACAATGGTTCTATGGAGTAATCAAGTAAAAGATCTCATGGATCTCAAATGCATGGATCTTCATACACAGACTTTGCCAAAATCATGAGGGAGCATCTTGAACTTAAGACCAAAATAAATCCACAGTATCCATAATCCACAATAAGTCCAAAACATAGGCATGTATGCACTAACTATGGTTTGTTAGATAAATGACACTATGGCTCCTGCCTAAGCTTTAATTAATTCAATACATTGTGTAATATATGGCTTATTTATATACTATTTTGAATAGATCATTTAGGAGTTCTTTGATATAATAAAGCAGTTTCATATTGTATCCATCTATGTATTGTGGATACCATGCATTTCAAGAAAGGAATAAAATATAACTATTTGCCTAAACTATGAAAGATATGAAGGTTTTGGACTAGACCAGGGAACACCAGAAGCTTTCAATGCATAAAAAAAGGATAAAACAGGCAAATTACATTTTTCTTCAAGGCTCTGGAATGATTTTAGGCCTTCATCATCAAAGATACCATACATGTGTATACCAACTTTATACACAAATGGCTTATAGCCAGCACTGAGGTTGCAATTATGTCAAAGACGTGTTCCACAACTACCTTGCACGCTGGGTGAGGACTGTTTTGACAATCTTCCAGATTTATAAGAATGCTCGCTCTATAGCACTGAAAGTAGAGAGATTTCTTGCGAATATCAAAAAGCGTAAGAGCCGAATGGTATGAATAATGTTGGCCTCTAAGGTGCGTCATGCAGTATTTTTCCAGGTCTTTGGAGGTCTAATTTGAAATGCCATACTGCACGAGTGACAGGGTTCAGATTTTAGGAAGCAAAGTCGCGTGAAAGGCATTTACCTTGGAAACATTGTCAATAAATTACTCTATTAATAGCACCGCATGGCAGCTAAAATGTACAGTGTATGAGCAATGTTCAAATTTACTTTGAAGCAAATAAGTGTCAGTGCTATTGAACATTTTGAATGTGTGCTTAGATTAACTGTTTGATGGTAGCACTTTATTTTATTTTATGGTATGCTAAATAACTAGTACTTCATAGCTAATTTTCTGGTACATACTTTGCGCATACTTAGTAACTACATAACATGTAAAAGGTATGTGTAACAGAACATACTCAGAATTTAATGCTAAATATGTAGCACTTACATGTCATTTTCTGGTATAATATTTGCACATGCTTAGTAACTATATGAAAACATCAACTATGTATAACAACTGAAGCAGGATTAAATGGTAAATTTGAAGCACTTACTAGTAATATCTGGTGCAGAATTTTGCAATTTCAGCATGTAAGTACAGAGTAACTAATGTGAGAAATGTATGTATATAAGGTGTATTTCAGCTTTTAATGATTCAGTGGTTCTGTAAGTACATGCATATGTGACAGTAAAGCACAGAGTAAAGATAGAGTGAGTACCTTTATTATGGTACAATATTTCATTCCATATTTGGTACATTTACTGGTAAGTTCTCTGTAATATTGTGTTAATACTGTGATAACAGAACTGTAAAAAGTGTAATTTGTAAACAGTAATTACACAGTAACTACTTATTCTCTTATTGTCATCATATGCAGAAATGAACCAGACATACTAGCAGGTTTATACTGGGGTACATACAAGTAAGTTCTCTGTGATGTGATGGAAATAGCACTGTACAGAGTAATTACACACCAATTATTTGCTTTCTTGTCTTATTCGCAGCATAATGTTCATAAACACACAATATTATAAATCTGATCTAGGTTAAAGCACAGCAATGGTAGCACTGTCTATACTGTAGTGTGAAATGTGTATGAATGAATCAAAAACACACCCAAGATTAAAGGAAAAATTTAAATATATTGTACTAAAGTAGTAAATGACAAACAACTAACCGGATTTCAGTGTCCTCTGACCCACAGACAAAATAACAAACAAAATTCCAAACAACCTGGAAGATAACAGTGGCTAACTTACTTAACCTATAGAAGGAAAAGAACAATAAACAAAATAAACAGAAACTTCTCTCTGTCTTTGATTACCAAACACATGCATGCTTACTCGTCAGATTCTGCTCTGAACTCCTGTGTCTGAAGTGTTACTGAATTCTCCTGTCTGATTTTTGGATTTAGTAGATTAGTCATTTGTTTTATTTATGTATATTATGTAGATATTCTCTGCACTGAAAGTCTTGTTTCATTGGTTTGCTTGTACTAGTAAAAAACATTTCCATTTTTGCCATAATATTGTGCGATGTTTTGGCTTTATCCAGCCATGTTTTATATTACAAAACATGGCCAGATTTTCTGTAGCATAAAACACACCACTTACCTTTTACCATTGTTTGTTAAACTAGACCTGATCTATAACACTGTGCATAGTCATGAACGCTGTGTATGGTTATGCTTTGCATACCACAAATACAAGAAAACAATGTTACTTTGTGAATACACATTATTATATAGTTGTCTTTCCATCATATTACAGAGAATGTACCAGTAAATGTACCAAATAATATGGAATTTCTGTACTGGAGTCAAACCACCCCATGAAGTCTGTGCTGAAAAAATCTATTTTGGAAAAGCGCTACCATTATGTTTTCTAGTTTGAAAATGAAAATGTCTTGATTTTTCAATTCTTGTGTTTGGATTTTGAAACAAGAATAAAATAAACTTTAATCTCTCATTTTTCTTCTGCTTATGCACTGGAAAAAAGGTACTAGGTAATTACTGTACAGTAAAATAAAGTGCTACCATTGTGTACCTTGAGATTTTAGTTTTGGGTTAACAATAAAGAATAAGACATGTAAGTAAATAATAAGTAGAAAATTTCCTTCCTGTTGCTTCTGATTGAGCACTGGAAAATGCCTTGTCTGGAATTTTAATGAAAATAAGCTTTATTTTTTCATTTCTTAAAAATTCTGAATGAAAACAGAAAGACTCAAAAAGTACATAGACCTAGAAAGACAGTTTCAAACTAAGTAACATAAAAATGATGCACCTACAAACTGAAGACTGGACAATTACTGAGTCACTGAAGCCCCCCAAATTTATGGGCATGGGTCCACAGATCTTTGTGGCAATAAAACCCTTTGCAAAGATTATGATAATTAATTAAAGATTATGGTAATATTATTATATTACAATAATATAACAGAGTGAACAACAACATAGCACGTAATGTAACTAACATTAACTAGGTTAATGTTAGCAAACTTTGCAAACAGCAAAAATAAGCTAATGTAACCCAACTATCAAGCAGGAGCAACCTCCTCATGCCTTTTATGCCTTTCTACTCTCAATGAATCAGACATCAGCTTCATTTTCACCAGCTTCTTTTTTTTGTTGCACTGCATTTAAGGTGTAAAACTGTAATCATGTTTAAATGCCTGCAAAAAATACCATTAATTAAAATTAGACTCACCATGTTGTATTTCACAATGTGGGAGATGCAGATGACTGATAGAACCTTCAAAGCAGTCGATATTGTACAGAGGTCCAGCAGGCTCCATCTGACCTAACCCATCCAACAGACGGGTATCCCAGAAGTCTATTCTGTACAGCACCTCCCCTTTCCCCTCCATCTCAAACACAAGGTTGGTCAATCTGCACTGAAACTGGCCAGTATGAGGACACTGAAACCTTAAGAGGAAAGTTCAGACCAAACAGGTCAAATACATCTTTCTCAACCTGACTGTACTGCTCTTATTTGAGTAATGTCATAAAACAAACACTGTACCTGTACAAGTTAGTATTCTTAACTTCTGAATTGTTTTCAACTATTTCAGGAATAAATCTTACAGTAGCCATAGACAACTGTGGAGATGCAGAATAAAGATTTTTAGATATGCAGAGTAGCTTCAATTTCACAAGCTTTCGGTACATTCTGATCATGTTACATACAAGATCTCACAAATGCATGCATATGTGTATGAGATAAAACGTCTCAAACCATAGTAAACATCACCTTTTGTTGAACAGCTTGACTGACTGCTAACAAACTAAGGAAAGGTAGCTTTTCAGATTAAATATTGTAGCTGTTATGATGTCAAAACAGATTAGCCGCTCACAGATTAAAAAACAGGGTTGGACCTTACTTGAGGTTTCAGGGTTAACACAGAGAGTGTAATCATAACAGGCTAAGGTCAAAACCACAGATCATGGTATCCAAAACAAAGGGAGCATCCAGAGCAATCCAGTAAACAGGCTAGGTCCAAAAACATGAGAGCAATAGCAAAACCAAAAAGAAAAGTCAGAGTAACACAGAAAACAGGTCATACACAGGAATGCTTACAGACTAGGAATGCTTGGTACGCAATAGAGATGTTGGCAGTGATTCACAAAATGCTAAGCTAAAGCCCGGGCTTAAATTTTATCTAACTCATTACATGTAACAGAAAACCGGTGTGTAATCTCAAAAATCCAGTGAGGAGGAGCATTGGAATGAGAGTCTATTGTTTGATGGTGATGACTCATGGGAAATGGAGTTCTCAAGACATTCGATAGACTCAACTGAGCCTGCAGAAGAGAGGAAACAAGCTGTCCAATATATCTTGGGCTGCTACCCAGCTAAGCTCCTCAGGACCATACCCCTCCCAGTCCACCAGATACTGTAGTTGACCTCCTCTCTGCCTGGAATCCAGCAACCTGCGAACAGCATAGACTGGGGCTCCTTCAATGATCACCGGTGGTGACGGCTCATCATGGAGCCTCATCCAATGGACCTAGAACAACAGGCTTAAGGAGGATGACATGAGATGAGCATAAGACACAGCACTGTCTGGGAAAATCAAGTTTATAAGTACCTTCATTAACTCTTTCCATAACTTTGAACAGACCAATATATTTTGGCTTTAGTTTTCTGTAGCCCTCCTCAAACTTGAAGTCCCGAGTCGAAAGCCACACATGGTCTCCAGGTTGGTAGAGGGGGGTGTCATCCCGTCGACGATCAGCTTGGGCCATGTTCCTCCTCAGAAACCGTTCAATGCGCTGATGCATTGATGCCTAGACTTCTTCAGTCCTCTTCAGCCATTCATCTACAGCTTGAACGCTAGTGGTAACAGCAGTCCATAGCATAAGTGGAGGCTGGGATCCTAGTATGCATTGGAAAGGTGTGATGCCTGTAGCTGAGATAATGAGAGTTCTGTGCCATCTCAGCACAGGGTAAGAATCGAGCCCAGTCAGACTGGTTTTCATAGCAGTGTGCCCTGAGAAATTTGCCTTGTTCTTGATTTACCCCTTCACATTGACCATTAGACTCGGGATGATATCCAGAAGTTAGGCTGACATTGACACCTATACGCTCAAACAATGCTGACCATACACCAGACTTAAACTAAGGACCACTGCTTAATACAATGTCCTCTGGGATATCAAACATTTTAAATACATGATTGAACAAGGGTTTTGCAGTTTCAAAAGCAGTGGGTAATTTAGTGAACAGAATGAATGACTGCTCATGAGAATCTGTCTACTATTATCATGATAGTGGTAAATTGTTGTAAGGGAGGTAGATCTGTTACAAAATCAATTGCTATGTGAGACCAAGAATGAGCAGGCAAAGTCTTTGGAGTTTGACATTTAGAACAACTGGTGCAAGAAGAAACAAAACAATGAACATCTGCCAACATATTTTCCCACCAATACTGATTATTAAATAACTATCGGGAGCCCATAGTGTATGAAGAATTTCTCAAACAGAACCTTAGCAACAGTTGAACCTTTTTGATCCTTTGTCATTAAGGCCTGGGCATAACGAGTGAAACAGTCAGTCACTAAGAGCGTGTTTGCAAATCCTTGGTTGTCTGGCTCTAGTGACAAAAAAGTCGAGGCATACAGAAATAATGGTCATTTACTGTTGACTTCAAAGGAGCCACTCTCTGGGGTGGTGTTTTGTGTGCAATGCACCGTCCACAATTCTTGACATACTACTCGATGTCAGCACCCATCTTGGGACAGTAGAAGCAGTCTCTAATAAGTTTAGCTGACTATTCTATACCTAAATGGCCACACTTTATCCACAACATACTTATTTGCAGAGAGTCTTAATGCTGTCAGAAGACATGTCTCGGCATTCCTCGCTTTCCTTGGAGATCATGTCAGCATCCATGTCGTAGCATCCAGGCCTGTAGTGAATGGCGAAATCATATGCTGAAAGGCTGGCAAGCAAACAATGACCAGTTGTGTCAACCACAGTCCCATTTTAGTGCAAGAAATTCAAGTTGATGGGCAAGGTAGTTCTTTTCTGAGGAGCTGAGCTTTTGGCATGCAAAGGATACCTCTGATTACCCAATGCACTCAAACCTTGCAAGCCAGCATCTATGTGGAGGACATAGGGTTTGGCTGGGTTGGCAAAAGCAATGACAAGGGCATGGGTGAGGCACTGAATGATCTGGTTAAAAGTCTTAGTACATGACGCATCCCACCGGTCACCAATAGGCTCACTGACCTTGTAGTAGGTTTGCTCACTGGCAGTTCTAGCTGCCTTCTTGCCCTTTTGGGTGGGGGGTATCCTTTAGTCAATTGTGTGTGTGGCTGTACTCCAAAACAATATGCCCCAAGTACGTCACTTGGGAGTGACAGAACTGGCATTTGTCTGTTGATGGGACTTTCAGCAGCCATTCTTCGTGCTACTCCAAAGTCTTCCCAAACACATTCAAATCATTTAAGTACACAACCACTTTTAGCAGGTTCATGTCCCAAACTCCCTTCTCCATAAGACTTTGAAAGGTTGCCAGAGCCCGTTTAACCCCTAGTGGCATCCTTTCTAATTGGAAAAACCCAAGTGGACATATGAAAGCAATTTTCTCTCTACCTTCTTCTGCCATAGGAATTCGATCATATCCAGTACGGAGATCCAGCAAGAGAACCACTTGCTTCCACTGAGACAGCCCAGTGTCATTGTGTGGCACTGCATACTGATCAGGGATGGTATGTCAATTCAAAGTCCTAGAGTCCACACACGTGTAACCAACCAGATTTCTTCCTTGCAAGGAATATGGGAGATGCACAATGGCTTTTTGATTCCTTTAAGATCCCTGCTGCCAACAGTCCCTGCAAGTCATCTAGGTTGGCCAGAGCTATACGCCTCTGGAATATCTTTTCGTTGCACAGTCTAATGTTCTGCTCCACCCCCTTTGCCAAACCGACTCTGTATGACTCTGTTCAGGACCTTCTCAATATGCCTTAAAAACTGGGTTTTTCTCCTGGATGCTGGCAAAGGAGTCTAATAATAAAAAATTAGGTTTATGCTATGCTATGCCTAAATGGAATCATTTAAACACTAAAGCACATATAAATCAGTTTGTGGCCTGGGCTACAGGTCTCTGTAGTCAATGCAACGTCCAAGACTTCCACCCTTATTTTCTACAAAAAAGAAACCTGCAAAGGATAAACTCTTTGGGAAGGATTGTGCCATACAGCTTGTAGAGGGAGCAATCATACGGGAGGTGTGGAGGAGGTTTGGTGGCTTTAATCTTACTAAATACTTCCTTTACATCTATATACTCAGGTGGAATTCTGTTTTGGTCTCAATATTGCGGCTCTCTATGAAAATTGAGTGAATAGCTACTTGGGGCCTAGTAAGGAACAGGAAAGCAACTCCCCATCTGCCCATGAAATAAGGGGGTCAAGTTTGTGTGGCCAGGGCAGCCCTAAAATGATGGAATACTCAGAAGAATCTATGACAAACAAGCTAATATTGTCTGTGTGCATAATGCATGTGTGCTTGTTAAGTCTTACATTTGGCCAAACAGTGGCAGCCCACTCTAAAGCTTTGCCTGTTAGATAAGACACTAAAAAAGAAATGTGAGTATGATCACAACCGGGCAGACAATTACAAAAATACTTTGAACACTGGAGTAAAAATCCCTTGTATTTGTCCATTGAGCCACCATATTTATCCAGCTTACTAACAATATATGATAAAACAGGGTAGCTACTACGAGTGGGTTTTGAGGGGTTGCAGCTTAGGTTAGTTCTTTAGTTCTTTAAGGCGATCGATTACAACCACCATTTGAGTTTGCCATTGGCTCTGTGCTGGGTAAGAAGAACCACAGATGGAGAAAGTTCCTCAAGTGAAGAGTGGTGTTGTCCCAGCATTTGAACTTGTTTACTCACTGCGGAAGCTATCATGTCAGGATCTGTCATCTGCATGGTGGTGAAGTATTCTGTTATGATGTCAAAATGGATTAGATGCTCGCAGATTAAAAAACAGGGTTGGACCTTGCTGGAGGTTTCATGGTTAACACAGAGAGCATAGTCATATCAGGCTAAGGGCAAAACAGCACAATATTCAGAACAAAGGGAGCTTCAAGAGCATTCCAGTAAACAGTCCATGTCCAAATACATGAAAGGAAAAGATCACAGCAATCAAGCAAAAAGGGCAGAAAACAGGTCATACACTGGTAAACTTACAGACTAGGAATGCTCAGTACACAACAGATATGTTGGAAATATTTCGCAAAGTGCTAAGGTAAAGCCCGGGCTTAAATACTATAAATGCTGTGAAACAAACAACCCAAAACTAGCAGAGAAAACACTTTCCAAACAGGCTACAATATATTCTGAATGATCGGTATAATCGGAAATTAGCATTATCATTATTATAGCAATGGTATTTGAATGAATGATGGCTGCTTAGAAAGTACAGGTTTCTAGATAAAACTCTGTTATAAAATGATATGCTAGGTTGACTCATAATTATGATTAAACAGTTTGTGAAATATGCCATGTCTCATTTGGTGTTTACACAGCTACTTAAAGTATTACTGATCTGAGCGCCAAAGACATGCTTCCCATTAAGATAGTTGAAAAAGAATAAAGAATTGTACGAAGTAACATCAGAATTTTTCAAAGACAGAAGTCCCCAAAATATATAAGAACATGTACTGCATGCTTACCGTATTCATGCAATGTTTTTAACAGAATGTTATGATGATATAAACTATGATAAAAGGTTAGGTTATTAATTAATACATTTTATATCGTCGCAGGCCTAGTTGCAACAGACCCCTTTGGACTGTGCAGTTGGTAACAATGCACTTACTTGTTCAGTGTAAGAGTGTGGTGCAGATGCTGAGCTACAGTCTTCTACCAGCAAATCAAAAGAACTCACACGGTCTCTAGAAAGGGCCTTCTCTGTATAAAAAAAACACAAGCACAAATAAAATTATTTTTTGTATTAGACTTAGAGTTGAGTCAGGTTAGATGTAACTAATGGTATGTTGTCATTTGTAGTAATATGTTCAAGCACGCAACCTCACATTTGTAGGAGAATCTAGGGAAGCTTTCTCACAGTTAGCCCAGCTAAACCCAGCAGCTGAGGCAGTATTTTCCACAACCATAGCTTAAAACCTGTGGTGCCAAACTGCAGTTTGTTCTGAATCTTCAGTTATCTTAAAGTGATTACTAAGTATGCATTAATACTGATACTGGTATCGGGCAGATACCATGCTCGTTTACTCATACTCATAAAAATCCACTAACATTCTGGTACCATTTGTGACGTAAGCTAAGTGTACAATTCTGCACAAATGGACAAACACAGTGAAGAATAAACAATTCACCTTGACAGATTCCCACCAGACCTACACTGTGTGATTGTAGCCCGTTTTTAAAGACACAATCACAACCACTTCCCCAATATGGGTGGAGACATGTAGTCTAGAAAAACTTAGTCTGTACGCAATGGACTATTTAAACATGCAGTGCGAGACACCAAAGAACAAAATTTCTAAAATCACACAGTGTATGTCTGGCTTTAGAGGATACTCAGCTACAGCTATTTGCCAAACAAAAGTCTCTGAGAAGACAAACTCCACAAGTGAGCTCCTCGTATGCGTTAGCCTCAGATGTGTGTCCTGTTGTCACTGTAATACAGAGACTATGTTGAAACAGACAGATGAGGATCAAAACTATGAAACATACTTTACTTACATCTCTACAGAAGAACTTTTCTAATGTGGAATAAAACCCACTCTTCTCCACTGCAGCAGTACTCAATCCAAGGTAAATAATGTAACATAGCTAGCTAATGCACAAAAATGGCTAGATTTTAATGATTTAACTGTTAAGGTACATTGCACTCATTTACAGTTACAACTACATAATTCTACATGGATTACTCTGTATGGTAAATACTAAAAATGTGTACTTGTACTCAGTCTGAAAAAAGTGGTACTGATGCTATTCTACAAACACTGTTTAAATTGCTGACAGTGTTGATTCAACTGATTGTGTAAATTACAAATACTACCATGTATTTTAAATTTGGTAACTGAGTACATTTCAAATCTAAGCCAAACATTTTTGAGTCAACGGAGACCCATCAGGTCTCCACTGACGTAATAATGGCGCAGATTGCTGCTTTGCTGCATTTTTTATTTTGCATTTTAACTTTTATTTTGTGAGGACTCACCCGAGTAGTAATTTGGTTCACTTTTTGACCTATTTTCCATTGTTGAGCCTCCTGGATTTGATAATCTAGAATGATATTCAAATTAAATTTTATGGGTATTATTATACTAGTTTTTACAACAGACACTGTCAAAAAGCAGCTTTACAGAAATCTAGTGTCCCATCAGACAACAGCAGTGAAAAAATTTCTTGAGCTTGAGGAAAAAACCCCGGAAAAGAGCCAGGAGTTAAAGGGAACTCATCCTCCTCCAGATACAGTGCTGCTTGAACATGTGTGAACCATTTGGAATTATGTGAATTTCTACATAGGTGCAACAATAGATAAACATAACCCAATAAAACAAATAGTACCAACTATTATATAGTTTTTTCATTTATTAAACAAAGTGATCAAACATTTAATGTCCTTGTTTGCAAAAGTTTGTGAACCTCTGCTTTCAGGAACCGTCATGACCCATTGGGATGATGTTCTTTTGCTAAATTGCAGTATTCAGTTTTTGCTAAACATAACATTTCTCATTAAGGCCTGTACAAAAATCTATTTTTACCTTATCTGTCCAAATAGCATTGTTTCTGCAGTATTCTCGCTCAGCACTTAGTAAACTTTAAAAAGGCAGATGTTCTTCCAGCAGGGTTGGGAGGGTTACTTTAAAAGTGTATTCTGTTACAAATTACTGATTACCTGTTAAAAAATGTAATTGTAACCCAAAGGATCCAAAGGATTATTATATTATATTAAATTAATGAGAACAGGTGGTCTGAGAAATTTTTTTTGTATGGTAAGAAAAATTACAAGGTAGTAGTTTTTAATGAATTTCAACTTTTGTTGGAAAATGTTTGTACAAAAGCACTGTTAATACACACTAAGTAAATAAGATTCAGTCTCGACCTTTGCAAATTGCAGACAACTATCTCACCGAGTACTGTAATGATTTCATATATTAATATTATTAATAATAATAATAATAATACTTAGATTAAAATTAATAAAAAGATTAATTAACAACTTAACATGTAGTTACATACACTCACCGTTTTTTCCAACTGAAGAGAGGTAGCAATGAAGATATTTTTTTGGGCATTCCGTATCTTGGACGTCGCATATGTTTAGGATCATGTGTCAGAGATTCATAGCTGCTGGCACGTGATGACCCATAAACAGAACTGCTGTCAGATCCTGACATTGAAATGTACCCAGAACTTGCCAAAGACCAAGCCTCTGATCTCTCATCTTCAGTCACTAGGAGTAATAGGAGAAAGAAATTGAAATGCAATTCATGATTGAACAAGAAGCATGGTATAATCATCAATCTTCTATTATTTTTATTAGCAAGGTGGCTATGGAAACAAACAGGTTTTATGGGCACATGAACAGTTGACAATCAACAATCAGGTGAACTGGAGTGTGGATAGGTAGATGGCTGAGAGTCCGTGGTCATGTGATCCCCAGAGGATTCTGGGAGTTGGAGTTCTGAACAGAGTGAGGGGTGTTAATTTCTGCTGAGCCAGCGGGAGCTGTGACACTTAATAAGAATTGTGATAATATGAAGTAACTTACGTTTCTCATACTTCCTTAAGAGAATAAAAAAAATTAAGCACAATTCAACTAAAAGGTGAATTATCTTTACACAAATTATCCATACCTGTACTTGTATGTAATCTATCATTTGAGGAGCTGTCAGGTCCCAGTCCCAATTTTTACTAAATTGTTCACTTTCAAAAATCGCACTGAGGATTTTTATTCTGTCTTTCCAATTTAAGATCTGTGCTGCCAAAATTTCACCAGAATGTCTCCTGCCCAACCAGAGGAGACAAAACTGTAGATCATGTCTACACAAACATTGCAGACGCTTACAAGGCTGTCCCCCTCCCCCACCTGGGTCAGTCTGATCACATCTCATTGTTTCTGCTCCCAAGTATGTGCCACTCATCAAACGTGTGAAAACATCTACAAAGACTGTTACAGTGTGGCCAGAGGGGAATGTCTTCTCTCTACAGCATCAGTTTCAGAACACTGATTGGAGTATGTTCTGCCCTGAAGCCTCTACAGACCCTCAAATGGACTTTATATTGACAATGTCACCTCTGTCAAGTGTCTGAAAATCTTTCCTAATCAGAAACCTTGATGAATGCTGAGGTTCGGCTACGGCTGAAGGCACGTAACGCTGCTTTCAGATCTGGTGATGCTGAGGCTTACAGCTCAGCCAGGGAGGCCCTGAAGAAGGGCATTAGGAAAGCCAAACATGCCTACAAACTGTCTGTTGAAGCGTACTTCCACAACTCTGACCCCCGCCGCATGTGGAAGGGCATCCAGACTTTGACGGACTACAGACATCCCCCACTGATCCTCCCAGCCAGCAGTGCCTCTCTGTCAGACGAGCTTAAACAGTTCTACACTCATTTTGACCAGGGCATTGTTAAACACAACACATGGAGTGAACTTCCTCACAATGGTAGCCTCCCCACACTATCTTTAGTGGAGGTGTGTATAGTACTGAGCATAATTAGCAGAGTAAATGCAGGTAAAGCTGCTGGCCCAGATGGCATCCCCGGAAGAGCCGTCAGAGTGTGCGCTGGACAGCTAGTCCTGGTCTTCACTGACATCTACAACCTGTCACTGGCCCAGGCTGCTGTTACAACATGCTGGAAGGCTACAACCATCATTTCATTGCCAAAGCGTTCTTCTGCAGCATGTCTGAACGACTTCCACACTGTTGCACTCACACCCATTGTGATGAAGTGCTTTGAGAAACTGGTTCTAAGTCATCTAAAAGGAGCACTCCTTCCATCACTGGATCCCCTCCAGTTTGCATACCGCTCAAACAGATCAACAGAGGATGCCATTTGCACAGCTCTTCAATCTGCCCTCTCCCACTTGGAAAACTGGAACACATACATTCAAATGCTGTTCACTGACTTAAGCTTCACCTTCACTACAGTCATCCCCACCAAGCTGCTAAACAAGCTCAGTGATGTGTGAATCACCAAACTCCTGTGTATTTGGGTCTCGGACTTCCTGACAAACAGACCCCAGTCTGTGAGATTGGGCAATCATATGTCCACCCTCACCCTGAACAACGGTCTTCCACAAGGCTGTGTGCTGAGTCCTCTGATCTTCTCCCTGTTTACCCATGACTGCGTTCCTCTGCACACATTTAACATCATTAATAAATTTCCAGACAACACTACAGTGATTGGCCACATTAGGAACAATGATGAATCAGTCTACAGGGAGAAGATCCAGCACCTGGCTGCCTGGTGTGCCACCAACAATCTCTCACTCAACACAGACAAAACCAAGGAGCTCATTGTGGACTACTGGAAAAACAAAAGCTGCACACACTCTCCTGTCCGAATCAACAGTTCTGAAGTAGAGCGTTTCTCCAGCTTCAAGTTCCTGGGAATACACATCTCCGAAGATCTTTCACGGTCACTCAACACCTCACACTTGGTTAAGAAGGCACAGCAGCGCCTCTACTTCCTGTGGAGACTAAAAATAGAACATCTGTCTCCTCAGATTCTCACTGACGTCTACTGCAGCACCATCGAAAGTGTACTGACTAATTGTGTGACGGTGCAGTACAGCAGCTCCACTGTGGCTGACAAGAAGTCCCTCTATAAAGTGGTAAAGATCGCTGAGCGCATCACTGGCACGCGGCTCTCTGCCATCAGAGACGTTCACCACCAGCGCGGTGTGCACAGATGGGTCTCCTCCCTTCTGGGAGGAGATACAGAAGCATTCAGACCAGAACCAGTCGGCTCACGTCCAGCTTCTTTCCCTCCATCATCCTGCTGAACTCCACACCATTCCACTTATACTCCTACTTGCATGTTGCACACAATATTTATTCATCATCATCACTAAGCACTTAAACCAGACAAGGTCATGGTAGCAGTTGGGAGAGCAGAGAATCCCAGACAACCATGACCCCTGCAACTTCTTCCATCTCATTCTTGGGGACCCCCAGCCGCTCTTAGGCCAACTTGGAGATACAATCCCTCCAGCTGGTCCTAGGATGACCCCGGGGTCTCACCCAAGTAGGCCGTGCCTGGTACACCCCCACCGAGAGGCGTCCAGGGGGCCGTGAGATGCACGAACCACCTCAACTGACTCCTCTCAATGCGAGTAGCGCCTCTACTCCGAGCTCCTCCCAGATGACCAAGCTCCTCACCCTATGTAGTTGTGTGCAGCCCACCACCCTGCGAAAAAAATGTATTTCTGCCACTTGTATTCACAATCTCATTCTATCAGTCATTACCCACAGCTCATGACCATAGGTGAGGGCTGGGATGTAGACTGACCAGTAAACAGAGCTTTGCCTTAGCTTTGGCTTAGCTCCCTCTTCACCACTTCAGTCTGGTACAGTGACTGCATTACTGCTGCCGCCCGTCCCAGCCTGCGGCCGATCTCACGATACCTCTTTCCATCACTTGTGAACAAGACCCCGAGATACTTAAACTCCTCCACCTGGGGCAGGTCCTTTACCTGGAGTGGGCATGCCATCCATTTCTGGGCTAGGACCATGGACTCAGACTTGGAGATGCTGATCCGCATACTAACCACTTCACACTAAGCTGTAAACCGCTCCAGTGAGCACTAGAGGCATCCATGCGATCCAGCCAAAAGAACATCCTCGCCACCCTCCGGCCTCCACACATAATGCCCTCCTGACCACGGCTACGCCTTGACACCCTGTCCATGAATATCACGAACAGGAGTGGAGACAAGGCACAACCTTGGCGGAGTTCAATACTAACACTGAAAGAACTTGACTTAACGCAGAGTATAAGAACACAGCTCTCACTCCGGGAGTACAGAAATCGTATGGCCTGGAGTAGTAACAGGGTCCATTCAGACTGCATGTCGCCTATCTCTTCCAGACCTCTAGAAAAGCTCTCCCGGAGGTGGGAGTTAAAATCATTCGGAACAGGGGCCTCTGACAGTCGTTCCTAGCACACCCTCACTATTCGCTTGGGCCTACTGCGTCTGACCATCAGTCTTCCTTGCCATCTGATCCCACTTACCACCAGATGGTGATCAGTTGACAGCTCAGCACCTCTCTTCACCTGAATGTCCTGAATATATGGTCCCAAGTCAGATGAAATGACAACAAAGTTGATCATTGACCTTTGACCCAAAGAGCTCTGGTACCATGTACACTTATGAACATCTTTGTGTTCGTTATGGACAATCCATTCCTAGCACAGAAGTCCAATAACAATTCACCATGCGAGTTTAGATCTGGCAGGCTGTTCTTCCCAATCACACCACTCGAGGTCTCCCAGTCATTGCCAACATGAACGTTTAAGTCTACCAGCAAGACTATGGAGTCTGTAGGTGGTGCCCTTTCCAGAACCCCGCCCATTCAGTCCAAGAAGGCTTAATACTCCGACCTGTTGTTTGGTGCATCAGCACACAGAACAGTCAGAGTTTTCCTCTCTGCGATTTTAATTCGCATTGAGACGACCCTCTCATCCACCAGGATAAACTCCAACTGCACAGCAGCCTGCTGGGGACTTGTGAGTATCCCCACACCCGCTGGTGCCTCTCACCCTGTGCAATTCCTGAGTAGGAGAGGGACAAACCCTTTTAAGGAGTTTGGTTCCAGAGCCGACACTGTGGGTGGAGGTGAGCCCAACTATATCTAGTTGGTACCTCTCAACCTCCTGCACAAGCTCCGGCTCCTTCCCCCAGTCAGGTTACATTCCACGTACCAAGAGCCAGTTTCTGCCGCAGGGGTCTATGCCAGCAAGGGCCTTCCCACCATCTCCCACTGCCTATACGGCACTGCACCGGTCCCCCATGCTGGATCTTGCAGGTGGTGGGCCCACAATATTTATTTATGATCTCTTGTATTTCCATACAACAGATCGTTCACTGTATATAGAATACAACACATAAACGCTTACTCTAACAGTACGTAACATACCATATATATATTATTTAAAGTAGCATGTGTATGTATCATTCATAAATCTATTTATAATAATGCATACATTGTTCATATAGTTATATATTTCATAGATATGTCATTTATGGCTGTTATTGCACATTTGCACTGTCCGTTTTGCACTATTGTTACTATTTACACTTCTGGTAGATGCTAACTGCATTTCGTTGCTTTGTACTTGTACTGAGCAATGACAAAGTTGAATGTATCTAATCTATCCAAGTATAACAATTTATTTAACAATTATTTTCTTCCTTTTTGATTTTATTTTAGAGGAAGTACATACAAACACAGTAATAGTTCCATAATTAAATTTATTCATCTTACTTTAGTTACACTTGTGTACTTGTGACTGAGTAGAGTTAAAAAGTCCCCAAACAAACAGGATAAATCAGGTAAAACACATCTACAAGAGTAGGTCTTGCTAAAAGCTTTAATGAACTCAGAGACCATCATATAAATAACTTACAGCTTGTAGACGGTTAAGAGTGGAGGGTGCTACAAGTGGCTAAATGTAGGGATAGCTTTTACAACCAAAGTTAGAAGTATAGTAATAGTGAACTTTTTGGAATAATTGGCTGTTACATACATTTTCAGTAAAAACTAATAAACTACTATGTAATGTATTTAGTTATGACCCTGAGAAATTAAATTATATTCCCACATGTGCAACCTTATGGCTTAAGAGGTTAATGAATAGTAATTTTATTCTAATTTTGAGAATAAAAACACTCACCCATCCATGATCTGATGTTCCCTCTCGGTTTTTGCACCTTCATCATCCTCTCTTTAGCTCTCTCTTCCTTTGCTCTCCTTTTCTCTTCCACCTCCTGTAGAATCTCTCTGTCCATTTCAAAATGGCGTCCACTGTTTGCTGCCACCATCTCCTCTATCTTCTCCAGCAGCTCTGTGACTTGAGTGTCATCACTCCTGTTCTCATTGTTGAGAACATGATACCTGTTCCCACATTTCTCAACCAGCCACTGGAGCTCCTTCCCTTCACTCTCAATATGCTGCTCTATGGGTATAGATCCCAGACGGTCTCCACAAGTGAACAGCACTATAGTGTGACTCCACACTGCATCAGTGAGAAGCTCCAAATATCCATTTATCATTTTTTTCTTATTTTTTTTAAAAACACAGTCCGCACGTAAAATCAGCAGCAGAGCATGAGGTCCTGGAGGACACAGAGACACACTGAGCACAATCTCCTGTTTCAGTAACTCAGTGCTCATCTCTACAGGTTTATTACTCCACCATCCTGGAGCTTCAACTACAGTGATGTGTCTCCCTGCTACTTCTCTCTGTCTCTTCACACACTGAGAAGCTCTCTTTAACTCAAACTCCTCTCTGTTCAGGATGGTGTTTCCTGCTGAACTCTTCCCAGCATATCTGTCCCCCAGCAGCACAATCCTCAGCTCTGAGAGACAATGTGAGTCACCTGAAAAGTTGTTGTTTGGTATATGTTTATTTAGGAACTTATACGTACATGAATATATTACAAAACACATATACGCAGAACTCAAAAACTCCCCAATCCTGAACTACTAGCCTGTAAAAATGCATAAAAAATTAGGATTCTTCTCACACCCAGTATTGTATTTTACGCATGCAAGGCAGTTATAGCTACTATCACAACAAATGTATTCAATAACTAAACAATAAATAAACTAATAAATATTTATTGTTTTCGTATCCCTCTTTAACAATAAAATTATTTTTATTTGTTTTTGCAGCCAATGTGTGTGTGATTGTGTGTGTATGTCTGTCTGCCCTGCGATGGACTGGCGACCTGTCCAGGGTGTGTCCTGCCTCCCACCCAATGACAGCTGGGATAGGCTCCAGCACACCACCGTGACCCAGAAGGATAAGCGGTTGAGATGATGTGTGTGTGTTTTTGCAGCCTTTTTAGAAAAAAGTGCTGAGGTAATGCTGACTGTTTCTCAGTCTTTCAGTGCACATTTCAGTGAACAATATGCTTGCAGTTATGATGTTAGCAGCTGTTAGTATTTCATTTCTTTTTATTTTATACGATACTGAGCAGTGCTTTTGTAATTTCGTACTTTGCTACTTGCTTCAAGGAAAGGTTCGATTTCTCTGTACACATTCACAAAATTGTCTGTACTTGCCTCACATCTTGTTAGAGGCACAGTATTTTACTAATAATTCCTCACTTCTCATATCATCAGTGTCCTATCTGACAGCTTTATCAAACATTGCAGTATTGTGCAACCCTAATTTTAACACTGAGCATTCTGGTGACATTGCAAATTTCATCCTCAACAAAAATAGCCAAAAATAGAGATTCTAATAAAAATAAATAAATAAATAAATACAACAAACAAACAAAGGGTCAGTATCACCCTGTTACCTGAACTTATCGTAACTTGTCAAGTATATTATAATTGTGCTATTTTCTTCCGTAATTTAAATTCAAAGATTTTTCCTACCATTCTCTCATTGCTGTATAAATTTTAATGTATCAATTTTTACATTGTTAGTTAGATGAAATGTTCTCAAATTTTTCAATATCATAGCATTTATTTAACCAAACATAATCCGTTTTTAATGAAGCACTTCAATTTTTTTACAGCAAAAAGTACGCTAAACTGACAAACTCTCTAAACCCACATAATGAAATTATAAATACATTTTAACAACTGTTTGATAAAAATCCAATTAATATGATTTCTCTTCATATATTTAATCAGCAAAGATGTATTTGGTGCTTGGAGTTTGCTTGTTTAGTTTTACTGCAATTCGTTTTTGTGCTACAGTGCTTTTTAGTTAGTGGTCTGGATTTCATGGAACACAGTAAAAAACATTGTAATTGGCTAATTGGCTAGATGAATCATTTGCATATTGCAGCCTTCAGCAATATTAGCATTGCAAAGGCTAACATCATGATTATGATAAGTGAACTATATATGGCGCATATTTATTCATTCAGATAATAAGGCATATTATTCAGTGATAACTATTACACTTTACACATTATTTAACGCATGTAGTAATAACAATGAAGAATTAAAGGGTGTAAAAGGTCTAATGTATAATTAATTTAACTTAGTTTTGATAATAAAAACACTCACCCATCCATGATCTGATGTGCTCTCTCTGTTTCTGCACCTTCATCATCCTCTCTTTAGCTCTCTCTTCCTTTGCTCTCCTCTTCTCTTCCACCTCCTGGAGAATCTTTCTGTCCAGTTCAAAATGGCGTCCACTGTTTGCTGCCACCATCTCCTCTATCTTCTCCAGCACCTCTGTGACCTGAGTGTCATCACTCCTGTTCTTATTGTTGAGAACATGATACCTGTTCCCACATTTCTCAACCAGCCACTGGAGCTCCTTCCCTTCACTCTCAATGTGCTGCTCTATGGGTGTGTCTCCCAGACAGTCTCCAAAGGTGAACATCACGATAGTGTGTCTCCACACTTTATCAGTGAGAAGCTCCAAATATCCATCTAGTATTTTGTCTATATATTTTTTAAAAATACAGTCCATGATCAGTAGTACAGCATGAGGTCCTGGAGGACACAGAGACACACTGAGCACTATCTCCTGTTTCAGTAACTCAGTGCTCTCCTCTACAGGTTTATGAATCCACCATCCTGGAGCTTCAACCACAGTGATGTGTCTCCCTGCTACTTCTCTCTGTCTCTTCACACATTGAGCAGTGCCCTTTAACTCAAACTCCTCTCTGTTCAGGATGGTGTTTCCTGCTGAACTTTTCCCAGCATATCTGTACCCGAGCAGCACAATCCTCAGCTCTGAGAGATGGTGAGCATCACCTGTAAGAAACAGATATAAGAGGTTTGAAAAGTTGCTGTTTGGGTGATAGTTACACTGTGCTACTTGCATGTTTCGTAGCTGTGTGTGTGATATTACTAACTAGCAATGCTGCATCTACGACACTGATGGAAATCAAGGGTGTAACTTTAAGTTGAACACTGGAGTGATTAGAAATAAGTGTGATGATAATGAGCTGCCCGTAACTTTTTTCACTAATGTTAGCTGTAGCCATGGTGAACTTGAGGTGGCGATGGCTGTTACAAAAATACATGAATATTTAATATGTGAACTTTGGGGGTTTGAATAGTACTTTTTAAAAACCTACAGTATAAGCAGAGGCAACATTACTATATAGCTATATTTGAAAAAGTACATCACTAATTTTTTCACAGAGTTATGTTAATGACAAATATTGTTAAACACTTTCTATTGACTGTTGCTGGAAATTTTGAATAGTGTTGTTTTAACCAAACATACTATTTTGGACAACTTTTGTGTGAAAATATTGTATTAAAAAACAAGGACGAAGTGCTACACATTTATTTTTGTGCAATTCAGAAACAAAATGTATACAACATATATCCAAAACACGCTTTATATGTCCGACCAGAGGGTCATGACTGATGTTATACCATGGAGGCACCACAAGTTTTATAAATCATCAACTATATTGCCAAAAGTATTCACTCACCCATCCAAATAATTGTATTCAGGTGTTCCAATCACTTCCATGGCCTCAGGTGTATAAAACCAAGCATCTAGGCATGCGGACTGCTTCTACAAACATTTGTGAAAGAATGGGTCACTCTCAGGAGCTCAGTGAATTCCAGCGTGGTATCGTGATAGGATGCCACCTGTGCAACAAGTCCAGTTGTGAAATTTCCTCGCTACTAAATATTCCACAGTCAACTGTCAGTGGTATTATAACAAAGTGGAAGCATTTGGGAATGACAGCAATTCAGCCTCGAAGTGGTAGTCCACCTAAAATGACAGAGCGGGGTCAGTGGACGCTGAGGCGCATAGCGCGCAGAGGTCGCCAACTTTCTGCAGAGTCAATCGCTACAGACCTCCAAACTTCATGTGGCCTTCAGATTAGCTCAAGAACAGCATAGAGAGCTTCATGGAATGGGTTTCCATGGCTGAGCAGCTGCATCCAAGCCTTACATCACAAAGCGCAATGCAAAGCATCGAATGCAGTGGTGTAAAGCGCCGCCACTGGGCTCTAAAGCAGTGGAGACGTGGAGTGACGAATCACGCTTCTCCGTCTGGCAATCTGATGGACGAGTCTGGGTTTGGCGGTTGCCAGGAGAATGGTACTTGTCTGACTGCACTGTGCCAGCTGTAAAGTTTGGTGGGGCTGTGAAAGGAACTCTTAATGCTTCAGCAGACCAAGAGATTTTGGACAATTTCATGCTCCCAACTTTGTGGGAACAGTTTGGGGACGGTCCCTTCCTGTTCCAACATGACTGCGCAACAGTGCACAAAGCACGGTCCATAAAGACATGGATGAGCGAGTTTGGTGTGGAAGAACTTGACTGGCCTGCACAGAGTCCTGACCTCAACCCAATGAAACACCTTTGGGATGAATTAGAGTGGAGACTGCGAGCCAGGCCTTCTCGTCCAACGTCAGTGTCTGACCTCACAAATGTGCTTCTGGAAGAAAGTCAAAAATTCCCATGAACACACGCCTAACCCTCGTGGAATTCCTACCAGAAGAGTTAAAGCTGTTATAGCTGCAAAGGGTGGGCCAACATCATATTAAACCCTATGAATTACGAATGGGATGTCACCCAATTTCATATGCGTGTGAAGGCAGATGAGCGAATACTTTTGGCAATATAGAGTATGTAAGTATAGTGAACTTTATATGAGGACTGCTATGCTTCCAATCCACACTGCCTCTGAGACAGCTCCATCAGGAACATTCTTAAAGGTAACATGGTACAAAGTTACAGTGTGAAATGATTATTTTCCCAGTAACAACGTGCTGTAGCACATTACAATTTCAGTACTTGTACTCTCATGACAGTTATTGACTTAAGTCAATTAATTAATTATTAATTATTAATAAAAAGTTACAAACCGTATTTTGGAAAAAGTTGGGACATTTTGTTAAATGCAATAAAAAGTATATGATTTGTTGGTTCTCTTGAACATGTTTTTAACTGAAAGGGTACAAATAAGTTATTTTTAATATTTTGCAAGAAAAACTTGAAAGTTGGGACAAGGCAAGATAAGAATTAAAAGTTTATAGAATATTCAATTTACACCATTTTGAAAAATTCCACTAGAAGCAGGTGAATTGCTAACAAGCGAGGATATCATGACTGGGTATAAAAGGAGCATTCACCAAAGGCTCAGCCTTTGCAAGCGAAGATAGATCATGGTTCACCACTTTCTGCCAAGCTTCGTGTGAGAACTGTCAAATGATTCAAGCAGAAAATTTCTCAACACAAGATTGCAAAAAATTTAGGTCTTTCACCATCTACCACGCGATACTGCGAAAAGACTCAGGGAATCCGGAGAAATCTGAGTGCATGTAGGGCAAGACCTGAAAACCACTGTATAATGTGCATAACCTTCAAACCTTCAGATGGCATTGCATGAGAAACTGTCATGCTACCTTGTTAAATATAGCCCCATGAGTTCGAGAGCACTTTGGAAAACTGGTGTCACTTATCACAGTCCACTGCTTCATCAAGAAATACAACTTGAAACTCTATTACACAAAGATAAAGCCATATACCAATTCTATGCAGAAACGCCACCGATTTCTCTGGGCCTAAGATTATATCAAATGGAACTGTTGTCATATGGGCCCACATTTCAGTTTGTTTTTGGGAGAACAGACACTGAGCTCTCCATGCCAAAGACATAAGGGACCCTCTAGAGTTTTATCACCAAAAGCTGCAAAAGCTAACATCTGTCATTGTGGGGTGCATCAGGGTCCATGGCATAGGAGACTTGCATATGCGTGAAGGTACCACTGATGTAGAGGCCTATATTGATTCAGAAAGACATATACTGCCTTTAAGATGGTGCCTTTTCCCAGGAAATCCATTGTTATTTCAGCAAGACAATGCCAGGCCTCATTCTGCACGTACTACAACAACTTGGCTTTGGAGCCACAGAGTGCATGTCCTTGACTGGCCTGCCTGCAGTCTAGATCCTTCTCCTATTGAAAATGCATGAAGAGGAGATTCAGCCAACAATGACAACAGCCAGCTGAGCAACTGAAGTTTGTATCAAGCAAAGGTAAAAAGTCCACTTGAAATGTGATGTACCACAGTGGTAAACTTGGCTCTGTCCCAGCTTTTTAAATGTGCTGCAGCCATCAAATTCTAAATATGGAGCACTGGAAAGGTATTGAAAAACAGTGTATTAGAAGCACACTAAATAATTAAATTAAATACTTGTTTTTAGTGTTATGGCTTACAAAATGATGCCTGGTGCAATGGCTTATGTTTTAACTTTTTTTTAATATTTAGAATATGAATGTTTTTAGCTTGTTTCTAGGCATGGACAATTTTACATAATTACTGTTTAACATTTAAAAGTATCAGTAAACTACGGTTTAAAAAAAGTAGAAAAACTGTTTGTGTTAGCAGAACATTTGAGCAGTGATGTGTAGACATGGGTAATGTGGAGAGACAGGAAATGTGGAGAGGACTGAACTGATCAAAGGAAAGAAGAGGTTAGCAGGTGGAACAGTATGCACGACCACAGAGGATAGGCCTATTCCTTAATGACTATAACCAGTGAGACCCATTAGGACTAATAATCATTTCTATTTCTTTCAGTAATTAATGAGTTTCAGTGAACAAATGCAAAGGTAGCCAACAACTTGGATACCAGCAAATTGTAATAAGTTACATTACTGCCTTACAACATAAAATATATTGTTGACACATTGAATGTTTTTACATGCACTCAATAATCAGATCATAATCGGATATCTGCAGTTATCCGATTATTCAAATGGTCATGTAAACACCACACTACGAGCTAGAAATCTGATTAAGGAATCTGATAAAGAGAGCTGGATTTTAGTTCAGTAATCAGATTTCTAAGTGCATGTGGACTCTTGCCTGAATTTCTCAGTCTGCGCATGTGCAGAACAGACTGCTGTACCAGAAAATAAGCAAGCAGCGTTGCCACGAGATGCAGAAAAACACTTTTGGAGCGACGCTGAAACCAATTACATTCTCAACAAAATGAAGGATTTAAATATTTCTCATCTTCTAGATGATACATGTTCATATTTTCAGGTAAAGTGGCGCGATGTTTAAAAAGAAGTCGTGGCATGAAGTTCGACTTTACTTTTTACTTTCTTCTTCTGTGAGTTTATTGGCTGGTTCCAAAGCATAAATCTGCCTGACTCACGTAGACCCAGAGTTTTACATTATCTAATTACTCAAGTGCATATAAACATGTTGAGCAGATTACTGACAAAATCTGATTTTCTGCAGTTATCGCATTATTAGGTCCATGCAAATGCACTCACTGTCTTGCAGACTTTAATACAGGATGGAATTATTTAGACAAACATCTCAGTGCTTTGTCTGTAGTAAGAGCTAATGTTGAATTTTTAAGTTTTTTTTTTGTTTTCATTCTCTGTTATAAGCAGTGTTCTCTGTCTGTATGTTTCAAATTATTTTTTAACAATTTTCTAATGGAAACCAGCAATGCATTTCTGTGAAAAGAATAATGCTATAATGAACTAGGCTGAGCCCTGAATTTTTACATACTCAGCCAACTCCTCTGGTTACTTGTACATCCTTATAAGACACATAATGCACATACAGAAACTTATGGCTTAATAATTATTGTATCCTAATTTTGGTTTAAAATCACTCACCTATCCATGTTCTGATGTGCTCATTCTGTTTCTGTACCTTCGTCATCCTCTCTTTAGCTCTCTCTTCCTCTGCTCTCCTCTTCTCTTCCACCTCCTGTAGAATCTCTCTGTCCATTTCAAAATGGCGTCCACTGTTTGCTGCCACCATCTTCTCTATCTTCTCCAGCAGCTCTGTGACCTGAGTGTCATCACTCCTGTTCTTATTGTTGAGAACATGATACCTGTTCCCACATTTCTCAACCAGCCACTGGAGCTCCTTCCCTTCACTCTCAATGTGCTGCTCTATGGGTGTGTCTCCCAGACAGTCTCCACAGGTGAATAGAACTATAGTGTGACTCCAGACTCTGTCAGTAAGAAGCCCCAAAAACCCATATAGCATTTTTTCCTTATTTTCTTTAAAAACACTATCCAGACGTATGAGCATTAGTACAGCGTGGGGTCCTGGAGGACACAGAGACACACTGAGCACAATCTCCTGTTTCAGTAACTCAGTGCTCTCCTCTACAGGTTTATTGCTCCACCATCCTGGAGCTTCAACCACAGTGATGTGTCTCCCTGCTACTTCTCTCTGTCTCTTCACACACTGAGCAGTTCTCTTTAACTCAAACTCCTCTCTGTTCAGGATGGTGTTTCCTGTCGAACTCTTCCCAGCATATCTGTCCCCCAGCAGGACAATCCTCAGCTCAAAGAGATGGTGTGAGTCACCTGTAAGAGTCAGATATCAGACATTTGAAAAGTTATTGTTTCATTTATGTTTATTTAGTGATGCTGCATTATTTCTGAGTTTGCTAGCTGTGCGTTTGATATTATTAACTAGCAATACTGCATCTATGGCCAGATATTTGCCAGATACAGTCATCATAAAATCTCATTACAGTAGTAATTTTCACATTAAGCATAGCATTAACTTTAGATTCAGTGTTTTAATTTTTTCAACTTTATAGCATTTTTCAACCAAAAATAACAAAATGCATTGATGACACTCTTATTATTTGTTAAATCAGGTTGTGACCTGTTTTTATAGCAACAACCAACTCGTCAAATAAACTACACCGCTAATTCACATGTAAAATGCACACTTTAGATTTAGATCAAAATTAAGAAATATTGGAGCATGACAAATAAAATCACAGTAAAGAGCACTGATTCTATTTAACATGGAAATTTGCAAAAGGCAAAAGTAAACTAAACAGATCTAAACTGACAAACAGACTAAACCCACAATACGCAATATTCATTCAATGCTACTATTTTTAAAGCAACTTTACTTAACATAATTTCTCCAATGCCTTAATGTCTGAGAAAAAATATGACATTACATGAAAACATAAAATCATCAAAACACCCATGTAAACACTTACTGCACATATTGCAGTAAACCACAGCAATAAAACCTCACCAAACATGTCTTGGCTGATTGACAGCATTTGGAATAGATGTACATTTGATTCTTTTCCTTTTGGAATAGATGTGCCTTGAGCCTAGTCTGCCCATATATGTAGCAGACATTGATTAGTTTGATGTATTAGTATATGAATGTGTTACGGGTCCCAGGGTTGGGACCCATGGGACAGATTTTGCCTCTGAAAAACAGGGTTAAGAGGATGAGACACAAGACACGGCTTGCTTTCACAAATGCCTCTCTGGTCTTGGGTTTATTTAAACAATTCTCATTATAAAAAGAATCCCTGTTTGTTTTTCTTTTGTTCTTTGCTCAGCACACATCACCATTTAGCACAAAACATACAAATATTTAACTTGCTTTCTAACATACGTCAATATAGGCTGAACATGTCCCTATCAGAGGGACGCTGCATACTACAGTCCCACTTAGGCATCTTTGTCCAGTAGATGAATACAGCATCCTAAATTCATTGTTTTTGTCTAGGTTTGAAGGACATAATATTCTCAAAATACAACAGAATGTACATACGCTAAAAGAATTGCTGAAGCTCGTATATGTAGTCTATGACTATCCATCCATTACATATCATGTACCAAAGACAGAAAAACAGACGAGGCTCAGTTGCTTACCGTGTTTCATTAAACTCAAAATGACAAAAATGCTAACAGCTGGCACTATTAAATCTCTTACAATGTCTGTAACACTTTCTGGTACTCTGTGAAGAAAATGCTGAAACCTGTTTTGATAATGTTCTGCAATTTTGTCAATATGAATGAGTATCAAAATGTGTTTAAACACGTGCGTTTCTAGGAGCTTAGCTAGAACACAAGTACCAAACAATACCCAGTATGTCCGCCATTTTACAACTCGCCTACGGATTTGTACATCTACGTATCTATAAACCACTAAACCTCGATTTAATGCACGTAAGTCAACAGAAATGTACAAATATGTACCTGTATGCTGTACTAAATAGTTCAGGGGAATTTTAGTGTATTTTTAATACAGTGCTCACCTAAAAAAACAGGGTTAAAAGGATGAGACAGAAGACATGACTCGCTTTTCAGAAATGCCTCTTTGGTCTGAGAGGAAATTTCGAGACTACCATAGATAATCACAGCACAGCCAGCGCTACACTGCCTCCTTCAGGTAGCATCAGGGAATAGCAAGGATGCCTATATTCTTAGAACTGGAGTGCATTTACAACAGGATTAAAATGGCAGATTTAAATAAATTTAAGTAACAATAATAATAACAATAATAATATAAAGGAAACATACAAACACAAAAGTGACCACAGTTTGTCGGTATCACAAATGAATCATTTTAATATGAACCAAAAAAGGCCCTGATGACCACTGTTTTCTCACTGCTGGGTTAATTTGGTGTTTGAATATTTTTTTTTTCTTTATTTTTCTTTTCTTTGGGTTTTGGTTTATGCTAATGTGGTTTGTTTTTGGTTTATTTGTATATAAAGTGATTATAATCATATCTGAGGTTGAGTTTGGTGGCCTGATGCCTCCCTCCCATTCCTTCTTGGTTCGTAATTTGGAGCAATTTAGCATGTAGTTTGGGGAATGTGCACCTAGTGTGGTTTAGTACATGTCTGTTTATTATGTTGTATATGTTCTGGGTAGTGTGGCTTAAAACTGAGCTGCTGCCCGCCGCTGATGTGGAAGGGTGGGTGTACTTGCCCCTCTGACTGCCCTCTCACATGGCACCCACAAGCTGATGCGCCCACTTTCTGAATTGAGGAGGGTTTGAATTCTTCATCTGTTGCCATTACCTGGATTGGACCTATCGTTGCTTCACTGTAGGTGATTGGCCCATTCTAAGCAAGCCCTAATGTTGACAAAACGGAGAGGAAGACTGCAGTAGAGTGTGCACAGACCTGTACTGAGGCCTGCTCTCTGTAAGCCTATGGCTGGAGAGAGACCTACTATCATTGGTAGAAGTGTTAGAGAGGCATCTCATTGGACTGATGATGATTTTAATGTCAGACTGGATGAACAGTTTAGACATTAGCAGGTTTAGACAAATACTATCAAAAGAAATTGCCTGTTCATCCAGATAAAGTATGGTCATTAGATGTGCAATATGAAAAGATAGTGGTTAGGTAAATTTAGGGAGACTGAGTGTAAATACTATGAGCAAGAGATAACACACCTCAAAACTAGAACTGACAAGTTGGAGTCAGCGTATGAAAAATTGCAACAGAAACATCAGACAAATTTGCAAGAAAATAAAGTCAAATCAAGCTGTAGTCCACTGTAAATTAACACCAAGAAGGCCAAAAATATACCCAGATCTGAGGACAGAACTGCCTTCTGAATGTCAGGACTGCCTTCTGAATGTCAGGATAGTGAGTGAGGACCCATGCAGGTTAGGCTGTCACAACACAGTATAAGGCAATAGCTACTGGCAGATTGCTGAATCACTGGACAACAGGGTGGGACTGCTAGCACTAACTCATACCTGTGTGCTTGGTAAAGGTTTAATTAAGAACATCTATGTGAATTGAAAATATATACACGGCATTAGCCATGATTTTTGTTTGCTCTGGAAACCGAGACACTTCCTGGTAGCAAATGGTACCCCAGTGAAAAATGCTCAGCAGGTGCATGACCTCATGGAAGTGCTCACACTTCCAAAGTAGGTTGCTATTATTAAAATAAAGGCTAATTCTTCTGCCGCTTCTTTTTAATATCAAGGTAACTGTTTAGCTGATAATGCAGGTAAAAGGGCTGGTCTCCTGCCTACTGAATATATCCTGTCACCCTGTGAACAACCAGCTGTTAACAATTTGGATGACCTACTTAATGCTGATCTGGGAGAACTTTTTGACAAGATGTTCAACTAGGTCGGTAATACTTATGGAGATAAGTTTTCTGGGATACTACAACAATTGCTTCATTATGTATTAACCTTTTTAGGAACAATAGTATTAGTTACTGTCATCTGCTATTACCTATAATTACTCTAGTGCTTAATGACTAAACTACACTGGCATAGACGGTCCTTATAAACATGGAAACACTTAATTTCCCCATTTGTCTGTACACAGACTGAAAGGAAGAGTCTTAGCATGTGTAAAAGATGCTTAAAAGGAGGGAAATACTGGCCATATTTCTCTGTAAAAGGATAGGAAAGGTTGATTAACTTGGCAAGAACATACATTTTATAGTACGTTCTACAGTGTAATGGAGGAACGTCTTACTGTGTTATATGCTATTATATTGAATATTGTGCATGTGATGTGTTCGTACCCAGAACATTCTGTTCAGCCTATTTTGTCTGTCGGTAGTAGGATAAATTCTGAAGTGTATAGAGCTATACTTTTTACTTAGATTCAGTCAAATTCTGCAAAACAATTAGGACAGCACTTCACAGTACAGATGGATGATGGCCCAAAACACAAAAGCAACATCTAAAGGTACAAAAGCTTCTAAAGGTAGATATATTCAATGTTCTGATATGGCAGAGTTAGTCACCTGACCTCAACTCAATTTAGCATTCTTTTCACTAATTGAAGACAAAACTGAAGGCAGAAAGACCCACAAACAAGCAACAACTGAAGGCAGCTGCGGCAAAGTCCAGGCAAAGCATCTCAAGAGAGGAAATTCAGCATTTGGTGATGTCCATGGGTTTCAGACTTCAGGCAGTTCATTAACTGCAAAGGATTTGCGTCCAAGTCTTAAACATAATTCTTGCATTTACAATTGTTAGTTTGTACAGTTTACTTTGACCCTGTGAAAATGGAGGGACTGTGAAAAACAGCTGTAATTCCTAAATGGTATATGCAATGTGTTTGTTAAACTTCTTGAATTAAAGCTGAATGTCTACACTTCAATCACATCTTGACTGCTTCATTTCACATTCATGGTGGTGTTGTACAGAGGCAAAATTACAAAAATTGTGTCAGTGTCCAAATACTTATGGACCTTAATATAGTTTTTTTTGTTTGTTTTTTTTGCATTTTTAGCATTATGCAATATGATAGAAAGTGTGTGAACAAAAATACACAGAAAAAAAGGTGCTCTAGCTGCAGCACCTTACCTACATCACCAGCAATGTTCTCCCTAAGAGCATGAGGAAGTGCCACTAACAGGAACCACGAATACAGAAACATTCAGACCAGAGGACAGATCCAAATCTGAGATGACAAATGACAAATGTTATTCCTTTCCAAACTAACTGATAAGTAAGAGTGGCACTTTGAATGGCAATGCTTTCCATATGAACAGAAGCAATTTTATTTGTGAATGAATCTTAAAGTAGGAGAACTGTGTGTGGTGGTATGAAAAAAGTCACATGTAAATGATCATATTATTGCTGTGCATGTAAACACACTCAATATATATATATATATATTTTTTTTTTTCACTTACTAAGACCCAAAGGAGGAGGCCCAAAAAAGCTCACTTAATTTGGTGTACACCACCACTTAATGTTTGTCCTGTGGGATGCCTCTGCATGCATGTTTCAATGAAAGAAAGAACTGGCCTACCTTTTAGTTTTTCAGTGTCAGTTGTGAGGGCTGGAGGGGGCTGGTTGTAAGAATGAAAATGTGGAATTTCACAATGTATGATTGAATTTGTTGGTATGCATGCTCTAATTGTCAGAATTTCTCAACAGATGAATAATTTCTTTATTTCATTTTAATTCAATCAACGAAAACAACTCTACCAATATGGTTATACCCAGATAACAATCCATCATATAATCAATGTCAAATCGATGTTAAAGTGTCAATATTAACTTCATTTTGATTCTTAACCGCATTTGCACTCTGAATCAAACACTGAAAGTTTTAACCAATTTTAACCCTTAAAAAATCTATTGAAGTAAAATACTATCAGAGCCATCCTGCTTTATTTACAGCAAATCTATTTGGCCTTAAATAAACATAAAACATTTCTTTGGTTTAATTTTTTTTTTCTTTATTCAGATTGGATAACAGCACACTTTAAAGAAAACTTTTTTAATAGTGCAACATTACTCATACTGAAACTGTCAGTAATTCATAAACATCAGACAACTGGCTCAGTTCATGAGATGCCCTTTATATTTAGGTGCTCTGAAAAATAAAAACAAGAAATCAAGCAATGTTGTAATGAGTAAAAGTAAGAATAATTTTGTAAATCAGGTAACACTATAAAGAGACTAATATTCAGTTATAAGACAATATTGTCTCTCCCTCACATATCAAACTTTTAAAAATAATGGTAAGAATTAGAAATATTCATTTACCTCTAATATAGACAGCATCAAGCTGTGAGAAGGACTTGAGGAGCCGGGCATGTAAGTTCACATTGGTGCGTCCATCACATGATCTTATGGTCTACTACAAATCATTGTTTATTCAGTATCATTGCTGTCAGTGTTAAAAGCTGGCTACTCTCATCTAAAGCCAGTGTGTATTCAACACCACAGTTGACAGTGTTAGGAGCTGCTGACTTTCACTGACAGTTCAACACTGATCCAGCATATTGCTGACATTGAAATTTCAACCTGGACCAAAATGATCATTCTGATGGAAAATTAATAATAGATCAAGGTCTGGGTTGTGTGTGTGTGTCATTAGTAACTGTGGAAGTTGTTTTTTAGACTAGACAGAAATAATTAAACCATAAATAACATACTGTATTTATGGTTTAAAATAGTTTTCTGCATAAACATTTCATGATCTTTATTTAAATATGGGACAGGGTGCATAAAATAATGCACTGAATGAAAGAAAAGTGAAATTGATCCAACACATTTGAGAGTTTAGAGCTAAACATGAATAATACATTCAAATTTGTGTAGAAGCTGTAGTCAAAAACATGCTTTTAACCAGGAAAAGATATTTCCAATGAACTGTTCTGATATTGTGTATAGAAGAGTTGACAAAATACACAGACAAGATCCACTGCATGAAGATATAACAACTGTAAACAGCAATGCATTTACTAACCCTAAATGTGGAAAGAGCAGATCCAGATACTTTACATTACGTTTGTTCTGTCTGGAGATGCTGGATCGCTGTACTCTGAATTGTTAAAGTTTCTACACTTTCTGAACATGATCTGTTGTAATTTATAAATGGATTTTGTGTTACAAGTAATTTCTCTTGGCAACCCTGCTCTACTACACACCACTACTTTTCTAGATAAAATTTCTAGATGTCTAATATCTCTAGATAAGAAGAAGACTCTGTTTATAGAGTATGTGTAATTTGGAAAAGTCTTACCTATTATTTGGAGTTGAGCCATTGTTATTCTCTTATCTGCAGATGTTTTCCAGCTAGCAGTGTTCTTGATGCGGTGCACTTGTTTTGAATCAGGAAGTGTGCGTGTAAGAGAGAAAACTGAAGGGTGTTAAGAAAAAGTACAATGCCAAGTGACCTTTTCTCAAATGAAAAACAGGAAGTTCTTGAGCAGAAAGCAGGTCAACAGGATGCTGCAAAATTGCATATGTTGCAGAAACAACCCCGAACAGAGATATGAATGGTAGACTTCAATATAAATAGATACATAATAGATCCATTAGAGTAATGCACATCAGATATACACTATATTGCCAAAAGTATTCACTCACCCATCCAAATCATTGAATTCAGGTGTTCCAATCACTTCCATGGCCACAGGTGTATAAAACCAAGCACCTGGGCATGCAGACTGCTTCTGCGTAGAGAGCTTCATGGAATGGGTTTCCATGGCCGAGCAGCTGCATCCAAGCCTGACATCACCATAGATGGCCCCTTCCTGTTCCAACATGACTGCGCACCAGTACACAAAGCAAGGTCCCTTTGGGATGAATTAGAGCGGAGACTGTGAGCCAGGCCTTCTCGTCCAACATCAGTGTCTGACCTCACAGATGCGCTTCTGGAAGAATGGTCAAAAATTCCCATAAACACACTCCTAACCCTTGTGGAAAGCCTTCCCAGAAGAGTGGAAGTTGTTATAGCTGCAAAGGGTGGGCCAACATCATATTAAAGCCCTATGGATTAAGAATGGGATGTCAAGTTCATATGCGTGTGAAGCCAGACGAGCGAATACTTTTGGCAATATAGTGTATCTCATTTGCCATTAATGATTGAAGAAGACAAGTTGAGACATTCTGTAAAATGCTATACAAATGAGATTGTGATTTGTTTATTCTCTTGAACCTTTATTTAATTGACAAAAGTACACAGAAAAGATGTTTTCGCTGACAGATTTCAAAAACATATAGTCAAAAATAAAATAAAGAAATAATAAATAGCGGAAAAGGGGATAAATTAATAATAATTACAATTAAAAAGCACAAGATAAAAGTGTAAATAAAAATACAATAAAATGCAACTAAAAAGAAAATAAAACTAATACTAATATTCCAATCAAATAAAGGAAACAGTAAAAAAAAACTAGTTAAACGCTAAAGTAAAGAAATATGTTTGTAACTGTTTATTAAAAACATTGACTGACGTAGCCTGATGGATATTTATTGGTATTTTGTTCCAGAACTTTGGTGCAAAAAACAAAACACTGCCTTTCCGCTCTTTCTAAGTTTTATACTTGGAATTTTGAGATGGCAGCACTTCATGACCTTAAAGCTTGATTTGGAACATAATCTATCAGAGACTCAGAAATGTATGAAGGTGCTAAACCTTTAAGTCATTTAAAAACTAGTAGTACAATTTTATAGTCGACTCTAAAAGAGACAGGCAGCCAGTGGAGTGAAGCTAAAACTGGTCTAATATGATCCTGTTTTCTAGTCAGTGTTAATATTCTTGCTACTGCATTTTGAGCAAGTTGTTGGTTGTTGGAGGTTCTATGAAAAAAGGATTACAGTAGTCGAGAAAATACAAAAGCATGGATCAATTTATTAGCACCTTGCAGTCAGAGATAAGGTCGAACCATAGGTGCTACATAGGTGTTATGTTCCTTAAATGATAAAAAGCAGTTTTGGTAATATTATTAATATGTGCTTTAAAAGTTAAATCAGAGTCTAGAGTTACAACAAAATTCCTAACTTCAGTTTTTATTTGTAGAGCCAGATTTCCAAGTCTTTCATACACCTTTTTCCTCTTTGCTTCACTACCAATAGTAGTTTCAAGTTATTGGTGGAGTTTATGACTGTAAGGACCTGGCCATTCTAGCTCCTCAGGGAGCTTATCAATGTGTTTATTGTCACAGTGTACATTCCACTCGTTGGTAACCCGAGAGAAGAAGTTGAATGAACTCCACCTATTAGTGACCCACAGACTGTGCCCACAGATGTGTATGATTAAAGTCCTCCTAACAGACATCTTCAGTATCTCCCTAAGCCAGGCAGACAATGGAGTCAATGAGGCTATCATTATCCCTGTGCCAAAGAAATTGCCAGTGCCTTGCCTCAATGACTACCAACCTGTAGCACTCATTCCAATTATTCTAAAGTGTTTTGTGTGATTTGGTCATAAAACACATAAGAGCAGTTCCTTACACACTAGATCCATTTCTGTTTGTGGTAACACTTTACAATACTGCTTCGTTGTTAATAAGTAACTAATCTAAGACTAAGCAGGAATGAGTGAGTAGTGCTGCAATAACACTTAAGTAACTACTCTTAACTACCAAGGACTACTAGTTAACTACTCAGTAGGTAATAGTGAACTAATGATTAGGGTAGTTTACTATTAACTAAACAATAACTACTGAGTTTCGTAGAATAACTGCTCATAAATATCCAATCAGTTCAACATTAACTGCTCAATAGCTGAGTCTTACAAGGTTCCTGGTGAACTGACAACTGATGTAGTGTATTGCAACACTTCTAACAGTAGTGAAATACACTACCCACAAAATCATGGATTATATCCTCCTTTTCTATTCACACAAACAGGTATCCACAGAGACGGCTGTGGGCATTACACCACACTGTACTCACTGATGTCCCTCATGTGTTTGTTTTGATTAGAAACCTTAAAAGGCTAATGCACATCTTCATATTTGGCAATGTGAACCAATTTGCACATCAGCCTACAAATGGGACAACTGCTAAAATACTACAGTATTCAGTAGACCAGTCTGCTTACATCTCATCTTTAGAAAAAAAAACATTCTTTTCTGCAAGAGCATGTGTGGCAGTGTTTCTTCTGAACAGTAGTTCTCCTTTAAAGTGCTCTTGAGGGCAGGGTCAGTTAAAGAGAGGGTTCATCTGCAGTCAGACTGTGTATGTGTCCTGCCTGCAAATTCACTTGGTTCTAAATATTACTGAGTGATTATGCAATTACTGTCTGTTAGATAATGAATGGGGTGTTGCTGTTCTTCATTAGGAGTTAATGAAGATCAAGAACAATATAAAGTGAAACACATGGTAACCAATTATTAATGAACAAAGAGTTAAGGATGATTAGGAACAATATAAAGTGAAACACATGGTAACTCATTATTAATGAATAAGATGTTACTGTGTTCTTCATTAGGAATTATTCTAAGAAACCATAGTTATTAAGTAATTCTCTATGAGACTCAGTAGTTATTTTTTAGTTAATAGTGAACTACCCTAATCATTAATTCACTATTACCTACTGAGAAGTTAACTAGTAGTCCAGTCACTACACAATACAATATAAACAAACTGTTAAACCAGAAGTTAAGACACCTCTCGGCCGGGGGTGGGATTCTTTAGAAAATTCTGTTTAGTCAGCATGTCTGTGTAATGCTCTTTGCTTATCTGGAGTTAATGGATAAGATAATGACCTTAAGAATGGTTGTTCTGTAATAGCTTCTGTCCTAAATTCAGTTCTAACTGAAGTTTTAATGGTGACTAAGCAGATAAGGTAATCCAACTGAACTCAGGGCATAGATCCCTTTCCAGCGAGAGACACAGGACTGCTGTATAATCTGCCTCACAGAGACCTGACTATCAGCAGAGATTCCCAGTGAGACCATCGAGCACACAAGGTTCCCTGTGCACCACGCAGACAGAATAAAGGACCTTTCAGGGAAGAATAAAGGGGGAGGTGTGTGTTTTATGTTCAACAATGCTTGGTGTGATCACAGGAATGTACACTTCATTGAGTCTTTCTGCTCCCTGAGGCTGGAATATCTAATCATCTCTTGCAGACTGCTGCGGCTGCCGAGAGAGATTTCCGGGTTCATTGTCACTGCGATGTACATCCCACCACAGGCTGATATGGATCTGGCACTCGGGAAACTGTACAAGGCTATTAACAGGTAGGAGACCGCATGCCCAGAGGCTGCCTCCATTGTTGTAGGAAGTTGCTCTAAAGTACTTCCAACACATCTCATGCAGCACATGAAAAATTACGCATGCTGGATCACTGCTATTCCGACTTCTGTGAAGCATACAAAGCCCTCCCCCCGATCTCCATTTGGCAAAACAGATCACTTGTCCATTCTGCTCCTGCCCACCTATAGGAAGAAGCTGAAAAGGGCACCGCCCACCATCAGAGAGGTACGCCGCTGGTCGGACCAATCAGATTCTATGCTCTAGGACTGTTTTGATGATGTAGAGTGGGAAATGTTCCAGGAATCATCAAACAGTAACATGGACGAATATGCAGACTCTGTTACCGTATTCATCATTAAGTGCATAGATGATGTGAGTACATGGCTAAAGTGGAATCACATTTCAACCCCACCAACATGAGAGGCCCTGTGGGAGGGGTTAAACACAATAACGGACTTTAAGAGGGAAACTCGTTCTGTGGATAACATCAGTGCTGCGCTTCCAGACGAGCTGAATACTTTCTATGCTTGTTTCGAGGTAAATCATGTCGCAGTCCTGGAAAAACCCCTGCTACCACAAAGTAAACCCCCCACCTCCGTCTCCATGGCTGATGTGTGTAGAGTCTTCAATGACATTAACATCCGCAAAGCAGCCGGACCTGATGGCATTCCTGGATACATTCTCAAAGCATGTACACATCAGCTAGCAGGAGTGTTCAGACATCTTTAACCTCTTGCTGTCCCTCCCCCCCATTTTCAGGCATCTTTAACCTCTTGCTCTCCCTCCCTTTCAGTTGTGCCTGCGTGCTTCAAACTTATTCCCATTGTGCCAGTTCCAAAGTTAGCCAGGGTTATTACATTAATGGACTGGCACCTGGTTGCTCTTTAACAGGCTCCATCACAACCTATTATAGGAAGTGCCCTGCCATTGAATGGAATGCTCTGCAGAGGGCGGTGCAGACAGCCCAGCACATCACTAGGATCCAGCTCACAGGATTTATACGCCAGCCGCTGCCTGAGGTAGACCAGGAGGATTCTAAAAGACTCCACCCACCCCAGCCACTGTCTGTTCTCACAGCTACCGAGCAGGAGGAGGAGGAGGAACAGAAGCATAAAATCCAGAACCCGCCGGTTCCGAGACAATTTCTTCCCCCCGGGCCATCAGGCTGCTGAACAGCCAGTAGTGCTGGTGTATTGGTCTATGGGCCTGTCACTACACTTCTGAGTCATCTTCTATATAAGTGTGTGTGTGTGTCTCAATATTTTATCTCCTTTATACCCTGCATTTCATTTATCTACCTCAGACTCACAAAATCCCATATATGAAAATGTGTTACGCTGTTCAACTAGGAAATGATGCAATACTGGAGTATAGTAATGTGTATATTGTTTACATGTGTACATTTAGAGTCTGACAGGTATATTTTTTCTATTTTTGTGTATTTAAGTATTACTAGGGGGCTACACACCTAAGATTTTCACTCACCTTCGCACCTGTATGTAAATGTGATGGGACAATAGACGTGATTTGATTTGATTTAAAGATTTCAGACTTTTACCAACTTTTGGTAAAAGAACATTTTACCAACTGCTGAGTGTGGTTCTGTGGTGGCTGGACAGAGGGACTACCCGCTGCTGGGTTTAGGAAAACTCAAGTCAAGTCAAGAGGCTTTTACTGTCATTCCATCTATGTACAAGTACACAGTGGAGCGAAATTACATTCCTCCAGGAACAAGATGCAACATGGAACAAAATAAGACAGTACAAAGTGCAAACATTAAACTATAAACAGTACAATAAATACGATAAATAAAGCAGACATTAGACACAGTAAACAGACAGGGCAGTGCAGCGCCGACACAGCACTCATTTCTGAGCATGAGGTAGTGAGGATAAGGTGCAGAGATATTTAACATGCTATGATTTTAGTTATGACATACGTGAGCACAGCAGTTACTGAGGTAGAAATATACAGTACTTGAATAGAATAGTATTAGCAGCAATGATCCAGACACATCTGATGCTCTTCAGAGCATCAAAAAGAGGAGTGTGTGTGTGAGTGTAGAGTATGTGTGTGAGAGGGTTTTCAGTTCAGTCCTTTTGAGTTTTAAAAAACCTGATTGCTTGCAGAACAAAGCTGTTGTAGAGTCTGGCAATGATGGCATGGATGCTCCAGTACCTTTCACGGCAGCAGTGAAAAAAGTCTGTGTGTGGGATAGATGGGGTCGTCCACAATGCTGGTGGCTTTGCGGATGCAGTGTGTGGTGTAAATGTCCATGATGGAGGGGAGAGAGACCCCGATGATCTTCTCAGCTGTCCTCTCTATGCGCTGTAGGGTCTTGTGGTCGGAGTCGGTGCAATTCCCAAAACAGGTGATGATGCAGCTGCTCAAGATGCTCTCCACACTCCCCCTGTAGAACATGGTGAGGATGGGAGGGGGAAGCTGAGCTTTCTTCAGTCTCTGCAGGAAGCAGAGGCGCTACTGGGCTCTCTTGGCTATGGAGTTGGTGTTGAGGGACCAAGTCAGGTTCTCTGTGATGTGAACACTAAGGAATTTGGTACTCCTGATGATGTCCACAGCAGAGCCACTGATGTTTAGAGGGGGTGATCACCTCACACTCTACTATTTTTCAATCAATGAGGGTTTAATGAGGGTTTAAATTAATTGCACATCATTGTATTTGGTTTTATTTATGTTTTGAACAGCACCCAACTTTTTTGGAAATGGGGTTGTAATAATAATAATAATAATAATAATGATCATCATCGTCGTCATCATCATCATCATCATCATCATCATCATCATAATAAAAAACAAAATTTCTTTCAGGTTGAAGGCAAGTCAGGAAAGCCAAGGGATGAGATGGAAATGTCCAATACAATTTTATATAGCTTAACCAAAACCTATATGACTTTTTAACAGGAAAGGTTGTCATTATGCTGGTAGGTGAGACGAGGTAGATCATTTAGATCTCTATGAATGATACAGATTTAACTAACAAAGCGCTTATTTTGTCCAAACACTGTGCCTTTGCATCACAGTTGAGTTTATTGTGGTATGAGACCTTCTCTTTTTCTGTTAATGTCTCACATAGGTAATGTTTCACTTGAGTAAACAAAGCCATTGATCCTTGTCATATGGTGCTACCAACTCAAAATGCAATGCTGTGTGAATTTCACATTCCCAAGTAGGGGAAAGCATAATGCTTGGCTCTCATCCAATCATCTCAGACCTTCTAAGTTGTAAGCCAGTCATAACAGACCGGTCTGCTCCCTCTGCAGTCTTATGGTCCTGCTCGCTCTGCAAAGTAACGTCAGTTGGCAACTGCTGAAATTTTGACAGGATTCTGGCTAAAAGCTAAAACATTAGCAGGTGAAGTATTTACAGTGTGAAAATATCTACCTACATTATTATTTGAGACATTATCGTCAATATAGCTGGACACTGAGGTTTTACCCAATTGCTTGTTAGCTAGCTAATCTTAGGTGTACATGAGGTATAGGAAAGGAAATAGGCTAAATGTTACATTAGCTAGCTGAAGAGCCAGCTGCCAAATTATTCGCAGCTCATATTCTTAGTTTTATTTTTTTCTTTTGAATTTGGAACAAATCACTTCAATATTAGCCATAGACTGCCATTTAAAGTAAGTAAATATCAGTGAAACAATCAGTGTCGATCATAAAAGTTTTATTTCCCTCAATTCCTTAATTTACAATTAGGTCCTATTAGATTTGTGCTTATTACAAACCATAAATGGACAGATTTTCTGTGTGCCAATCTTTCAAAATATTCATGAGGAACAGACATTTAAGGCTTGGCCCCCTCTTCATAATTTTCTAGTGAAGCCCCTGCACCCCTGTGCCTGTAAAAAATTACCAGTACAAGTTTGTAGCTGTATTATTAGCTGTTAGAGAAGTTCCTCTTGAAAAGTCCTTTAACCTTTGCTGGGTCCAGCCTCCAGTTCATCCACTAAGAAAGGCAGCTTCTTTTTAAGGATTTCATAGAATTCTGCTTTCACAGCTGCTCCTCCTGAGTCTAGAGCTCTGTACAAGATCCTCATTTGCTCCTGAGATGTTTTGGCAGTTTGAATGTTGTTGTACATTTCATCAGTGATCATGTTTTGACTTTGTAGACAGTCTGCAATTTCCATCACTGAGGAAACTTTCTGAATGAGCATTTCCCTTTTTTCAGCCACAAATTCAGCACCTTTAGTTCAAATAAGAATTGAAATGAATTTATGAAGTTTTAAATTTCCACATAGCACATACACCAAATATACAAATTCACTCTGTCAAGCTGAATCTTAATACAGCAATTCAAACAGTAGCGACAGTGTAGAAACAATGTTAATTTACTCATGTTAAAATTGAATGTTTCATTAAGGGGTGTATAGCAAAGTGTATAGCAACAACCCACAGAGATGAAAACAGCCCTGATTTTCAAAAGGGTCATGGGAGGGGGGGTGGTTAATCCTTTTATTATCTTTGGGGTCAATTTGACCCCAATCAATATTTAATGTCTCTAAATAAATGATTAACACATTTGCTTCATATTTCAAATACGAAATTAACATGATGATATGTTTTCAATGTCCTGTACATATACTGTATGCATCAGTGTTCTTTCTTTGACAGGCTGTTTTATCAATTTTACACACATTTGTTATAGTTGTTATTGAGGTTAATATCACATGCAATTTCATAACCTTCAAAAACAACTCCCTATGCTTTAGGACCCTAACCTAACACAACCTTCTTGTAGTAGTGCAAGAACCACTGAAAGTTCATATGACATAGAAGAAGGTAAAACATAACTCTAACAAGAACTTTGATTTGTCCTTTGCTGTGGGGGTGGGGAAATATGATTCCAGCAAGGACACGGATAGTAACGTAGGGGAGGAGCAAACATATTGTGCATGGGCCGCACTGCCATAAGTAGCTCAGGAGGTGTGGCCATACAAAGTAGCTCTCGGGTGGTGCCACTTTCCGGGTAAGAAAAGGACAATTTTTGTTCTGTTCTCTTCTGTTCTTAGTATTGTTGCTGTTATTAGTGTAATTGTGTTGCTTAGAGTAAACTGTGTCCAGGGAGGGTGGGCTTTGAAGTGGTTAAGAGTGTCTGCTCTCCTCATATGTTGTGTCCTCCCACATTACCCTCTGCCTATGTTTCATGTCAGGGTTAGCACTGGGATGGACATTTCTTGCTGCCTGTTGAAGTGCCTGTTCAAAATAAAAAGGAAACAGCATGGTGAGGCTCAGCAGCTGAGCTCAGCTTGAGCCCAGCAAGAGTGTGGTGTGTACCTGCCTGCTGCATTTCCATAGCAAGGAGGCCTGGGAGCTGTACTCCCCACAGCTGCAAGAGGTTGTCTGGCACCACGGCTGGATGGTGGCCGTCACTCTAATGCAGCTGTGTTTGCCACTGGAGGAAAAGACATTTTGGGTGCTTGTGAATCTGCTACTACATGACAACTTAGCAGCATTGACCACGGCCCTCCAGCAATGATTCAGGCAGGCACTGGCAGCAAGTCATGGCCAGACAGCAGCTCCTAGAGTGTTGAAGGCTATAGGAAGAGCATCACATCAGCAATAACCTTGTTGACATCGATAACGTAGTAGACGATGGAGAAAACGGAAAGAGTTGGAGAGGATGGCAGCTGCTGCTGCCATCGCCCCCATTAGCACCAGACTTGATGCTGTAAGCAGCAAGAAGTTTCACCATGCCCAGGAGGATGATGCAGCTCTCAGTCTCTACGATCTGGCACATCAATGGTAAAGACGCTTACGAAGCTGGTGTTCGGCTTTGCGGCGCACCCAGAGCAGAGTATGCTGAGGAGCCAGTGTGCCAAGGACACTGCCCCAAGAGAAGACTGGGGGGGGCGCGAGGAGCAGGCAAATCAAATCAAATCACATTTATTGTCACATCACATTTACACAAGTGCAAAGGTGAATGAAAATCTTAGGTGCGTAGCCCTCTTGACACCCTGCGGCACTTGTGTTGGCTTGGATTCTGCTCGCCCCAGGGACTTTGTTCGGACTGTGTGCGTCGCTGGGACAGCTGACCCTTGAATGCACGTAAAAGGTATTCTGGACGTATACAGGGGGGTGGTGGGGGCTATGTTTTATTTAATTTAGGTAGTCAACAAAGAAACATAAAGCATCTGACACATAAACCTTGGTAAAAATGTATATTTGTCATCATTTTCTGAATATTTAAATTGCCCCCAAGTCAAATTGACCCCAAGGATAAAAATGTTAGTTAATTTGTTAGAAAATGCTTCAAGTATCAATTCAGGGCAGCAGACAGTATATCAGAGTTGACAGCACAGTAAACTGCAAAAATCAGGCTTCTGTGAGTTAGGTCTTACCTACTGAATCCATGTTGGGTGGGGCTGCATCAGTACCATAATCTAAAGAGGTAAAGTAGGAATGAAGTTTAGCATTGACACAATTTTACACACTTCCTTCTTTAATCATAAGGAAAACTAACTATCTGCTCATATTTTTTCTAGCTACATGAGAAGATTTAAAGAAGGAAAATTACAGTCTGGGCCTGATTTGGGGGGCTACAAGGGGATGTCACCCCACTCTGTGCAAGACTCAGATATCACTATTAATTTTTTCAGTTCCCAGTCTTATTCAGAACAGTTTATTTCAGTACAAAGTTATTTGTTTTCAAGAGATATTTCTGAGCAGATGAGATAATCCACTTGCATGAAGAAGGGGAAAGTCAAAGTGAAAAACACGAGTTTCCAAAACTATTTAAAAAAAAAAAATCTAGAGCTACTTAAAGCTTAAAGCTAGAGAGGAAGACTCCTAACAAGCACCTATAAGACCTGGTAGACCACCAAAACTGTCCCTATCAGAACAGCACTTAAAGATTTCATGACCTTTGCACTGTAGTGTACTCTGGAATTTTAAATGTGGAGCTCCATAAAAACACAAAGAGAATGGATGGCTGTGCATGAACACTTTGAGATGGGTAGTTGCTCAGAGTTACTAGCTATCTTAAGCACAGCATAAATTGCAATTTAGTCTCCCCTTCAGACCAACCTTAAGTAGACATAAATTATTGATTGTCTTGTTCTGGCATGTTTCTTGTTATATATTGATATAGTTTAGGTGCAGTTTGATGGCTATAGAAAGAGCAACTTATGCCATAAAAGTCAGCAAAAGCAATGAATCTTATTCATTTTTAATACACTTACATTTTGTTTAGTTATTTATGAGTGTTTCTGCAACTATTTGCACTTGGCTATCTAGAAAATGGACTTCTGTAATACAAATTCTGAGCTATATAAATTTTACAGGTTTCTGAGCTGTTGTAGGGTCACTAGTTGCAAGACTGTAATTTAACAGTCTTGGTCGTAGCTTCTTGTCCTCCTTGGAACCACCGGTGGTTCCAAAACGCACTTCTTCATAGTCTTCATAACTTTCATATTTCATAAGTTACATGCAAAAGGTGGGTGTCATATGAGAGCTGTAACTGTCTTCTTTCCAGTCAAATAGATGGGTGATGTCATTTTAAACCCTTATAATCAAAGAAGCTGAACTCACAATTTTTTTTTCTACTGAAAGTCGACCCATTTTTTCACAAACCTGGGCTATAAACTATAAACAGATGGCGTCTCTTCATAATATACCTTATAAAATAATACAAAGAGCATCAAAGATTTTTGGCTTTCAGCAGTAAATTGTAAGCATATACCAATATGTGTGATCATAAAACACATTTTTTGTTAATTTGAGGGGAGCTTTTACAAAAAATAAAAATAAATAAAAATTAACATTATAAAAATTAACTGAATAATTTGCCTTAAGATTTGGTCACATAAATTCAGATGGACAAACCAAAATATTCCCTGGATCATAAGAGGTTAACATAACTTGAAACTGAGCCTTTCTATGTAATATCAACAAAACCTTTAAACAGAACAAAAACAGAAAAACAGAAAAAGTCCTTTCTCTACACGCCTACATAAAATCTGTTCTCTGCCAGTTGAAGATCTTATTGATCCTTTCTAAGATGGTTAACTGAATATTATTTGTTCATTGGTTCACAAATTCCAACATCTCCTGAGAGAAAATCAGAATGTTATTATTACTGTGTTTTCATTTAATGTAAGTTGATGTTAGGTGGTGATTCTGAATAAGCTTTGTAGAAGAAGGGACAGAGAATAACCTCACCACCATTTGTTTCCAAAAGTTACAATGCAAGGTTGGACTAAGACAATAACATAATAATAATTTATCATATTTTTGGCTAATATATTACTTAATGTTTTACATAATCCAAACAAAATGTACTTTATATATTTAGATTCTGAAAAAATCTTAATCTTAATATGCTAAAGCATATGGAAATGCAGAAAATGTTGACTGTGGAAAGATTATATTTACTTTGATTTACTGTGAATTCAGGATCACCTAGATTCTCTCTCTGTAGTGTGCTCTTTGGCTAACTTATGCTTCCAACCTTCGAAGTAGGTTTGTTTGGCTTTTAAAAAACTTGAATAAACAAATACGGTTAGGACGGACCTATTTATAAAAATGTAGTATAAAATATGAAGATAATTTTGTAATTCAGTGACTTCTTTTTTCTGCATTTGAAGATTGACATTACAAGTATAGTACATAAACATATTTTCAACATTTTTATATTTCAACATTTAGCAACAATTCATATGTGCAAATGTGTTATGACACTTTCACAACATATTTTTTTTAGCTTTTTGGACATCCGTGCAGGTTGACTTGAAATTTTGAGCCCATAGAACTTTTGTAATATAAAAGTTAACAAATGAATAATGTGTGTTTTACATGTGTTAACTTTTATTTTATTATTAACTATAATTTTAAATTTAATGAACTTAACATTTCAATTTCACTCAGTCACTGACTTTTTTAACAGGTGATTTTATGCACCATGAGCTTCTTCGGCATTCAGCGGCCTGCTCTATGAGTTTGTGTTGTCTACTGCATCCATCATGGCTGAGCTGCTGTTACTCCTAGGAGCTTCCATTTCACAATAACAGTACTTACAGTTGACAGGGGCAGACATTTCACAAACTGACTTGTGGCAAAAGTGGCATCCCTTGACAGTATCATGTTTAAAGTCACTGAGCTCTTCATTACAACACATTCTACTGCCAGTGTTTGTCTGTGGAGATTGCATGGCTATTTCCTTGATTTTATACACCTGTTATACTACATACTTATAGTATATAATGTATACAAAAAGATACACTGCTGGGACCTAAAAGTGCCCATAGTTGCAGAAAGTGTCATTTTAATAGTTGTTTTAGGAAGTAGATTCTTATATCTTAAAAATAATAAAAATATTTGAATAGATTTTAATGACTTGCATTAAATAGAAAAGTCTTGGATTGTAAGACCACAGGCCACAAGCTGGGGGGAAAACTGCATTCGTTACCTGTAAGAAAAACGAGACGAGGCTCCCAAACTTCCTGACCATTTTCATTCAAAAGACCTATTGTGACATCCTCAGCCTTTGAGTCGAGAAACACCTCAAATGTGGGGTGATAGTTGGGACCATAGTCACAGTCAAATGTTTCAACCTAGAGGGAGGCAAAACAGCCTGTAAATAAAATGTGTCCAGTGAGAACATTATGCAGTTCTCTTTAGCACTGAATGACATTTTTTCCTCTTTTGTCATAATTTACCTTTGGCTGGAATACGTACGGGTCACAGGATGGTCTATATTTTTTACCAGGGGTCAGCTGACATTTAGAGCTGGTGTTAATGTTCCTGAGGTCCATATGCCGATTCTTTACCTGGAGGGGCAGTACAGTGTTGACAATTGAAGTGGCAGCCATCTATGCATCTTATGAGTAAATACTACAACTACTTCCAGTAAAAGAAACAGAATGTTAATAAATTTAGTATGTTTGCTAAATTAACAAACACATAATAAAATCACTTCATCACTAAGTATAGAAGTTGGATGAAGCCTGCAGGATGGTAGAGTAAATATATGGTAAGATATGGCAGCCACAAGATATTTTTTTTATCTTGATATTATTTTGGACAATTCTTTCATGTAAAAGTCTTGTAAGTAAATGAGTATCTCTGCTGCCACCAGCTTTTGCTGTACTGTGAATGGCTAAGAACATGTTAAACAGAGTTCAGTCTGTCAGCGATAAAGTGCTGATGCTAGCTGACTGTGATTTAAGTGGATCCTCTGATACTATATAGCACTGTCTGTTGTCCAGAATGCTGGTGGCCTTGCGAATGCAAAGCTTGTGGTAGGAGGTGTTGATGGTGGATAGAGGGATCATGATGATTTCCTCAGCGGTCCTCACAATCTGCTGTAGGGTCCTGGTCCAGGTGAGTTGGTGGGTGGTGAATGGCAGAGGATATGGCCCCCTCTGTAGACCGGTTGGAGTGATATACAAACTGAAATGGATCCAGTCTCAAAGAAAGGCTGATCTTTATGTGAGTCATGGCCAACCACAGGAGGCATGGGCCACAAAATCATTGAGGTAAGACACTATTTTTTTGGCACAGGGACAATATTAGTGGTTTTGCAGCACTCTGGGACAATTGCTTGGCTTGGGGAAATATTAAAGTCAGGGTCAGTAGTCAGTGATGGCCAGAATCCGCTGCCCATATGCTGTTAGTCTCTCGTGTCTAGATACTGTCCATGGATTCTGGTGCATAGACACGCTTTGCCTCTCTGACAACCCAGGACAGGTTGGCTATTGCTGCGCTGAGGGCACTTATAATCTGAGGGTCTTATAATCTGACCTAAAGGCAACATTCTGTGGCTTCTTGTGCCTGTGTTGATGGACTTGAAGGAATTCACATAATCTATGCATTGCTTAAGTAGCCAGTTACAGATGCTGAATATTTCTTCAAATCAGTTGAGTCGTCATTTGTAGCAGCCTCCCTAAACATGTTCCAGTCTGTGTGCTTATAACAATCCTGAAGTGTTGAGAGGGCCCACTGAGATAACCAAGTTCTCATCCATTTCAGAACGCTTGAGCAGAGGTTTATATACTAGAACTGACAGAACAGATGTAGCTCCGGAAGCTGAGGTGGGGGTGACAAATTAGGCAGCACTGATTTCAGATTTGCATGATTGCATGAAGTCCTCAGTAACAAGGAAAAATGTGTCAGGGTGCATAGTTAGAGCAAACTGATATGTCTTTTAATTATTTCATCACTATATTTCCATACCTTGCTGTCTACAGTACATAGTGGGTGTAAAATGCTGGCAGAAGGAGAACCCATATACTTGGCATAATAATTATTGGCACCTTGCCAAAAATGGGTCAATTTTTTTTGGTGGTTAATCAGCTTAGCTACACTGAAAATATGAGATCTTACCTTTAATAAAGTAAATTGAATCTAACAAAAACTTCATAATTGTTTAACAATGTGTCACAGTTATTGATATGCCTACATTTAGTACAGTCTCCCTACACAAATGCCAACATAACAGCAATGAGTCTTCTTCTATAATACTTGAGACTGAACAAAACAGAAAAGAGAATCTCCCCTCACTACAGAATTTCTCCAGATCCTCCAGCATCTCAGGTCTCTTCTTTTGGATTCCCCTCTTCAGCTGACCCCACAGGTTTTTAAAGGGCTTTGGGCCAGGGGACTGGGATGGCCATGTTGAAAGCTTAATTCTGTGGTCATTTAATTATTTTGTGTGGATGTTTTTGAACATTGTCCTGACCCAGATTTAGATTTTTAAACAGTAGTGATAAAGTTCACCTTTGTAAAACATCATTCTTTTTAAGGCAAATTCACCTTTAGTGTTTATTTCCAAAAACTTTATTTTTCTCTCATCCATAAAATCAGGGGCTAGTCAAAGTTTCAGTTGTATCTAGTGAACTCATGAACACCTTAAACATATTTATAAATAAAAGTTTATCATAGTAATTGTCATAGTAATTGTAGTTTTGGAGACTCAGAGACCCCAAAACTGGCACCATCTTTTGCAAATCTCCAACTGTGATTCTTGAAGAATTGCTTGCTTGTCTAACCATCCGGGGGCCGGGGGGGGAGGGGTGGGGGGGTGGAGTACACTTATGTCTTTCAGGCAGGTTCACTATGGCTCTGGTTGTTTTCAATTGCATAATTATTCCACTAATAGTGGACATGGGCTATTTAGGAGTGCAGCAATTTTTCCATAGCCACTGCCTGATTTAAGAGTTAAGAGTTAAGAGTTAAGCTAATTGACCATAGAGGCACTTTTAAATGACTTTTTTCTCCATCATTAACAAGGGTGCCAAATTTCCTAAGAAAATGTTGAAATTAAAAAACTATCATGAGTTTTTGTTATTTTAGCTGTGCATCACATCATATTGGTGCTGAAATTAAGCTCAAAATGCAGCTTTCAGCTTTTAATTTGAGGGTATTTATATTTACATTATTTACATTATTTACAAGGGTTAACCTTGTTAGAACTACACATGACAAATGCAACATTGTCATGTTTCATGGCCAGGTGTATATTTTGTGTTATGCCATGATTAAAGTCTAGAGATCATTTCAAGCACTTGCATTTGGAATCTGTTGCTGTTAATTCTCAACAGGACGTTAAAATGGCTGTCAAGGTATCATAAGGTGATGTCCAAATATTTATCAGCCTGATTTATTTATTTATTTATTTTTTGCTTTCCAGTTATTGAAAAAAAATCTTACTGTTTCTTACTGGAGTACCATGGATTAACTGGAAAAAATACAACTTTGATTGTTTTAATATATGTGTTAATGTAGATGCAGATTACCTCTTCAACAGGTACATTGCCTGGCAGTAAATGAACGTGTAGTTTTTTCCGGGTTTGTTTGCCAGTTATTTCCTTATAGAACAGTAATACCTGGCCATTGATCGGACTAGCAGAGAATATCATCCTTTTCAGAAGGCCAAAGAAAGAGAGGCCTTGGATGATAATAACCACATGTGTGTTTGTCACGTTCAGGGGTGATATGACCTCTATATTATCACCAGTGAAGTGTGCCACAGCCAGCTTATCCTGGTTTTCCCCTGCAACGAATTAACAATCAGAACCAAGGTCTCTTCATACATGGTCAGAATCATTGGAAAAATGTCAGCATATAAGTTTTGACTTTGTGAGAATTCATTTGCTTGACCTAATACAATCAGGATTATACAGGGAGATTCACTCAAAAGAGGCCCCAAATATTCTGTAATAACTCTCTAGGGTGAAGCAATCTGAATGAAACAACATGCAATGTGCTCCTCAGTATATGGAGCTTCGAACAAGCCGGGATGCCCTGCTTCAGAGCGATGTGGTCGGCGCCGGACAGCTGTCGCTATAATTAACCTCCGTTTGCAACTTCCAGGTGCATATCCCCATACCCCTTCATGAGTCTGGGAGGAAAAACGGAGATCATTTCCTGCATCGCATGTAATGCGATCGATTACACATATGTCAAGGTATGTAGCGTATTTATTTGGCTCAGATTGACTCATCCTAAAGAGAGTTACAACAGAATATCTAGGGCCTCTTTAGAGTGAATCTCTCTGTACAATAGTTTAAACCTGCAGATGAAGAAGAAAGCGGAAGATAACATCACCAATGAGAGGTACAAGATAGGTGCATCCCACCTCACAATAAACTGGTAGTTCAGCCTTCTTACTCAGTCTTATTGCTGTATAGTATTTTACTTACTTTACAGTACTACAAAACACAAATGTGATGTTTCTTTTATTTTGAACTGTGTGAAATTTTTGATTAAGAAAAGCTTTAAATGTTCATGACATCTTGAATGAGAAACCTTACATATAAAATTTTCTTCTGTTTAATATACTTTCGTAACTCAAAAACACACCCCACCTCCTTTCTGATACTGGACCTATTGAAATATAGTACTGTGCAAAAGTCAGAGACCACCGTTAATTGATTCATTAATGAGTGTTCTGTCAAAATTGCCATTACCTACAAGTTATCAGAGAAAAAAAAAACATAACAGAACTAAATAAATATCAAAATTTTCATTACTGAATGTATCCACTCATTACCTGTATTATAGCTTCGATTCTCTTCAGGAAACTTGCTTTCAGTTTTTCAAAGAAATCTATCTGCAGGGATATTTTTCCTCTAAAGTTCAGTCAGATAATTTGGTTGTGTTCTCTGCTTCTTTCAACCGAGCTAATCCCAAACACATTCAGTGATGTTGAGGTCTTGTCTCTGAGGTGGTCAGTCCATTGTTCTGAGAACACCAACAGTTTGTTTGGTTGATTTGTTTATTTCCATTTTTCAATAAGGGCTTCTAAACAGCTACATATCCTTTCAGACCCAGAGCGTTGAGTTGTGTTCTCACAGTGGAAAGATGGACAGAAACTCCAGTGGATTTTCAGATTTGAAGCAAGAGTGGAGTTTGATTTTCTCTTCTCTTTTAAAGATGAAAAGTACAATTTACAAGGTGGGGACAATTTTAGTGGTCTAACAGGTCTTGCACCAGGGTTGTTAAGAGTCCCATGTACTCTGTATCTTTTAATAATTCTTTGAAGTCCAGTTTTGGAAAAGTTTTTACTTATTTTCCTTATGAGAATTTAAAATAAGTTTTATTGACCAAATGAGTAAACACAAGGAATTTGTCTCTGGGTTACAGTGGTACCTACAGGAATCATAAAATATAACTTAACTTTTATCTTCCTTATTAATGTGGATGAATTGAGTTATTCATGGCTGTTTTGACATTTATGAAGGCTGGCCACTAACATTTGCACAGTACTCTAGATCCAGAACAGTACAGTACCAGAATCACATAAAAAAATATATTAAAAGTCCTCAAACCTGTTAAATTAAACTCTGTAATATGCAAACTATGTCACAATTACACTATACACTCTACTGTATACAGTATAACTGCTATATCAAAAATCAACACACCATATTGTATCTCACAGTGTGGGAGGTGCAGATGACTGATTGAACCTTCAAAGCAGTCAATGTTGTAAAGAGGACCTGCAGGCTTCATCGGACCTAAACCATCCAACAGACGGGCATCCCAAGAGTCTATTCTGTACAGCACCTCTCCTTCACTCTCCATCTCAAACACAAGACTAGTCACTTTGCACTGGAACTGACCAGCATGAGGGCATAGAAACCTGCAGAGCAGAAGGTCCATAAAAAGTACACATGTACAAATACAAAATTTTAAAATGTGTGGTTGTACTGTCCCTGCAACCTAGGAGGATAAGCTGCTTAGATAGTGTGCGTGGTTGTACTGTTTATCTTTGAGGAGCACAATGATATTAGCAAATAGAGTACCTGTATGAATTACCGTTCTTGATCTCCAAATCCATCATTTCAGGAATGAATATTTCAGCATCTGTTGAGGGCTGCTGACAGGGCTGCACAGTTCCTTTGAAAAATGGTGGGGAACAGCCTGTAAAACCTGTAGCCTAAATAAAATCGTTTAAATATAAAATTAGGTGAACAAAACATATATTGGCCACATCAGACAAGTCATCCAGCGACAAGTAAAGCATAAATTGTACATCAAGTCTTAGAAGTGTGTAGTCCATGAAGTCTCATGAAGTTATATGATGAGGAGAACTTGTCTGGACCAGCAGAAATTAGAGGCAGTATTTCTCTGTAAAGAACCCTGGATGATAAGGGAATAGCAATGCTTTCCTTCCTTTGCTAATTTTAATAGATGATTTATTCTTAGTTTGAGTACAGTGGCAACTCATCTCGTTTCCCCTTTGAGAGGAGGCAGCCAAAGACTAATACAGACAAAGGAGACTGCTGCATCATTCAGTTTTCTGAGGAATAGATTTAAATCTGCCCTGATGCTCAAGAATCCAGATCCCCAATTACTCTTTACTGTGGAAGTGGAGGCCTCAGAGGTGGGAGTAGGTCCTGTCACAATGCCACATTAATTCAGCAAAATTACTTCCTTGTGCATGAACCACTAACAAATAGGTCTTACATTTCCATTGATTTTTATACTGGATTTGCCAAACACAAGAGGATATGCTGCAATATTTGTGGCAGATGGTTAAAAGTCTGTAAACTAACCCCTTTTGTCTTCCTCTCCCTATAGCCCCAAAAACTGCTGAGAATTAGTTTATTCATATTATATGGGTTTTGATATTCCAGAAGACATTGTGGGTCTGGAAGGCATTCCTGAACCAGCTGGGAGTGACTGTCAGTTTCACATCAGGACATCATCCACAATTTAATACATGATGACACACTGTCCTGTCAGCCTGTGACAGGGTCTAGCTCTCCACCTCTGCTTGCCCTGCTCTGTGGGAACTTTTCTGTAACATAAACCAGGTAACATACAGCTCATTATTGTCCCATCATATCAGTGTGTTACCTAGTTTTCATGCTTCCCTGCTTAGGCCAGTGATCCCTGGTGCATTGGATGTGTCCCAAGTCTACTCCTCCTTCTGCCCTCGATGTGGACAGCTCCCCAGACTATCCTCGACTCACACTTGTGGAGGGTGCGCATCCAATACCTAATGAATTGGGAGGCCTGACCTCCTCAATCCCACTGTCATTGCTGATTTTCATTCCAGCTGTACAGAGGCCCAGATCAGGGTTGCGCTGCATCTGGAGACCCTCACTGGGAGTGGGGTACTGTCACACTCCTCTCTGGGAGCTTCTTCCCATATGCATTCATAACTTACTGATCACTGGCCTTACCTCTTGCAGGCACTTGAACTTAATTTCGCAGCTGTCATGAGTCATGAATTTTTGGTGGACATTCCTTTGTTGGATTGCATACTCACAAGTTGCTCATAAGTTTTTGGTAACCTATTTTAGGTTTTCAGTATAATATCGTTCTACGGTGGGTTTCTTGAACTGAAACTGTTCTAAAAAAACTCTAGTTTTGCATCCACACCTTTTTTGACAACTGTTCCACAAACCCATCCCCACCCCTCCAAAAATAAATGGTCTTACATAAATTCAAAAAATGTGTGTGTGTGTGTGTGTGTGTGTAGGGTGTAAATCCTCCTGAAATTGCATCGGAAATTGGATGTAGAAGTGGACAACAATAGAAAAAATCTAATCTAATAAAATAGTTTTTAAAGGAAACTGAATTATTTAACAGATGCAAAGATTATTCAGAATGAGACTTCTGTACTCACATTTATCTCCACTTCCGCCTTCTGCATCCTCCGTATAAAAAATGTTGCTGAAAGACACACAAACAGACACACAGAGTGATGATTCAGTGAATTGATAACAATGATGCAATTTCACACTTCCTCAAATAGTACTGAGGATGGCGTGCAGCTCAGGATGGCCAATTACAGCCATGAAAAACACCCTTACTCAAGATTTTGATGTCCATTCTTGAGTAACTCAGAAAGGTGCTGCTGCTCTGCCTGAAAAGCATTTTGTCTCTTGCTACTGTAAGTCAATACTGAAAAATATCCAATACTGTAAAAAATAAGTTAGGTCAACTTGTAGTAACGAGGCAGCTTTTTTGAGTAAACTTTAATCTTTTACAGCGCTTTTGTGAACAGATATGTATCCTGGATAATCCACCAGTGTCCAGGCCTCTGATTTCTCCTCTTCTAACAGTGTGAAAACTAGGGTTAGTTATAAAAACCAGCTGCGTTCAAGGTGCGTTCTACTTCAGTAAACAATACTAACACTTTGCCTGTTTGATTTCCTGCAGTAAGCAGGGTTGGGTAGTAACAGAATACATATAACAGTGTTACGTAATTAACATACAAAAACCGTAACTATTCCATTACAGTTACAGAAAAAGACAGTAGGGGAGCACAGGGAACAACCTGACACAGGGGGACAATTTATGTTGTTATACAAGGTCAAGCAGCCTGTGCTTCTGGCCACATTAATACATTTCCTACCCACAGTCTCATCTGCGCCAAAGAGTATTTTCAAGGCATGTGAGTCATTTTTTTCAATACAATGGTTACTGAGCTATTTGTGTAAATCACAAAATCTAAGCTTATATTACTTTAATCACCATCTTGGCTACATCACAGCACCATTTTAAAACATGTGACAAGCTCAAAGCAGGTGGTAGCTAGACTTAAGTACAGTATCTGCACTGCAGGGTTAACTGTAACATGGTATTACAACTAAGCCACCTTTAGTTTACCCAACACCCCTCCAAACACCACCCCCCACCCTCTCACCCACCCCCTACTTTGAGTGAAACAAAGAACAGAAATAACAGAGACAAAACAGAAGAAGTAAAGAGAAAGGATAAAATAATAATAATGATAATAATAATTATTATTATTATTATTATATTATTAATATAACTTTATATTAACTGTCTCTAATACCTATGTAGTTACATGTAAACAACATATGCAACAAAATTGTAACTATTAATGATTTAGTCACTGTTAACAGATGTCCTACAAAAGCACATCTTATGCAATTACACGTGTATCAACTTCAGTTTTGCCTCATGTAATTACACAAGTGTATCTTAATAGTTGTAACAGCCTATTCTCTCATGTAATTACACAAGGGTAATACCATAAATGTAATTACATTTGTAATCAGACTGCAACAGCAGTTGTTTTCAATTTTTTTTTCCAGTAGCAAAAGGAAGTATGTAATAATTTACATTAAGACATTACTTACTCTGTATCTGCCAGCTTTCCTAATATTTAGCTAGCATTTGCGTGGCTAGTGCTGTGATACTGTAACCAGTTTCCGCTTTAAAACATTCTGTAATGTGACAGTACAGCATATATCCACTTATCGTAACATTTAAATGTTATGACATTAATCAAACATGTTGCATTATCCCAAAGTAATGTCTATATTACTACTCCATTATTACCCAGTACCTACATAACAACTACACAGGAATCGTCCACTTACTATAAAGTGTAACTTTCCTGTAGTGTAGTGTTAGCATTCATATCTAGTTATGTAGGTTCAGTGTAATTACAGAAAGTATTAATCAATGTGATGTGATTAGGTTACCTGGTTACAACACAGATATTCCACAGTAATTATGTAAAACATACTTTCTTTTACTGCTTCTGATCTGTAGTGTATTAAAAAAGATTGTGTAATTACATGAGGTAAAACTGAAGTTGATACACATGTGTAATTACATAGGCTGTACTTCTGTAATCCATTTGTAACATTGTCTAAATCATCAGTAGTTACGGTGTTGTTACATGTGTTATTCATGTGTACTACACAGTTATTAGAGACACTTGGGACCATTTTCTTCTACTTTCTTAGTATCTTCCAGATGTTAATTTGGTTTTAATTAAGTACATTAATGAAATTGACATTAACCGTTGGTAAAACTGTAGTTAATCAAACCATATTGTAGTGATGCGTGGTTTTTATTTGCTGTCCTATACTAGACAAAAAATAAATCTGTCATTGTTTGACACACAGTCTCAAGTCAGTTCTCATATATAATGTAGTGTGTGTGTGTGTGTGTATGTATCTATCAATTAAGCTTCCTGTCACATTGGGTGCAATTGTACATGTATATGATCAACAGGTGCTAGAAACAAATTTCAAGTGTCTGTAGCAGAGATGTATATGTTGCTGGTATAAAAACATGAATATTCCAATTTCAATGTTTTTAAAATAATTTTGTAAAAGCCAAAATGTGTTAAATTGTATCCAACTTGCTGCAAATCATGTTACAGGTACATTATAAAAACAGATGTGATCACCAGCAGGATTACGCTCACATGCAAACTCGTCATTTTTGCCGAAATTCACTGTTTAAATGATAATTATGTCACGAGTCATAAACGAAGGGTTTTAACAACCCCATTTCCAAAAACATTGGGACACTGTGCAAAATGTAAATAAAAACTGTATTTTATTGAAAATAGTACAAACACAACACATCAAATATTGAAACTGAGAAATGTTATTGTTTTTTTTTAAAATATATGCCCACTTTGAATTTGATGCCAACACCACATTCCAAAAAATCTCTGTATGCAAGGGACAAGGCCAAAAAACAGCATTTGCTGGTCATGATCTTTGGGCCCTCAGGCGGCATTGCATTAAAAACAGACATGATTCTGTAGAGGAAATCTTCGCATGGGCTCAGAAACACTTCTGAAAACCACTGTCTGTGAAAACAGTTCGTTGCTGCATCCACAAATGCAAGTTAAAACTCTAAAATGCGAAGAAAAAACCATATATAAAAAGGATCCAGAAATGCTGCCACCTTCTCTGGGCCCGAGCTCATTTAAAATGGACTGAGGGGAAGTGGAAAAGTGTCCTGTGGTCCAACGAATCAAAACAAATTTTTTTTGGAAATCATGGACACTGTGCCCTCCGGGCTAAAGACCACTCGGCTTGTTATCAGTGCACAATTTAAAAGCCAGTATTCATGATGGTATACGGGTGCATTAGTGCACATGGCATGGGTGATGTGCACATCGGTGAAGGCACCATTAATGCTAAATGATATAGACATATTTTGGCAACATATGTTTCCATTCAGACATCGCCTTTTTCAGGGAAGGCCTTGATTATTTCAGCAAGACAATGCTAAACCACCTTCTGCATGTATTACAACAGCATTACTCTGTATTAAAAGAGTCCAGGTGCTAAACTGGCCTGCCTGCTGTCCAGACCTGTCACCCATGAAAAACATTTGACGCATATATTATATATAAAATATAACACAGGAGACCACGAACTGTTAAGCAGCTGAAATCCTATATCAAACGAGAAAGGGAAAACATTTCACTTTCAAAACTACAGCAGTGTCTCCTCAGTTCTAAAACACTTACAGAGTGTTGGTAAAAGAAGAGGTGATGAAGCACAGTGGTAAACAAGCCCTTGTCCTAACTTTTTTGAAACATGTTTTTTGGCATCAAATTCAAAATTACATTTCTCAGTTTCAACATGTGATTTGTTGTGTTTGTACCATTTTCAATGAAATAAAGTGTTTAAATGATTTGCATATCATTGCACTTTGTTTTTATTTACATTCTGCACAGCATCACAGCTTTTTTGGAAATGGGGTTATAATTTGGTATCTGTGTTGCTGCCATTAGAGATTTCTGAAGAATCCCTTGCACAGCAGCAGTTTAGGTTTTTTTTATCAGCCAATCTATAGAAATTTAGTACGTATTTTATTTTTGTCAGAACTGAGGTCTACAGCATTTTCCTACAGATATCTAAATCAGTTGTTTTCCCTGATAGTCCACACTGCCACATTCTACTGCAGCAGACTGTAAACTCTATTCTGCTTGTTGCTCCATATAATTTTACAAATTAACCAGCTATAAATCAAACTTTTGATAACGTTAACGTGACAGGTAACAGTCTGAAACGTGACAAGGTTTCACGAGCGGTGAAGTTAGTTTCATTTTCACACGTTTAATTTCTTTCTTCAGTAGTTTTACAATGTTTGTTGAGGTGTGTGAAAGCTCATGTAACTACAATGATCAGCTCACACCTAGTTTTGTGTGAAATTAATGCTTTTTTAAACTCAAAGTACTCGTTGATTTCTGGGGGCTGCTGAAAGCCACTAAGAGCTGATTAGGGAGCATGTACAAATTATCATCAAGATCCAGCATGACACTCCTAAGCCAGTCCAGCCTTTTAGCAGATACAACACACAATAGCCAGTTAGAGTTAGAGATTATTGTTGATGAGGGGTCTCAGAATAAGATTTCTACCAGATTTATCTTGTGACATTGGCATGAAAAGCAGATTTTTATTCAAATAAAGCAAATAAGGTAAAATCCTAGTGCAGCAGTTTAGTACTGAATAATTCTACATCGATTATTTGTTTCCCTAACTAAGAGCACTTAGTTTCCGTGTACCGATTAAAAAAAACATCATGTTAAAATTACAGGGAGCAATGCTTAATTTCTGAATTAAACTGTTTGAGTATACCTGTCTGAACTCAAACAATTTTTAATGTTATACAAATTTGTATTTTGAATATTTCCATATATTGCTCCACTGAGATTTTGACATTTTGCTAAGTGTGTTGATTATTGAGTGGTTCTGTGAGGCACTTAAATATTTGTGACCTATAATCATTTTGGTTTATAAAACAGCATAGTTTTTGTGTTTAGTTTGTGTTAACATCTTGTTAGTTTTTTCTCTTTTCTTTATTTAATTATAATTATATTTAATAATTAAATATTAATTAAATATTGTAATTAATATAAACACTCCAAATAAGTGGGTTAGGTTATACAAAAGTAATAGAAAATAATCTGATTAAATTACTTTAATATAGTAATCCTTTGGATTAGGTTACAATTAAATTTTTTGAAAGGTATTCAGCAATCTGTAATGGAATGCATTTTAAAGTAACCCTCCCAACCATGATAACAAGTCAGTAGGTAACTACACTGAGATAACCTTTGTATCTAGTTTGGTTCTATTGCTTGTTTTTAAACTATATCTTCTTGCAACTGATAGCACATCTGATCTATTTCTCTGACCATAAGGGCAAGTGCTTATTAATGTGAGTGACCTAGACGCACTGGACAAGGCCATGCCCTGAAAACTCTACACAAGAACACCTGGCAACATTGGAGGCCTAGACTGCCTCATGAGCATGAAAACTGCTGCACAAGTATGACATTTTTATACACCTAATGATAGCTCTGAATACGTTTCACTCACTGTACTAAGCCTTTTGCACCAGTTTTGGGTGCAAATCGGAAGCATTCTGATAACATGTTAAACAATACACATTGGCATGCTTCCTCAGGCAGTACTGAGAATGCCATGTATGTAACGGGATGGCAAGGGGGCCAGACCCACGTGCAAAGTCGGAAACCCATGAACAAGGGTTTAAATGGACTAAGACTAAATGAAAGGTATTGTATTATAAGTGTTGTCATTATTATAATACAAATGATACAAGTGATGTATGAGCAGTTTGGATGGGACTTTAATGCTTGTGCACTTTTGGGGCAAGAGCACTCCAAATGGGAATCAAACCTTTACCACTGTGCAACCAGTAAGCACAGGTGAAAAGTGGAATGACACCCCTAAGATTCAAGGGTGGAAAAACGTCGGGAAAGGGCAAACAAAGGGGATGCCAAGGCAGCGTACTCAAACAAAGGCAAATATCAAAATGGAATAAAAAGTAATCAGAAAACATGTTTAGAAATGAATTTTTTTGATCTCCCCTACCTTTGCTTTTTCTTCTTTACTGTGGGAGCTGTTGGATCTTTTTCCCTCCGACTCGGAAAACTCAGCAGACTGCATTACCCACAATACTATGGGAAATCACATGACCTCTGAGGAGATCACACGCTCACCTGAATACTAAATGTTTGCACCTGTGTTTTGAATCATATGATTTAGTCAGATTAGCTTTTAAGCCCAGGCTTTAGTTTAGCTCTTTGCGAGGTATTGCTTCTCCACGAACATACTGAGCGTTTTTCCCAAGTGTTATTTGCTGTACGTTTTTGACCATTAGTTCGTTCTTTGAATTTGCCTTTTGCCTTTGCCCTTTTGTACTGTTGCCTGTCTTTGTTGATCAGTGTTTTTGGATCTTTGCCTGTTTGTTGACTTCGTTTTTGCCTTGCCCCTTTTTGGACTTTGTCTGTTCGGTGATATGATCACTGCTTTGTTTCTGATTTGTCTTTTGGATTTGACCTACGCCTGCCTTTTGACCCCGCATCTGCCTAGCCCCATTAAAACACCTTTTGTCCTTTTAATCCGCGAGCGTCTGGTTTTTGACGAATCCTTACATGCTGAGGTGTACAGGTGTGTCTGGTGGGCTCTGATAAGCCCGTGGGCTTCTGGATGGCCAACTCCAGTCCTGAAAAAGGCCCTCATTGAAGGATTTGATGAAGATGTCCGTTGTTGAGTAACTCAGACAGGTATTACTACTCCACCTGGAAGATATTTTCTCTCTCACATCTAATGCTTCTGTTTCTGTGTGCCTTGATATGTCATGGATAACAGCAGGTATTTCTAAGAGTTTAATTACCAAAATATTATTTTTTTCACATTTCTAAGGAGTCCTGAAAATTAAATAGTACTGTAAAAAATAGAAATCAAGTCAACCTAAAATAACAAGGCTGCTTACTTCAAAACACTTTTCCTGAGTAAACTCAGGTTTATTCTTTAAATGAAATGGAGGTCATCTTAAAATGTACAGCTGACCTGACTTCTTTTACAGTGTATTAATGTCAAAAGTTTCAGTAATACTCACCTTCTCTACATGACTCGTTAGGTCTTCTGTAATTAGGTTCACCTATATCTACAATGGAAATATCTGATTAAGTACCAGTATTCAGTCACAGTAGCAAGACCTAAATATTTTTCTGATGTGATCACTAAAAACTCCCATAATCCCAAAGCTCTTTTTTAAATTCTAAAGTTTTCTGTTTACTCTTCGAGTAAACTTGAGGGAATATTAAACATAAAGCTTTACCTTTAATCTTTTAAAGTGTATTAAAGACAAATGTTTCAGCAACACTCACCTCTGATAGGCTGGTCTTGGTCTCCTCATATCTACATCATATTCTCCTCATATACTACTCTCTCATACAACCTTATATTCTAAATGATTTTATTACATTGCGGGGCTTAGATTTTCTTTTGACTGAGACTTGGCTAACAGGAGGGGATTTGAGCACCTTCATCAAATGTACTCCTTTCGATTTTAAGTTATTTCAGTTCACCAAGGGCATCTGGACAGGATGAAGGTCCGGCTACTATTTTTGGCATTCATAATAAATGTTGATTTTTACCGGTCCTGAGCTTTAATATTCAGTTACTTTAAGTTGAACTGCCTGGATGTATGCTTTGTACACTTATTTATCCATCTCTTAAATCAAATTGGGATGTTATACAGGAATTTTCCAATCTCCTGTCTCTGGTTGTGTGTTTGTTCTTGGTGATTTTAATATTCATGTTTGTTGCCCATCAAAGCCATTGGTTTCAGAATTTAAAAACTTGATTGATTCAGTTAATCTCACTCATTTTGTTTCAGGTTTCACCCATAACCATGGTCATACACTTGATTCAGGGCTCTCATTAGGCTTTCTGGTTTGCAATCTGGATAAGATATCTGTATCATCTCTGATCTGATCATACCCCAGCTGTGTTTGATTCCACACCTCCATGTCCATCTTCTAAATCTCACCCTATTAGTTATTACTCCTGCTGCCTTAACTCCTCCATCACCAGACAGTTTTCAGATGCAAACATAGTTTCTCCCTCCTTTTCTAATAATGTTAGAGTTAGTCACTTTGTTTAACTCCACTTGTACAGACAGCCTTGACTCCATAGATCCCCCAAAGAATCAGAAGGCCGAAGGTTAAATCTCAGCCCTGGCTCACTATGGAAATTCACACTTTTTGGAGGAAGTGTAGGAAAGCAGAACGTAAATGGAAGAAAGATTAAATTTGTGTATCATATAAAATATTAAGAGATTATCTGTACCAGTATTCAGATTATCTGTACCAGTATTCAGTCAAAGTAGCAAGACCTAAATATTTTTCTGATGTGATCACTAAAAACTTCCATATTTCCAAAGCTCTTTTTAGCATTATATTAATGCAGTTTTAAACCCCTCAGTAATTTCTCATCTTGATATAACTCTTCAAACTTGGAAGAAATTTCTTTGATTTTTACTGATAAAATTGTGGAACAATCAAATCTTCTAGATATGATCCTGCTCTGATTTTCTGAACCAATTTGACTGTGTCACTTTTTTACTTAACTGATATTGCAACTCCTATTAAGTCTACCACTTCTCCTTTGGATACCGTTCCTTCTTATCTTCATGAAGAAGTCTGGGGTGTGTTTGGTTCTAGTGTTTTGACCATTATAAACAGTAGTCTTACTAGTGGCTCTGTTCCATCTTGTTTTAAACATTCTGTGATCCAGCCCTTTATCAAAAAGCCTAACTTGTTTTAGACATCTTTTACTATTTACAGATGGATCTCTAAACTATCCTTCCTGTCAAAAGTTTTGGAGAAAGTGATCTTCTCTCAGTTGTCTTCATATTCAAGTGAAAAAGACATTTTGGACAGGTTTCAGTTAGGTTTCATGGTACATCATAGTACAGAGTCAGCTCTTCTGAAATTGACGAATAATTTACTGCTTTCATTTAACTCTGGTAACTCTGTCATTTTAACTCTGCTTGATCTTACTGCTGCATTTGATACAATTGACCATAACATTCTCTTTGATCATCTAAATTGTGGGGTGGGCATTCAGGGGAAAGCCTTAGCTTGGTTTTCCTCTTACCCTAAAAAAGATCACACATTCACTATTCAGGAGGTAAGATTTACTTCGTCATCAGCTCCCAATTCATATGATTTACCTCAAGGCTCCATCTTAGGGCCCATTTTATTCTCTTTATACATACACGACACCCAGTTGTACCTACCACTGAAACCTGGAGATAACCAGTCTTTAAAACTCTTTCTGATTGTATTAAAGAATTCAAACTATGGCTGGCTAAAAACTTTCTCTAGCTTAATGAGAATAAATCTGATGTAATTATATTTGGAAGATATCTTCTCTCTCATATCTAATGCTTCTTTTTCTAATATGCGTTGATATGTAACAGATAACAACAGGTATTTCAAAGAGTTTAATCACCAAAATATTCATTTCTAAGGATTCCTGAAAATTAAATAATACTGTAAAAATTAGAAGTCAGGTCAACCTAAAATAACAAGGCCGCTTACTTCAAAACTCTTTTTCTGAGTAAAGGTTTATTCTTTGAGTGAAATGGAGGTCATCTTAAAATGTAAAGCTGACCTGACATTTAATCTTTTACAGTGTATTAATGTCAAAAGTTTTAGTAATAGTCACCTCCTCCGCATGACTCGCTGAGATTACGAGGTAGAAATTTACATATATCTAAAATGAAAAAGCAGAGCTAAAATGAATGAAAGTGCTTTTATTTTGTATTCATTTCTAATTTTACACACATTGTTCATTACAAATGATCTTATCAGCCTAACAACTTGGGTGAAAAGTAGAATCTCTAGAAATAGCTTTAGAAAGATTTTCAAATTTGTTTGTATTGGGTTTGATCTCCTGTTGCTTTAATGACTGTTTTTTTTTATTCTAAAGTTTTCTGTTTACTCTTTGACTAAACTTGAGGGGATATTAAACACAAATGTTTACCTTTAATCTTTTAAAGTGTATTAAAGTCAAATGTTTCAGCAACACTCACCTCTGATTGGCTGGCTGAGCTCAGGTTGAGGTCTTGGTCTCCTCATATCTATCATGGAAAAGTACAACTAAAATAAGTGAAAATGCTTCTATTTTGAATTCATTTATAATTTAACACACATTTGTCATTACAAATGATCTTATGTGAGTTTTCCTCAGTAAAGATGGCTCTCATGAATGCCACATCGATTTCAAATAAGACTTTTGTTCTAAATGATTTTATTACATTGCATGGCTTTTGACTGAGACTTGGCTAACAGGAGGGGATTTGAGCACCTTCTTAAAATGTACTCCTTTCGATTTTAAATTTTTTCAGTTCACCAAGTGCATCTGGACAGGATGGAGGTCCGGCTACTATTTTAGGCATTTGCAATAAATGTTGATTTTTACTTGTCCTGAGCTTTAATATTCAGTTACTTTAAGTTGAATCAAATTGGGATGTTATACAGGAGTTTTCAGTCTCCTGTCTCTGATTGTGTGTTTGTTCTTGGTGATTTTAATATTCATGTTTGTTGCCCATCAAAGCCATTGGTTTCTGAATTTAAAAACTTGATTGATTCAGTTAATCTCACTCAGTTTGTTTTGGGTTTCACCCATAACCATGGTCATCCACTTGATTCAGGGCTCTCATTAGGCTTTCTGGTTTGCAATCTGGACAAGATATCTGTATCATCTCTGATCTGATCATAGCCCAGCCTTCATGTCCATCTTCTAAATCTCACCCCATTAGTTATTACTCCCGCTGCCTTTACCCCTCCATCACCAGACAGTTTTCAGATGCAAACATAGTTTCTCCCTCCTTTTCTAATAATGTTAGAGTTAGTCACTTTATTTAATTCCACTTGTACAGATAGCCTTGACTCCATAGATCCCCCAAAGAATCAGAAGGCTACCGTTCCTTCTTATCTTCATGAAGAAGTCTGGGGTGTGTTTGGTTCTAGTGTTTTGACCATTATAAACAGTAGTCTTACTAGTGGCTCTGTTCCATCTTGTTTTAAACATTCTGTGATCCAGCCCCTTATGAAAAAGCCTGACTTGTTTTAGACATCTTTTACTAATTACAGATGGATCTCTAAACTATCCTTCCTGTCAAAAGTTTTGGAGAAAGTGGTCTTCTCTCAGTTGTCTTCATATTCAAGTGAAAAAGACATTTTGGACAGGTTTCAGTCAGGTTTCATGGTACATCATAGTCCAGAGTCAGCTCTTCTGAAATTGAAAAATAATTTACTGCTAATTTACTGCTTAACTCTGGTAACTCTGTCATTTTAACTATGCTTGATTTTACTGATGCATTTGATACAATTGACCATAATATTCTCTTTGATCATCTGAATTCTGGGGTGGGCATTCAGGGGAAAGCCTTGGTTTGGTTTTCCTCTTACCTTAAGGATCACACATTCACTATTCAGAGGGTAAGATTTGCTTTGTCATCAGTTCCCATTTCATATGGTTTACCTCAAGGCTCCATCTTAGGGTCCATTTTATTCTCTTCATACATGCTTCCACTTGGTACAATTTTTGGAGATATGGCATTTTTTATGACTGTTATGCAGATGACACCCAGTTGTACCTACCACTGAAACCTGGAAATAACCAGTCTTTAAAACTCTTTCTGATTATATTAAAGAAGTCAAACTATGGCTGGCTAGCTAAAAACTTTCTCTAGTTTAAAGAGAATAAATCTGATGTAATTATATTTGGTCCCTCTGAGAGCATTCAAGCTATTAGTGACATCCTGGGTCCTTTCTGTTAGACTTATCTAGCTGTGCTAACAATCTTGGGGTCACTTTTGACTCATCTCTTAAATTTGACAAACAAATAAATTCAGTTGTAAAGAGTACTTTTTACCAGATTAGGCGTATTTATAAATTAAAAGCAGTCCTCTCATTTCATCATCTAGACATAGCTTTACCTGCTGGCACAAGGAAAAAAGAAAGCATTTCACCTGTCGTAGCTTCTCTACATTAGCTTCCTGTCAAGTACAGAAGTGATTTTAAAACTTTACTGTTTGTTTTTAAAGCATTACATTGTCAGTATACTTTTGATATAATTAGTCCTTACTCGTCTGGCAGGTTTCTTCGATCCACTAACCTTTGTATCTAGTTTGGTTCTATTGCTTGTTTTTAAGCTATATCTTCCTGCAACTGATGGCACATTTGATCTATTTCTCTGAGCATAAGGGCAAGTGCTTGTTAATGTGAGTGACCTAGACGCACTGGACAAGGCCATGCCCTGAAAACTCTACACAACAAAACCTGGCACCTTGGAGGCCTAAACTGCCTCATGAGCATGAAAACTGTTGCACAAGTATAACATTTTTTATACACCTAATGATAGCTCTGAATACACTTCACTCACTTTACCAAGCCTTTTGCACCAGTTTTGAGTGCAAATCGGAAGCATTCTGATAACATTAAACAATACACATTGGCATGCTTCCTCAGACAGTACTGAGAATGCCATGTATGTAACGGGATGGCAAGGGGGCCAGACCCAAGTGCAGAGTCGGAAACCCAAGAACAAGGGTTTAAATGGACTAAGACTAAATGAAAGGTATAAATATCTAATGGTTATTATTATTATAATACAAATGATACAAGTGATGTGTGAGTGGGTTGGATGGGACTTTAATGCTTGTGCACTTTTGGGGCAAGAGCACTCCAAATGGGAATCAAACCTTTACCACTGTGCAAACAGGAAGCACAGGTGAAAGGTGGAAAAACACCCCTAAGATTCAAGCGTAAAAAAACATCGGGAAAGAGCAAAAAAAAGGGATGCCGAGGCAGCGTACTCAAACAAAGGCAAATATCAAAAACTGAGTAAACATTAATCAGTAAACAAGGCATTTAGAAATGAAATTGTTGAACTTTTTTATCTCTCCTTTTTCTTCTTTACTGTGGGAGCTGTTGGATCTTTTTCTCTTTTCTGTAATTTTGTCGTTTCTCTATTTAGCCCTCTTTTCTTTTCTCTTCTCTTCTTTTCTAGACGGACACTGAAGTACCATACCCGGACCCCCTTTACAGAGGTTTGACACTGACTGCTGTTTGCACAAGCCTTAAATGCTGAGGTGTACAGGTGTGTCTGGTTGGCTCTGATTAGCCTGTGGGCTTCTGGAGGCCAACTCTAGTCCTGAAAAAGCCCTTTATTCAAGGTTTTGATGTAGATGTCCATTGCTGAGTAACTCAGACAGGTACTACTACTCCACCTGGAAGCACCTGGAAGGTATTTTCTCTCTCACATCTAATGCTTCTGTTTCTAATATGGCTTGATATGTAACAGTTAACAACAGGTATTTCTAAGAGTTTGTTTACCAAAATATTCATTTTGTCACATCTCTAAGGAGTCCTTAAAATTAAATAACACTGTAAAAAATAGAAGTCAGGTCAGCCTAAAATAACAAGACTGCTTACTTCAAAACTCTTTTTCTGAGTGAACTCAGGTTTATTCTTTGAGTGAAATGGAGGTCATCTTAAAATGTAAAGCTGACCTGACTTTTAATCTTTTACAGTGTATTAATGTCAAAAGTTTCAGTAATACTCACCTCCTATGCATGGCTCACTGAGTCTTCTGAGTTTCTTGGGTAGAAGTTCATATATATCTAAAATGGAAAAGCAGAGCTAAAATTAGTGAAGTAGGATACCGTTCCTTCCTACCTTCATAAAGAAGTCTGGGGTGTGTTTGGTTCTAGTGTTTTGACCATTATAAACAGCAGTCTTACTAGTGCAACTGTTCCATCTTGTTTTAAACATTCTGCGATCCAGCCCTTTATCAAAAAGCCTAACTTGTTTTAGACATCTTTTACTAATTACAGATGGATCTCTAAACTAGCCTTCCTGTCAAAAGTTTTGGAGAAAGTGATCTTCTCTCAGTTGCCTTCATATTTATGTGAAAATGACATTTTGGCCAGTTTTCAGTCAGGTTTCAGGGTACATCATAGTCCAGAGTCAGCTGCATTTGATACAGTTTGTCATGCTTCCTGGTTCTCAGTCGGACACTCATACCATCAATGACTCCATTTCCCAGAATCCCTCTGTCAGTCATGAGACTTCTTCAACCAATCATAAACCACTCAGCAGATCAGTCACCTGAATTCTACTCACTACCACCTGTTGAACTCTGCATATACTAGTCTGTTTGGTTCATGTCTTTGCGAAGTGTTGCCATTGCTTAGTCAGTGCATACCAAGCCGTTTGACCTCACTTTGTTTTTTCCCGTTGACGATTCTCGCTCCTGTTTTGGCTTTGTTGTTTTCGTGTATGTGTTGTCTCTGGTTACGACCCTCGCCTGTTTTTTCAACTCCGCATTCGCCTACTCCTATGTATTTTGTCTTGCTGTTCTGGTTATTGACCTGGTCTGGTAATAACCTTGTTTATCTCCAATTGAATAAATCTTCCAGGTTCATTTTTATCCGTGTGTGTCTGATTTGCAAACTCAGCGTTACATAATTGACCATAATATTCTCTTTGGTCGTCTAAATTGTGGGGTGGGCATTCAGGGGAAAGCCTTGGCTTGGTTCTCTCTTACCTTAAAGAGCACACATTCGCTATTCAGGAGGTGGGATTTAGTTCGTCATCAGTTCCCATTTCATATGGTTTACCTCAAGGCTCCATCTTAGGGCCCGTTTTATTCTCTTTATACATGCTTCCACTTGGTACAATTTTTCGGAGATTCTGCATTTCTTATGACTGTTATGGAGACAACACAACACCCAGTTGTACCTACCACTGAAACCTGGAAATAACCAGTCTTTAAAACTCTTTCTGATTATATTAAAGAAGTCAAAGTATGGCTGGCTAGCTAAAAACTTTCTCTAGCTTAATGAGAATAAATCTGATGTAATTATATTTGGTCCATCTGAGAGCATTCAAGCTATTAGTGACAATCTGGCTGCTTTCTTTTCTAACTTATCTAGCTGTGCTAACAATCTTGGGGTCACTGTTGACTCCTCTGTTAAATTTGACAAACAAATAAATTCAGTTGTAAAGAGTACTTTTTACCAGATTAGGCGTATTTATAAATTAAAAGCAGTCCTCTCATTTCATCATCTAGACATAGCTTTACCTGCTGGCACAAGGAAAAAAGAAAGCATTTCACCTGTCGTAGCTTCTCTACATTAGCTTCCTGTCAAGTACAGAAGTGATTTTAAAACTTTACTGTTTGTTTTTAAAGCATTACATTGTCAGTATACTTTTGATATAATTAGTCCTTACTCGTCTGGCAGGTTTCTTCGATCCACTACCCTTTGTATCTAGTTTGGTTCTATTGCTTGTTTTTAAGCTATATCTTCTTGCAACTGATGGCACATTTGATCTATTTCTCTGAGCATAAGGGCAAGTGCTTGTTAATGTGAGTGACCTAGACGCACTGGACAAGGCCATGCCCTAAAAACCCTACACAACAAAACCTGGCAACCTTGGAGGCCAGACTGCCTCACATGCATGAAAACTGTTGCACAAGTATAACATTTTTTATACACCTAATGATAGCTCTGAATACACTTCACTCACTTTACCAAGCCTTTTGCACCAGTTTTGAGTGCAAATCGGAAGCATTCTGATAACATTAAACAATACACATTGGCATGCTTCCTCAGACAGTACTGAGAATGCCATGTATGTAACGGGATGGCAAGGGGGCCAGACCCAAGTGCAGAGTCGGAAACCCAAGAACAAGGGTTTAAATGGACTAAGACTAAATGAAAGGTATAAATATCTAATGGTTATTATTATTATAATACAAATGATACAAGTGATGTGTGAGTGGGTTGGATGGGACTTTAATGCTTGTGCACTTTTGGGGCAAGAGCACTCCAAATGGGAATCAAACCTTTACCACTGTGCAAACAGGAAGCACAGGTGAAAGGTGGAAAAACACCCCTAAGATTCAAGCGTAAAAAAACATCGGGAAAGAGCAAAAAAAAGGGATGCCGAGGCAGCGTACTCAAACAAAGGCAAATATCAAAAACTGAGTAAACATTAATCAGTAAACAAGGCATTTAGAAATGAAATTGTTGAACTTTTTTATCTCTCCTTTTTCTTCTTTACTGTGGGAGCTGTTGGATCTTTTTCTCTTTTCTGTAATTTTGTCGTTTCTCTATTTAGCCCTCTTTTCTTTTCTCTTCTCTTCTTTTCTAGACGGACACTGAAGTACCATACCCGGACCCCCTTTACAGAGGTTTGACACTGACTGCTGTTTGCACAAGCCTTAAATGCTGAGGTGTACAGGTGTGTCTGGTTGGCTCTGATTAGCCTGTGGGCTTCTGGAGGCCAACTCTAGTCCTGAAAAAGCCCTTTATTCAAGGTTTTGATGTAGATGTCCATTGCTGAGTAACTCAGACAGGTACTACTACTCCACCTGGAAGCACCTGGAAGGTATTTTCTCTCTCACATCTAATGCTTCTGTTTCTAATATGGCTTGATATGTAACAGTTAACAACAGGTATTTCTAAGAGTTTGTTTACCAAAATATTCATTTTGTCACATCTCTAAGGAGTCCTTAAAATTAAATAACACTGTAAAAAATAGAAGTCAGGTCAGCCTAAAATAACAAGACTGCTTACTTCAAAACTCTTTTTCTGAGTGAACTCAGGTTTATTCTTTGAGTGAAATGGAGGTCATCTTAAAATGTAAAGCTGACCTGACTTTTAATCTTTTACAGTGTATTAATGTCAAAAGTTTCAGTAATACTCACCTCCTATGCATGGCTCACTGAGTCTTCTGAGTTTCTTGGGTAGAAGTTCATATATATCTAAAATGGAAAAGCAGAGCTAAAATTAGTGAAGTAGGATACCGTTCCTTCCTACCTTCATAAAGAAGTCTGGGGTGTGTTTGGTTCTAGTGTTTTGACCATTATAAACAGCAGTCTTACTAGTGCAACTGTTCCATCTTGTTTTAAACATTCTGCGATCCAGCCCTTTATCAAAAAGCCTAACTTGTTTTAGACATCTTTTACTAATTACAGATGGATCTCTAAACTAGCCTTCCTGTCAAAAGTTTTGGAGAAAGTGATCTTCTCTCAGTTGCCTTCATATTTATGTGAAAATGACATTTTGGCCAGTTTTCAGTCAGGTTTCAGGGTACATCATAGTCCAGAGTCAGCTGCATTTGATACAGTTTGTCATGCTTCCTGGTTCTCAGTCGGACACTCATACCATCAATGACTCCATTTCCCAGAATCCCTCTGTCAGTCATGAGACTTCTTCAACCAATCATAAACCACTCAGCAGATCAGTCACCTGAATTCTACTCACTACCACCTGTTGAACTCTGCATATACTAGTCTGTTTGGTTCATGTCTTTGCGAAGTGTTGCCATTGCTTAGTCAGTGCATACCAAGCCGTTTGACCTCACTTTGTTTTTTCCCGTTGACGATTCTCGCTCCTGTTTTGGCTTTGTTGTTTTCGTGTATGTGTTGTCTCTGGTTACGACCCTCGCCTGTTTTTTCAACTCCGCATTCGCCTACTCCTATGTATTTTGTCTTGCTGTTCTGGTTATTGACCTGGTCTGGTAATAACCTTGTTTATCTCCAATTGAATAAATCTTCCAGGTTCATTTTTATCCGTGTGTGTCTGATTTGCAAACTCAGCGTTACATAATTGACCATAATATTCTCTTTGGTCGTCTAAATTGTGGGGTGGGCATTCAGGGGAAAGCCTTGGCTTGGTTCTCTCTTACCTTAAAGAGCACACATTCGCTATTCAGGAGGTGGGATTTAGTTCGTCATCAGTTCCCATTTCATATGGTTTACCTCAAGGCTCCATCTTAGGGCCCGTTTTATTCTCTTTATACATGCTTCCACTTGGTACAATTTTTCGGAGATTCTGCATTTCTTATGACTGACAACACCCAGTTGTACCTACCACTGAAACCTGGAAATAACCAGTCTTTAAAACTCTTTCTGATTATATTAAAGAAGTCAAAGTATGGCTGGCTAGCTAAAAACTTTCTCTAGCTTAATGAGAATAAATCTGATGTAATTATATTTGGTCCATCTGAGAGCATTCAAGCTATTAGTGACAATCTGGCTGCTTTCTTTTCTAACTTATCTAGCTGTGCTAACAATCTTGGGGTCACTGTTGACTCCTCTGTTAAATTTGACAAACAAATAAATTCAGTTGTAAAGAGTACTTTTTACCAGATTAGGCGTATTTATAAATTAAAAGCAGTCCTCTCATTTCATCATCTAGACATAGCTTTACCTGCTGGCACAAGGAAAAAAGAAAGCATTTCACCTGTCGTAGCTTCTCTACATTAGCTTCCTGTCAAGTACAGAAGTGATTTTAAAACTTTACTGTTTGTTTTTAAAGCATTACATTGTCAGTATACTTTTGATATAATTAGTCCTTACTCGTCTGGCAGGTTTCTTCGATCCACTACCCTTTGTATCTAGTTTGGTTCTATTGCTTGTTTTTAAGCTATATCTTCTTGCAACTGATGGCACATTTGATCTATTTCTCTGAGCATAAGGGCAAGTGCTTGTTAATGTGAGTGACCTAGACGCACTGGACAAGGCCATGCCCTAAAAACCCTACACAATAAAACCTGGCAACCTTGGAGGCCAGACTGCCTCATGAGCATGAAAACTGTTGCACAAGTATAACATTTTTTATACACCTAATGATAGCTCTGAATACACTTCACTCCCCTATCTTTCCTTTTTTCTTCTTTACTGTGGGAGCTGTTGGATCTTTTTCTCTTTTCTGTAGTTTTGTAGTTTCTCTATTTAGCCTTTTCTTTTCTCTTCTCTTCTTTTCTAGACGGACACTGAAGTACCATACCCGGACCCCCTTTACAGAGGTTTGACACTGACAGCTGTTTGCCCAAGTCTTAAATGCTGAGGTGTACAGGTGTGTCTGGTGGGCTCTGATTAGCCCGTGGGCCAATTCCAGTCCTGAAAAACCCCCTTATTCAAGGTTTTGATGTAGATGTCCATTCTTGAGTAACTCAGACAGGTATTACTACTCCACCTGGAAGATATTTTCTCTCTCACATCTAATGCTTCTGTTTCTAATACACCTTGATATGTAACAGATAACAGCTATTTCTAAGAGTTTGTTTACCAAAATATTCATTTTGTCACATTTCTAAGGAGTCCTGAAAAATAAATAATACTGTAAAAAACAGAAGTCCAAAAATGGTCTTCTCTCAGTTGTCTTCACATTTAAGTGAAAGTGACATTTTGGACAGGTTTCAGGTTTATCAGCCTAACAACTTGGGTGAAAAGTAGAATCTGTAGAAATAGCTTTAGAAAGATTTTCAGAATTTGTTTGTATTTGGCTTGATCCCCTTTTGCTTTAATTAGTGTTTTTTTAAACATATTAAAACAAAGCTGATCTGACATTTAATCTTGCATAGTGTATAAAAACTCAAATGTTTCAGCAATACTCACATTCTTCGCTTGGCTGCCTGACATGTGTAAAACCACCACGAAGAGCTGTCTTACCTATCAAGGAAAAGCAGAGCTAAAATGAGTGAACACGCTTCTATTTTGTATTGATTTCTAATTTAACACACATTTTCATTACAAATTATCTTTTCAGCATAACAGTTTGAGTGAAAAGTAGAATCTCTAGAAATAGCTTTAGAAAGATTTTCAGAATTTCTTTGTAATGGTAGACATATAAACACTCTGACTTAACATGGTCACCATCATTATAATGGTTGAATAGTGATCTAGAAGAAGTTATTTGTATTTTCTGTTTACTCTTTGAGTAAACCTGACAGGATATTAAACATAAAATTTATCTGACCTTTAATCTTTTACAGTGAAATAAATTCAAATGTTTCAGCAACACTCACGATGTTTTAACTGTGGTCTTCTTCCCCAAACAGGTGGACAGCTACATGATCTCCTCCGTAGCCCTGGGAAAAACAAAGCTACAATGAGTGAAAATGCTTCTATTTTGTTGACACACTTTTTCTTTATAAATTACCTCATCAGCATAATAATTTGAGAAGAGTAGAACCTCTAGAAATAGCTTTAGGAAGATTTTCAGAATTTCTTTACATTTGGTTTCATCCCCTTTGCTTTATTGTGGTGTAACGTAAGCTTTTATGGGCTCCATACATTTGTGCAAAAGCTTCAGATGAGCAGATCAAATCCACCTGAGAGTGAAGACGAGCTTCAGTGGAATATGATAAAAAATCCAACCTTTTTGCACAAATGTCCTAACATGGTCATTGTCACAGATTTACTTGAATAGTAATCTAGAAGTAGTGTATTTTACTTGATATACTTTTTTTGCATATTTGCATATATTCATTTTCAGTTGGCAGACTCTGGCAAAAGAAAGGACTGAGGGATTTCAAAAGAAAACATGGTGGGGGCACTTCTGGTACAGCTAATATCAGGATTTTCTATATATAAAAATATATGTATGCAGATATGATTTAATGATTAAAAAAGTGTATATTGAAGTATTTTTTTTTGCTGTTGCAAAAGCCATGAACAGACCTACGCCTAATAAATGTTATATTAATTGATTACAATAATAATGAAATATTTTTCAACTGTTTATTCTGCCATTATTTTTCTGTTTTATTCTGCTACTCCAAAAGCCAACCTGTGCATAAACACTGAGTGGTGATATAAGTTTGCCAGGGAAACTTAAAATATCATCTGCTTTGCCAGTTTTTAGTAAATCTAGACTATGAGGCACTTTGTCTTGATATTACAATTAAACCACATTGCTTTCATAATGCAGACGGTTCATTAGGACCTATTTTATTGCCGTTTATCACTGGTGTGTAATTGAAATTTAGGCAAATGGTATTGGGACAATTGCAGTGTTGTAAGTTTAGGGTCCATGTAGGGCTGTGTACCTTCTGTTCATTAGATTTTCATTTTAAAATCCAGTATTGAAAAATGGCAAATGGGTCAATTCTCGTTTTTGATTATCATCAGTCAAAAAATAAGAAATAGCTACATTTTACAGTTTCACAGACCAATCATAAAATCAGATAACAAACAAATAGCAATGGAATAAGGAGTTGATTTTACTGATTCAAATGAACCAAAACTGAACATGCAGAGTGTACCCATGGTTGCAGGAGCTCAGAAATCAGGCCAGGAAAGATGAGGACAGGAAAGATTGAGCATGAGTGTTGAGAAGGTCAGCCTAGATCTGGCATTATGGAGGGCTATATAACATTTTATATGCATTTGTTGTTCTATTAGCAAAACACTGTGCTTACAGGCGACACCACTTGTAGCAGAATGACAGTATCTCCTGAGTCTCCTTCTTCACCAAGAGGCTACAATACACTCTCAGAAATAAAGGTACTACACTGTCACTGGGACAGTATCCCTCTTGTCACGGGGCGTGGTTCCCTCAAGGGTACATCTCAGTACCTTTAATCAGGAAACATAACTATCATAATCCATTGAAATTATATTTTCTTATATTTTCTTTCTTAAGTTGTATTGACTCCACACACCCCGTCTTGTCTCAAGGCTATCTATTTTATTGTTCTGTTTTAAAACATTTGGTTATGAAAGGGTACAAATATGTACTTTTTACTTGGGAAAAACTTGCTTAGGGTACACAGTTGGACCTTAAAACCACTGCTTTACCTTTGAGGGAATATTTACATTGTTTTTACCTTGATGATAAAAAATGTACCTGCACAGAACCTTTATTTCTAGCAGTGTACTGGTCATTATCACTGAAAGACAGAATGTAATCTAAATGCCTGTATGATGCATGCACATGCATAGAGGAGTTCGGCACAACACCGACAGAAAACTTCTTGAACTTGAGTGCATTGGCAGTTGATCTGGGGAGCCTTCGTCAAATGGTAGGAGTTCAGTTTTTTTCCCTACATCATTTCTTTCTCATATAGTTTATACAGGTCAAATATAAAAACGCTTATACAAAAAGTAATATAGCCGACCAATACACCAGAACCACAGGGCTGATTTCTGTGATTTCTGAGCTTCCACACCTGCACTTTGCACATTTATTTCCGCTTATGATGGGAAATTCTAAATTTGGATCATTTGAATATGACCGTTTATTTCATTGCTGTTTGTTTGTTATTTGATTTTACGATTATTTTCTTAAATTTCTTGATTTTTCCTCTAACAATAACAGAACAAGAAATGAGAATCGACCCATTTGCTGTTTTTCAATACTGTTTTTAAAATGCAAATCAAGTGAACAGAAGGTATCCGACCTGTGTATCTTTTGGTCATTCAAAGTTAAGGCTATAATCATTATTATTGACTCAAAAGGGAAACTAGCAGACATGCATCTCATCTTGGCAAACTTTTATTCCTCATTCCCCTATACAAGAAAAAAAAAAGAAGAAGAAAGAAACAATTCACAAGCTAGGCTGAACAATTAAAATGATTGCAAAGACTGCTAAGTGGAATGCATTGGCCGTGGTGTCTTCAGTATGGGATCAGTGTGCAATTTTAAAGTCAACCAGCTGGGAAGTTCCTTGCAGGTGTGGAACATGGGGCTCGTCCAAGTAGACTGCCAAACTGTGGAGTATAAAAATGCCTTAGATACATCTTTGGCTACTTGGTTTTAGTTGATGCCTAAGAAATTATAAGTAATAAAAATATATAACAAAATACTGTACGCAGTGAGGCCCAGTGGCATGCACAGACTTTGTGTAATTCCAATTGTTGTGTTAGTTTAGGCCTGAAATAAGATTATTGTGTGCTGTAAGTGTGAATGAACTGTAAAGAGACAATTTTTAAAATTTTACTCTTCACTTTAAAAATGTTTTTTTTTTATTTGGATATATAGGGTTAAAATTTTGAAATTTTGTGGGTAATCACAACTTGTGACAACATATCATCTGACAAATTTGTAAGCTTTTAAATTGCAAAAACGTCCTTTTTATACAGTGTTTAATTTTAGTTTAGCTGATCATGACATATTTGACAGTACACCCACTTTACCAGAAGTTTAGTGGTAGATCAGGTAGACTTGTGGTTGTTTTGACAGAGCAATCAGGCTGAATTTAAGATTCAGGAGTGTATTAAAACTCCGAAGTTACTGGTTTAATCAAACCTGTGTTGAACTGAGACTAAACTGCTGCTCTGCTAATGACAGCGCAATTGCCCACTGCTTATTTTGAAGCAGTTCTGTTGCTGTTGTTGTATGATGTAAACTTGATCTGTTATGCAAAAAATATTACATTAAGCATTGCTTAATGTAAATCTCCAGGCTTTGTAGACACATGCACATTACCAAGAAAGTCCACATGGCCATGGGCTGTCTAATTCTGCCATTCATATAGGCCATGAAGGGCAATTATTATTATTGTTATTATTATTATTAGTAGTAGTAGTAGTAGTAGTATTGCAATTGCAACCTTATGTAAAACTGGCCTTATGTCCTTATGTTGGCACACAAATCTAGTATTTGTGACTTACACTTTCTTAGCCTCCTTGCTTTCCATTTTGTTCCTTTCTGCCTACGTTTCATTTCCATCCTCTGTCCAAAATGACGTCCACTGTTTGCTGCCACCATCTCCTCTATCTTCTCCAGCAGCTCTGTGACCTGAGTGTCATCACTCCTGTTCTTATTGTTGAGAACATGATACCTGTTCCCACATTTCTCAACCAGCCACTGGAGCTCCTTCCCTTCACTCTCAATGTGCTGCTCTATGGGTGTGTCTCCCAGACAGTCTCCAAAGGTGAACAGCACTATAATGTGACTCCAGATATTCTCATTGAATAATTTTAGGCAATTTTTTAGTGCCTTTTTCTCATTTTTCTTAAACAAAGTATCTGAACATATGACTATCAGTAGTGCATGAGGTCCAGGAAAACATAGAGACACACTGCGCACAATCTCCTGTTTCAGTAACTCTACAGGTTTATTACTCCACCATCCTGGAGCTTCAACCACAGTGATGTGTCTCCCTGCTACTTCTCTCTGTCTCTTCACACACTGAGCAGTTCTCTTTAACTCAAACTCCTCTCTGTTCAGGATGGTGTTTCCTGCTGAACTCTTCCCTGAATAGCTGCTCCCCAGCAGCACAATCCTCAGCTCTGAAAGATGTTGGAAAATCTGTGTAGGAGAATGCTCTGTGTGGAAAGAGAAGTACATTAATCTCACAGAATCTTATTGTCATTTTATGATTCCAGATTGGTTGTTTGTGTATCAAGCTATAATTTTCTTACTCATTTTTGATCTTATGTCTTCTCTCTGCTTCCGCACATTCAGCATCCTCTCTTTTGCTCTTGTTTCCTTTTCTTTCCTCTTTTCATTAACTTTCTGAAAAATCCTTCCTTTTATTTCAAAATGGTGTCCTCTGTTTGCTGCCACCATCTCCTCTATCTTCTCCAGCAGCTCTGTGACCTGAGTGTCATCACTCCTGTTCTCATTATTGAGAACATGATACCTGTTCCCACATTTCTCAACCAGCCACTGGAGCTCCTTCCCTTCACTCTCAATGTGCTGCTCTATGGGTGTGTCTAACAGACAGTCTCCACAAGAGAACAGCACTATAGTGTGTCGCCATATTTTTTCAGAAAGAGGTTTCAGTTGTTTCACTAATGCTGTTCTTTCATTTTCTCTAAATATGGTGTCCAAACGTATGACCAGTAGTAAAGCATGAGGTCCTGGAGGACACAGAGACACACTGAACACAATCTCCTGTTTCAGTAACTCAGTACTCTCCTCCACAGGTTTATTACTCCACCATCCTGGAGCTTCAACCACAGTGATGTGTCTCCCTGCTACTTCTCTCTGCCTCTTCACACACTGAGCAGTTCTCTTTAACTCAAACTCCTCTCTGTTCAGGATGGTGTTTCCTGCTGAACTCTTCCCAGCATCTCTGTATCCCAGCAGTAAAATCCTCAGCTTTGAGAGATGGTGTGTATCACCTGCAGGAGAAAAACAAGTTATTTCAAGAAATATTGCAAGAATCTTCATAATCATAATTAACATTGAAAGAAATGTCTTTTTTCATTTTCTTAAATGAAAGTACAATTTGTAAAACATTATTGTATGTATTTGAAATGAAAAACATTCTAAACATTCATTTTCTATGAAATGGCTATAGAAAATTAACATTTAGAATGTTTTTTCATGAAATTGAAGCAAATCTGAATAGCTAATATAGACAACACCTTACTAACAGGCTATCCAGAAAGGACACCAAATTTTCACAGTGTCACTTATTCCTTAGTTCAAAGGTTCCACCAACATGGTCTGACAATGGCAAATAAATAGGAAATCACTCAAGACTACTCATGAGAAAAGTTACAATCATTTAAGTTTTTGGTGTGTAATGATGAATAGGGTAGTAATAGGTCAAGGGTTTACTAAAATGAAATTTTTTCTTTTTATCACTGACAATAATGCAACAGATTACAAGGAAAAGGTTCAACTCTTTGCAAGGACAGGTCACCAAGACCTTGATGGGATGGCAGTGGAAAGAAAGAAAATCTCTTTTGGAATCCCTTCCTAGATTGGCACCTTGTCATAGCAGAAGGGCTTGTGTGGTCTAAGGATTTACAAAGCTAAATTGTCTGGAGCAGTATGTTCCTGGTAGGGTCTTCCAAGAGAACAGGTATGGAATGAAGACTCATACTAACTCAATCCAATATCCCCCATGATCAAGGGACAAAAGATACTGGGTACCCTGCCGAGGAGAGGGTTACAGAGTCCTTCCCCTGGAGCCAGGCCTGGGGGTAGTGTTCCTTGGCAAGCATCTGGTGGCCAGTCAGCCTATGTAACCTGGCCAGGCTTGGCCTGAAAAGGCAACATGAGAGGAACCATGTGGGCCCACCAACCACAAGGTCCAACACTGGGGACTTGTGCAGTGCCATATAAGCAGTGGGAAATGGCAGGGAGGTCCGTGGTGGCATGTACCCCTGCGGCGGAAACTGGCACTTGGCATGTGGAACGTAATCTCACTGGGTGGAAGGAGCCAGACCTTGTGCAGGAGGTTGAAAGGTAGAGTTGTCCATAATGAATGCCAAGTTTGAACACAAGGATGTTCATAAGTGTACTTTGTAACTTCTTGAGTCAAACGTCAATGATCGACGTTTGGTGTCATTTCATGAGGCCATGTCGGAGGCCGTCAAGCTGAAGAAGGAGGCCTTTAGGGATTGGTTGGCCTGAAGGACTCCCAACTCAGTAGATAGGTACCAACAGGCAAAAAAGGCAGCAGCAGCAGTGGCTGAAGCAAATTCCAAAACATGGGAGGAGTTTGGATAGACCAAGGAAAAAGACTTTCGATTGGCTACTAGAAGCTTCTGTCTGGCAACTCCGGAGCAATCAGGGTGGCTTTGCTCAAGCTGTACTCAGCAAGGGTGGAGAAACTCTAACTTCAAATAAGGATATTGTTGGTTGATGGAAGGAGCTTTTTGAGGAACTCCTAAACCCGAGAGACATGCCTCCCTCATGGAAGTCAGAGCCAGAGGCATATTGTGCTCGGTGGTGCACTGTGCATTAATGCTGGAAGTCATAGAGAGCATGAAGGTAAAATGTGTGCATAGAAATAGTATTTACAAGACTATTGTTGTTTTATCTATGGACATTGACAAGTTTACATATAGGACTAAAATCAGCTCTTACTACTGGTTTTAGTGACTGTGTAATTTTGTCCATTTAAAATAATCTTGCTAAAGAAATTTCTGACGCCAAACATGTCTTGGCTTGTCGACTATATTTCGATTCGTTTGGGGGGGTTTTATTTTTTGCCAGCTTTCATTTTAACAGAGGCAGTGATTACATTTCAGTTCCTTTTCTAGTTATTCATTACTTTCTGTGGCTGTTTTTTAGAAGTCAAATTTGATAAACTGTAGGTTTGGTCCATGAGCTGTTGTTGGACCATAAATTACACTTTCAATGTTTGTCATCAGTCATTGTGATTAATGTGTCATAACAGGATATGTAATGATAATTAATTCCTAATATTATAAGTAGTAATAACACCCTAATGTAGTGTATAATGTGCAATTCACTGTTACTTAGCTTTTTGTGTACATTGCTATAAAATGCATTTTGAAATTATATTGTAATTATTGCTATTATGAAACATTTATAAATCTCTGTAATCAGTTTTTTATATCTCAGTTATTCTTAATTACAGTTAATAAGTTAGTCAATAAAAGAACTGTACAAATAGAAATGTATTTCACAATTTTATATTGTTTTAATTGCAGGCTGTTAATTATAAACATTTATTTCATTATAATATAATTAACTGATTTTGAATTGTGTTATCTACGGAGTTAGAAGGTTAAATTGCATTCTTGATAGATTGAATTCTTATGTACAATGGCTAATACCAACACCAACACACATTGCTTGTGCATTGTTTATATTAATATTTTATTTTAATCATTAAAAAAGAAAGAAAGACTTTAGCTTAGTAATTTGCGAAGTATTGCCAACACCTACTGGTTCCAGTTTTCACTAAACTAAATCCCTGTAATGCTTACAATCTTATCCTCATAAAGGAAGGTGATGAGTGGAAAACAGCTCCACTAGGAATAGCCACTATGAATACTTGGTAATGCCTTTTGGGTTGTTCGTAGCACCTTCTGTTTTCCAATCTTTCATTAATGACATACTTGGAGACATGCTTGGTGAATTTGCAATTGCTTACTTACATGATATTCTGGTTTATTCCCCCAGTCTTTAAGCACATGTTCAGCCCACTCATCAGGTACTCGAAAGATTTTTGGAGAATCGATTATACGTTAAAGGAGAAAAATGTGAATTTCACATACAAAGAAACACATTTTTACGGTATGTTCTTAGTCCAGAAGGTGTGATAATGGATGATTCCAAGGTAGATGCTGTTAAGAATTTCCTTAACACTTCCTGTTTTCATTAAAGACCTACAACAATTTCTGGGATTCGCCAATTTCTACAGGTGTTTTAGCAGAAATTATAGTACTTTGGCCACCCCACTAGTTTTCGTTCAAATAGTTCAAATAGTTTTTCAGAAACTTGAAAAGGCTTTCATTACAGCACCTATTCTTGTTCACCCTGATCCTGAGAAGCCTTTTATTGTGGAAGTAGATGCTTCTGACATAGGAGTAGGAGCCGTCCTTTCTCAAGCTGCCGGCAGTACTAGTAAGCTTCATCCAGTCGCATTTTTCTCCCATAAACAGAATTTTGGTATTGGAGATAGGAGCTTCTAGCAATAAAGTTAGCTTTAGAAGAGTGGCAACACTAGCTTAAGGGAGCTAAACACCCTTTCATCGTTCTGACAGGCCACAAGAATCTTGAATATTTAAATGATGCCAAACCCTCATCAAGCTTATTGGTCCTTGTTCTTTTCCTGTTTTCAATTTAATATTACTTACAGACCTGGTTCCCAAAATACTAAAGTTGATGTACTACCACTTCAGAAGCAAGAGAGAAAGAGACAGTTTATCCACCTGAGAACATTATGGCCCCTGAATGCATTGTGGTAGTATGTACCAGTAGAATTCAGGAATTGTCTAATTACATGGACCCACTCATCTATCACTTCTGGTCACCCGGGTGAGACACATACCCAACAATTATTGAGCAATAGATATTGGTGGGAGAACATGTTGGCCAATATTCACCGTTTTGTGGCATCTTGTACTAGCTGGTCCAAATGTAAAACCCCTAAGACTTTGCCTGCTGGGAAATTGGTTTCCTTGCCCGTTCTTGCCCATCCTTGGTCCCACATAGCCATAGATTTTGTAACTGTTCTACCACCCTCTCAACAATACACTACCATCCTAACAGTAGTGGACAGGTTTTCTCAAGCAGTCCAATTCATCCCGTTTACTAAACGACCCTCAGCTTTTAGATTTCTGGGATACCTGAGGATATTTTATCTGACCCTCAATTGACGTGGCCCTCAATTTCCCTCTGCTGTTTGGCCTGCCTTCTTTGAACATACCAGTGTCAGTGTGAGTCTCACTTCTGGATATCATCCTTAGTCTTACGGACAATGTGAAAGGGCCAACCAAGAACTTTCTCAGACTGTACTGTCACAAGAACCAGGCTGATTGGGCATAATTCTTGCCTTGGGCTTAAATGGCAAAAAACTCACTTATGCCATGGAATGTGGTGATTACCAATGCTCCAGCAGTAGAGCAGTGGATGAAGAGGAGCGAAGAAGTCTGGGCATCAACGCATCAACACACTGAACAGGTTTTAAGGGGGAAAAAGGCCCAGGCTGATCACCGCTGGAATGACACCCCCATATATCAACCTAGAAACCATGTATGGTTGTTGAATTGGGACTTAGGTTTGAGGAGGATTGAAGAAAACTCATGCCTTAATATATTGGTCCATTCAAGATTTTGGCAAAGATGAATAAGGTTACTTATAAAATTGATTTACTTTGACAGTACCATGTTTCATGATCTTTTCATGTCTCTCTACTTAAGCCTGTTGTCCCAGTTCCTTTGGACGAGGCCGCACCCAATGAGCAGCTACCGCCACCTGTGGTAGTCAGTGGAGCCCCGGTCTATGCTGTTTGCAGGTTGCTGGACTCCAGGCAGAGAGGAGGCCGTTTACAATACCTGGTGGACAGGGAGGGTTATGGTCCCGAGGAGCGTAGCTGGGTAGCTCTCCAAGACATCCAGGATCACGGTCTGGTGGGGGAGTTCCACCGTCTTCATCCTGAGAAGCCAGCGCCTCATCTCAGAGGATGTCCCAGGAGCCAACCTGGTGAGGCCCATAGTGGTCACATCCATGGTCATCCTAGGGGTTGTCCTAAGAAGACTTCGTCCGTCCAGCACCTCGACAGCCCCAGTGGTTCTGGAGCTATCACGCCCCCAGCCAAGGGCGCCTCCTCTACCCGTTCCCTTTCCCTCACAAGATCACTTGAGTCCATGGACTGTCCAGAGGACTCCAAATCCTACGAATCAGGTGGAGATCACGTGACCGGAATTCTAATCTGTCACACCTATTTGTCATTACATTCCTTTAGTCAGTTAGTATATAAAACCCGGGCTTTAACTTAGTAATTTGCAAAGTATTGCCAACACCTTCTGTTGCATGCTGAGCATTCTTTGTGTAAATTCTTCTGTGTATGACTTGTTTTCTGTGTTTCTGACCTGCCCTTTTTGGTTTATTTGCTGAATATCATCTGAGCCTTTGGTTTTTGAACTTGGAATGGTTTTTTGGTTGCTGTCTTGATGTCCCCTTGTTGTGGTTCTCTTGCTCTCTAGTTCTGACCCTAGCCTGTTCTGAATATGCCCTCTGTACCACTACCAAAACCTCAAGTAAACTTCAACCTTGTCTTTTTATCTGTGAGCGTCTGATCTGCTTTGACATAGTAACAGAAAAAAGCTGTCTTTTGTGTTGATTAGTACACAGTTTTCAAGAAAGTGATTACTTTACTGGATGCAGATTGCAGTGTTGCCACTTTAGGGTAGTAGAAATAGTCTCTGATGATAGCAACATGACTATTCTCATTATAGTCAAAGAAATCCACATTAAATTTTAAGTACGGCCTGTCATTCAGGTAAAAAATGTGGTTTAAGTGGTTCAGCTTGCTGTCTGGGTCTTTATGTAAGGCACTCTGCACTTGTTAATGTTCTTGAGTCAGCTGCAGCAGTACTGATCCCAGGCTGCACTGGGGCGCATCAGCCAGAATCCTGGTGTGTCTTCAGGATCATAAAATTTGAGGATAGGCTCTCCTATTATAAATCTTGTCAGGTGTAGGAAAACCAGAAAACCAAAAATGCTTTAGTTCATTAATCTGTTTAAGGACTCCTCTGAGTGGTGCTGAGACACAGTAGAGAGCCAGGGAATTAACTTGGCAAGGTAGGTCCCTATGAAAAGGAAACATCTCACCTCCTTTTGCTTTGCAGTCTCTCCATATTCCCTATAACTGACTTCATTTTAGGTCCGGCTTTATCCCATCTTCTGAAATCTTGTGTCCCACAAAGATCAGAGTTTTTACTCCAATTTGTTATTATTTCAGGTTAAGCCTGTGAGGTCTACAACTTGTGTCACCCACCTGTCATATTAATTTTTTGGTGGAACCCCAAATGATTGTCACACATCATAGTTGTCACACCAGGTATACGCTCAAAGATCATGTGACTGATTTTACGGTAGACCTCTGGTGCGGACAGAATTCCATACAGGAGCCATACAAAATGCCACCTCCTTTCTGAAGTATTAAAAGCGCGTAGTCTTGAGGTGGCTTATCAAGCTTTTTGCCCCTCACAATACATTGATCTTGCTGAACCACTTGGCACTTGCAAAGCGAGTAATGATCTCCTCCCGAGTTGGCAGTGTGAACTGCCAGTGAATTTACCAGGTGAATTTTGCTTTTCACAGAGAAAGTCTTGTAATCATCCTTAGATAACAGGTTTATGTGGGCTCCAGTATCAAGATTGAATGGAATTCTCATTTTATCCATTCAATCCATTCTACTTTATCTGCAATAGCATTTTGTACTAATAGCTCTTTCTTGTGGAGAACCTTTAACCTGCTAAACTGAGGATGAGACCAAAACCACTAATGCTGGTACATTAATTAACAGACACCCGCATTTGCTAGCACCATGCTGAGTGATGGAGGGAGAGATGAGGGAGAGATGGACAATTATGACAATTACGCTGTCTGGGACTTCATGGAAGTCCAATTTCTGATCTTCCAAAAACAAGGCCAAAACTTTGACAGTTGTGCCTTTCAGGAATCCTTGGTATGAAAAACGTTTGAACAATACCCAGCTCTAAAAGTAAGACCAAGATAATTTCTTGAAACTACTGGGACAAATCAATCTGTTTCAATTCAAGAGACAAATGTCACGTTTTGCACTTACATTCAAGTAATGACAAGAAAGTGCATACAAATACATTCATGAAATTGCTTACTTATTTGTGATCTGAAGTATTCTCTCTGCTTCCGCACCTTCGTCAGCCTCTCCAGTGATCTCCTTTTCTCTGTCATCCTCCTCGCTTGGACCTCCTGTAGGATCTTTCTGTCCAGTTCAAAATGGCGTCCACTGTTTGCTGCCACCATCTCCTCTATCTTCTCCAGCAGCTCTGTGACCTGAGTGTCATCACTCCTGTTCTCATTGTTGAGAACATGATACCTGTTCCCACATTTCTCAACCAGCCACTGGAGCTCCTTCCCTTCACTCTCAATGTGCTGCTCTATGGTTGTGTCTCCCAGACAGTCTCCATGAGTGAATAGAACTATAGTGTGACTCCAGACTCTCTCAAGCAGAAGCTTCATGTGTCCTTCTAACACATTTTTCTCTTTTTCTTTAAATATGGTGTTCAAACGTATGATCAGCAGCAGGGCATGTGGTCCCGGAGGACACAGAGACACACTAAGCACAATCTCCTGTTTCAGTAACTCAGTGCTCTCCTCTACACCTACATCTCTCCACCATCCTGGAGCTTCAACCACAGTGATGTGTCTCCCTGCTACTTCTCTCTGTCTCTTTACACACTGAGCAGCTCTCTTTAACTCAAACTCCTTTCTGTTCAGGATGGTGTTTCCTGCTGAACTCTTCCCAGTATTTATACTCCCCAGCAGCACAATCCTCAGCTCTGAGAGATGATTTGTATCACCTGCAGGAAAACCAAAGAAACTTGGTGTCAAGTAATCCAAAGAAGAACCTGCCTCATTGAATGGTTCTAACCTACTGACAAGGACAGTCATACACACACACACACACACACACACTATATGCACAGAAGTACGGAGACACCTACACATTACACCTACAGAAGCTTTTATGATATCCCATTCTAAATCTATAGGCATTAATATGGAGTTGGTCCCTCTTTGCAGCTATAACGACTTCCATTCCTCTGGGAAGCTTTCTACAACATTGTGGAGTGTGTTTGTGGAAATGTTTGCCCATTTATCCTGAAGTTAAGACCTTATTTCTGAGGTCAGACCCTGATGTTGGATGCGCAGGCCTAGATCGCAATCTTCATTCTAGGTCACCCCATTCTGGAACAGAAAAGGGCCTTTCCCAAGCTGTTCCCACAAAGTTGGAAGCATACAATTGTCCAAAATGTCTTGGTCTGCTGAAGCATTAAGATTTCCCTTCAGTGGAACTAAGTGGTCCAGGCCAACCCCTGAAAAATAACCCCATAGCATTATCCCTCCTCCACCAAACTTTACTGTTGGCACAATACAGTCAGACAGGTCATGTTCTACTGGCATTTGCCAAACCCAGACTCGTCCATCAGACTGCCAGATAGAGAAGCTTTATTGATCTTATTCATCTTATCAATTTAATATAATCCTTTGTTTAACATCTCTATAGGATGTAATGTTAACTTATTAACAGAACTTAGACAAATGCTTCAGCATCGGGCACAAAATCATAGTCAGTTTAAAATATTACACGTGCTCCTTTTTTATTTTTGCTTGCTGTGCAAGCTCTAATGTGTCCCACACACATATATAACCTCAAGGTAAAATATTTAACAAAGACTATAAAACAAAGTGTATAATATATGCTGTTCTTTCCCATATATACCTAAGAAATATATTCTTATTTATATTACTTATATTAGATTTGAAGAATTTACATTACATAAAAATATGCAACCTGTTCCTCTAGTTTGCCTCATAATATAAAATGTAATTGAATGTCTGAATATCTGCATGCACAGCTAAAATCTTCATAAAAACAGCTTTAATTTAAAAAATATAAAATCTTTCATATTTCACTAAGTCATTTGTGGCAGAGGTGGCATCCTATGACAGTGCCACGTTTAAAGTCACTGAGCTCTTCAGTACGACCCATTTACCTTCCAGTGTTTGTCTATCGAGACTGCACGGACTAATGCAACTAATAATAACAAAAAAAAAATATTATACAAAATTACTAGACACCCCCCCACACACACCTGCCCTCCATCAAATGACTACATTTATTTAACAAATAATTACTTGTGTGTTTTAATCATTTACATCACATAGTATTTCAGAAGTACTGAGTGGAGTGCTCATATAATGCTGATATAAGCTTATAATATCAACCAAATGAAAGAAATTAGGAACTTGTTATCCTTTATTTGTTTGTTCATCTTCTTCCTTATCACTGCTAAGTTGGCCACAACTATTTCTTTTTTCTCTTGCAAATGTAAATGGGTAAAGCCATATTCGAGCTGGATTACTTTTTGTGTTACATTACCAGTTCATGCAATTTGTGCGTTATTTGAGTCTACTCTTCATCAAAGAGGAAAATTAACTAACATATACTAAAAGGTCTCAAGTAGCATTTTGTGTCTGTCAAACCAGAGGCTATTATCTGAAAATTACCAATAAACAAATTATGTGTCTCTAGTGGAAATAATGAAAATTACGATAACAACCTTGACCTTATAATCAAACATTATATCTTACCAAAGCGGCCCTCAGGTTTTCCTCTTTGAGCCATCTCTTAGCCAGTCTTCATATCTAAATAAAAATATGATTGAATGTCTGAATATCTGCATGCGCAGCCAAAATCTTCATAAAAACAGTTTTAATTTTTAAAAAAAAAATCTTTAAAAAATTATAATACAAAAATATTCAACATGACATTGAGTTCTTTAAGATTTCTCAGCTTCTCAGTATTTCATGAGCATAATCTACTGTGATATATAAGGAGATTTGAACATTTGCAATCCAGCACCACTGTACAGAGAAATTAAGAATTTAATTTCTTAATCTAAGAGTTACTGAACACCAGCATTAAAGACGACATATGAAATTTATATCATTCTATAGTTAAACTTTCAACAGTCTGTTCTTTAGTAGGGTAACATCTGTACTGAATGCATTTAAAAAGTGTTCAGAACTTCACAGTTGGATTTACAATGCGAGATATTTTCTAAACTCAGTGCTCAGTGATTACAGTGTAAATATAATTTGGACAGATCTTACCTTTTATTTGAAATTAAGCCATTTTTTAACTTCTGATCCACAGATGATTTCCAGCTGACAGCGGTCTGGGTAAAGGGGTCATTTTCAGTCAGGAAGTGCATATATGAGAGGAAAAAAAAAAACCCTGATGGGTTGCCAGATCCAGATACACAGTATGAAGTTGAGGAATGCAAGATATTAAGACAAACTGTAGACAAAACATTTTGGTTGCACAAGAATTATGTCGCTTGTAGATAAATATCAAGATAAAGTTTATTTAACTGTTTTTTTTCTCCCTTTTTAATTAGTTGAGAATAGAAGTCAACAACATGTTCCAAGCATTTCACCTTATAACTTACGATAAAAGTATAGTTAGGCTCATTAAGGGTTATCAAGGTTAGGATTGGGCTCAGTTTCAATTTTTAATGTTTCAAAAATAACAAGAAATTTTATATATTTGAATATATGGTCTGAAATCTCTTGGTAGCAATCAATCTGGCAACCTAACTGAGCAAGCCTAAAGCATAAAAAGCAGGAAGCTCTTGACAACGGTCTAAAAAGTCACAAAATGGCACAAGAAATGTCAAAGAAATATGTTTCTTCACAAAAATTTTTTATGTAGTTTTGTTTGAAATATCTTATAACCTTTGAAGGTTGGCAGGGAACAACATTTCATTTCAAGGCAAACTGACCTTAAAGGTATTTGTTTTTTTTTAGTTTCATGACATTTTGTCTGCATGTTACATCTTCTAGACTAATGCAGTTGTCTGCAACACTTTATATTTATAATCTGAATTTACATCAAGCTGATGTAACTGTCATCAGACCAACACTAGCTGATCACCCGGCAATTACACAAAACATATTAGGTCATGAAGCTTTGATACCAACATTACCTTCAGCTAACTTCTAACAATTTATTCTTCAACTGACCATTTTCTTTGTATCTCTTGCTTTTTTATGGCAAATGCAAAGCATTTTTCTTATCAAAGAGAAAAAAGGTATCATTTTAAAAACAACATGCTGAGGTACATATGACACAAGTTCCAGAAAATAAATCAAACACCCACACACATATACATAACTGAGGATGTTCTCTGTCACACAGCCCGCAGCTACGTATGGGGTTTCCTGTAAACTTTGTTTTTGAAACATCTGGAGAAAAAAATGACACATAAGCAACTAAATTGGAACATGTTCACTTCTGAGCATGTACTGCGGCAACTCATCCATTTAAGCAATCAAAGCACTATTTAATAAAAGTAGAAAATTAAAAAATATATTTCAGAAGTTTTCTCTGTCATTATCCGTATTTGACAAGCCAAAACACAGCACATCCTAAAAGTATAATATACAATATATTCTCCATTAATCTGAGGAACCATTTCACCATGCAAAGAACCACTTAAGCATGCAAATGGCTCTTTAAGTGTTCATGGTTCTGTAGAGAACAAGTACCTTTATTAAAGAACCCTTGAAGAATTATTTTTAAGCTAAACCTTATCTAGTTGATCGTATTTGTGAACACAATTATTTTATTAAGACATCTAACAATAGATTCTATTGCACAGAGCAATGTCAAAAACATTAGCAAGCTAACATGGTGCTTAGTTTCATTAATGTTCATTACTGTTAACATGATAACAATTCTTCTTTTTTAAAATTGGCTTCTCAAATGTTTGTTAGCATTGGATTTTTCTCACAATAATAAGACATGTACTCCACTTTGTGCTACCGGACTGAGCTGTTACGAAAGCTATGGACTCCATGTCCTTTTACACACTTTTTCCCTGCAGGCCAAAGTCTATGTAGCTAAATGTTATCATGATGTATTGTGACCATAATCATCTTTCAGTTGTGCAGTCAGTCAGACACAAGAGCACCAACACAACTAGGAGAAAATAACCAACTTCTAGAAAGGCTATTCACAGGAGCAAGAAAAAAGAGTCTCTCTATTGTTCTTGTACTCTCTCTCTCCTCCTCACATACACATACACACACACACGCTCAAGCTTCCACTTTTGCTTCCTCAATGAAACTTTCAGTGGACGGCTTCAAAGACTCATTTCTGTAAAAAAGGATGTGTGAGTGAGAAGAAACGTGTAGAGGTTTCTTCCAACATTATGTAAGCATTCTATAGAGGGATGCATGAATACCATTTTTTAAACCAAGTATGTTCTATTGTTTGGTACAATAATAAACCACTCTATTGAGTTAGAGACACAACATACGACTCCACGCACGCTCTTCACTCTCGAACTCCCCTCCTTTATTATCTTTCCCCCCCGGTCCCCCGTGAACATTACAAAGGTTCCTACCTATGCAAATGACCTGATACTACATCCCCCTTTCTGAGATAAAGTGTCCTTTCCTTTAGGGGTATCGTACTAGATAACCAAATTCCATAACCTGTAGAGCAACATATATTTTCACTTTTACTATTTACAGTTCTTGTTGCGATTTCAAACAAAACAACATCACAAGTTTTTTTTTTCTAAAGAAGGGTGGGGTAGACTGCCCATCCCTTCTCCTGAGTGTGGGGATTATTCTGCCCCATTAACCACTCAGTTCTCTGTATCTCATCTTTAAGTGCATACAAAGTCCTTTAGGCGACTTGGGACCTTTCTCTCTCTGACAGGGTATCGGCGTTCAGCTGTTTGGCACTGTGGCTGCTGCTGCTGATCTTGAGGCTTTGGTGAGACAGGTGTTCTTGTTGAATCTACCAAAGTGTTTGGTTCAGTAGACATGTCAGGTAAGTTGACTGCACTTTCAGGGGCCACTGGTGTTGGAGAGAGATGGAACCTGTTTCTCCGTAGGGTACCCCCAGGTGTCTCCACAATGTAAGATCTGGGTTTGTTGGCAGAAGACACAACTGTGCCACGTTCCACTGTGTCTTTTATCCACACATGCTTTCCCAGCTGAAGGTCTGTCATGGGATGTACTCGGTGTCTGCGGTCGTAATTGTGTTTTTGTTTTTGTCTGTATGTGTTCTCTTTCTCTTTCAGCTTCCTCCAGTCCACACATTTTGGCTTGAGTTGGGACGGGATGACGGGAACAGGTGTTCTAATCTTTCTTCCCATGAGAAGCTCAGTGGGACTATATCCATTAGCCAGTGGAGCAGCACGGTAGGCCATGAGAGCGAGATAGGGATCACTTGACTTTTTTAGAAGATTCTTGATTGTTCTCACCGCCCTCTCAGCCTCCCCATTGCTCTGTGGAAAATGAGGACTGGATGTTACATGACTAAAGCCCCAATCCTGTGCAAAGCGTCTGAAGCAATCCGATGCAAACTGTGGCCCATTGTCTGAACGCACAATCTCTGGAATTCCATGGCGAGCAAAAATTGATTTGAAGTGCTGGATCATTGCTTCTGAAGTTGTGGATGACATCTTAGCGACTTCAAAGAATCTGGAATGATAGTCAACAATGATGAGGTAGTGTTGGTTGCTGTACTGAAAGAGATCTGCTCCTACCATGGACCATGGTCTGGTTGGAAACAATGTAGGCAGCATCAGCTCCTTTAGGTTGGTTCTCTCACGCGCACATGCATCACAGTTTTCAATCATCAGTTTCAGTTCCTTGCTAAGGCCTGGCCACCACACCGACTGTTTAGCTCTCTCTCTACATTTCGTTATGCCCAGATGTCCCTCGTGCAGCTTGTTTAGTATGTCTCCTCGGAGTGATGCTGGGATAACTATTCTATCCCCTTTTAGTAGCACTCCGTTTTGTACAGTGAATTCACCTGAGAATGGCAGATAGGGCCGGGTCGTCGCATCGACAGAGAATTTATCTGGCCAGCCCTCTACACAGTGCGTTTTAAGTTGGAGAAGTATGGGGTCGCTGTCTTGGTGAATTTGGATCTCTCTGAGCTTATGCTCGGTAGCCGGCAGACGTGTCATGACAGTGTCAACATACAGGTTTATCTCTTCCTCTTGTAGACCGTCTGCTGTGCCACTTACAGGAGCTCTGGAAAGCACATCTGCCGTTGCAATGTTTTTGCCAGACACATGCGAAATCGTGTATGCGAATCTCATCAGTCTCATTCTGAGGCGCTGTATTCGTGGTGGAAGGGCGTCTAATGTTTTTGAGCCCAACAAGGGGACCAAGGGTTTGTGGTCTGTCTCTATGTGGAAGTTCTTCCCTATGAGAAACTCTGCAAACTTCTCACAGGCCCATGTGGAGGCCAGCGCCTCCTTCTCTATCTGCGCATACCTCTGCTCGGTGCTGGTGAGGGCCCGTGAAGCATACGCTACTGGTTTCCATTCTTGATCTGGTCGCTTTTGGAGGAGAACAGCACCTAGTCCATATGATGAAGCATCAGCAGAGACCAGTGTTTTAGCATTTGGATCATACAGTGCCAACCCAGGCTGTGTTGTTAGTTCCCTTTTAATTCTGTCAAAGGCCTCCTGCTGTTGGGACCCCCAGGCCCACATATTTGACTTCCAGTTCCAGACTTAACAGTTCTCTGAGCAGACGGGTTTTTTCGGCCAGATGGGGTAAAAATTTACCCAGGAGATTTATCATTCCAAGCAGTCCTCTCACTTCACTGACGTTAGTGGGTTCTCTCATGTCCTTTACTGCTTTCACTTTTTCAGGGTCAGCGCTCACCCCTGATGCCTCGATGACCTGCCCCAGGAACTTAATTTTGCTCTTAGAAAACTCACATTTTTCATTGAGTGTTACCCCAGCCTCCTGGAGTTGTGACAGTGCCGCGCGTAGCCTCTCGTCATGCTGCTGTTGGGTGGCTCCCCAGATGAGCACATCATCCATCTGACACAAAACCCCCTCCAGACCCTCGAGGATTTGTGTCATGCGCTTCTGGAAGTGCTCGGGAGCAGAAGAGATTCCAAAGCACAAGCGATTATAACAATATCATCCAAACGGCGTAATGAAGGTGGTAAGCAGTGAAGACTCTTTTGAAAGTGGAATCTGCCAGAACCCAGAGTTTGCATCTAGTTTTGAAAATATTTTGGCACCTGCCAGCTGTCCCAGTGTGTGCTCTACTGAGGGAAGTGGGTGCCTTTCTCTCATGACTGATTTGTTCAGTTCTGTGAGGTCAGTGCATATTCTCACCTTGCCTGTTCGCTTGGGCACCACCACCATAGGTGCACACCATTCAGTTGGCTGTTCCACTTTTGAGATGACTCCTTGTTGCTCCATGCGATTCAATTCTTCTTTAACCTTTGGAAGAAAGGGAGGGAAATGCGTCTAGGGGTGAAGAGAGAGAAGGGTTTAGCATCTGGCTTCAGAACAATGTTATACTCGCCCTGCATCTTCCCTAGGCCATTGAATAACTTTGGGAATTCTGCTTTTACTGCTTCTTCTGAGTCTAGATTGACAACATCCAGTCTGGCTACCAACTGCAGCGCTGTGGCGGCTGAACGACCCAATAATGGTGTGGTCAGTCCCTCCACAACATAAACTTCCTGTAGTGTGCACTTTTGTCCTTTCTTCAGTGTGGCTGTGAATTTACCTTTTACGGACAGTGGTCTCCCTCTTGGGCCCTTTAGGACCTTTGCTGACCTTTCCAGTCTACCGAGCTGTTCCTGGTTACACAGCCTCTCTGGCACTGCTGTTACATCTGCGCCTGTGTCTATTTTACACACAATGTTGCTGTGATCCATTTTTATTTCTGTCATCCAAGGACCTGCATCTGCACTGACTGTAAGTGAGCCCAGGAATAGGGCCTCATCCTCTCCATTCTCAGTCAGTATTGCAACATTTCCCTCACTGAACTTTTTAGTTCGGCACACTCTGGCATAATGCCCCTTTTTCCTGCAATGATTGCACACTTCCTCCTTAGCTGGACACTGCTGCAGACTATGACCTTTCATGTCACCACACCTTTTGCATTGTGTAGCTTTTATGATCTTTTTTCGTGCAATCCTGCTAGCTGACTGGGGTGGTTGTGGCTTGGACCGTGTGTATTTACTATCCCCCCGCCGTTGTGAGTGCACACTGTCGAGCTGCGTGTTAACTGTGTCTGCTTTGAAATTTTTTTTTAACATTTCTTGTTGCTTTTTTACTTGCTCGCTCTGTCTTGCTCTGGTGACTGCCTTTTCAAGAGTTAATTCAGGGTCCATCTGTAACTGTTCAGACCGTTTAGTGTCTCTTAACCCAACTACCAGTCTGTCCCTCACCATTTCATCATGCAGCGCTCCGTATCCGCAATGTTCAGCCAGGCAGTGAAGCGCAGTAATAAAACAGTCAACGGACTCACCCAACTCCTGCTGCCTCTGATTAAACTTGGCCCTCTCGAAGATGACGTTTCTACGTGTTATGAAGTGAGCGTCCAACTTGTTTTTGACCGTGCAAAATTCACTCGCTTCGGCCGGGCTTAGATGTAAAGAGGTCAAAATGTCCTCTGCTTCTTCCCCCATCGCATATATCAGCGCATTCACCTGGTTTTCGTCTGCTTGCGTTTCCAGACCTGACGCAATTCGAAACCTCTCGAAACGCTTTCTCCATCTGGGCCAGTCTTCAGCCTTGAACGTGAATTTCTCCGGTGGTGGGACTTGAAACAGGCTCATATTCAGCACCGTAGCGTTCGCTCAGCAACTGTTCTGCTCTCAGGAGCTCTTTACTGAAGTTGGAAAACTGCTGGTCAGGTTAAGAAAAAAAAAGAAGGGCGAGAAAAATCCGGTGCAAATTCGTATCCCGCTTCTTACACCATGTTCTATTGTTTGGTACAATAATAAACCACTCTACTGAGTTAGAGACACAACATACGACTCCACGCACGCTCTTCACTCTCGATCTCCCCTCCTTTATTATCTTTCCCCCCCCCGGTCCCCCGTGAACATTACAAAGGTTCCTACCTATGCAAATGACCTGATACTACAAAGTACATGTTTTTTTAGTACTTGCTGATGCCAATACCATAATGACCTACTTAGGATTAAGGAGTTTTGGTGTGAATGAGTGCAATGTACCTAAACAATTAAGTCATTTAAATTAAGCTGATAAAATCATAAAAAATTTGCTTGCTATGTTACATTAATTACATTGGATCGAGTAGCACTGCAGAGGAGAAGAACAGATAACATGCTGCACAGTACCAAGCAGAAACTGAGAAACTGAACGACAGCAGCTTTGCTAACTATTTTCAACTCAACTTTCCCATCAGTATGCTTTACTGAAATTCAGAAACATCAACAATTTCATTAACTTTTTTCACCAAGCTTTCACAGAGCCCTCCCAATATGTGAAATCATCCAATGAAAACACAGAGAAGAGGCAGAGAGTATTGTAACACAGACCTACATCATGTGCTACAACTAAAAAGACTTCCATGTAGGATGCACATGTGTTTCCTCACTCTGGAAGCCCCCTCTCTCCTCTCTCCTCGATTCCTCCCAGCACATTTACAGAATTGATACATCTTTAAGATGACAAGTCAATCTATTTCTGCATCATGGGCTACAAAAAGGAGGAGAGAGAAATCAAGGAGACTTCAATTTTGAGATTCACCTAAGGAATCATATAGTCATCCAACAGTGCCTGGACAAGCCTCACAGTGTTTGTGCTTAAATCAGATGAGAGCTGGTGGTTTTGTAATGACCTTCATTGCCTGAATGAAGTATCTGCATTTGACTACTATCCCCTGCCCTAAATTGATTATCTTACTGACTACCTAGAAAAAGTTCTATAAATCTGTCCTCTAAATAAGGGGTTTTCCTCCTCCTCCCTTGTGCCACCCTTTTTGCCTTGCTCCTCACCTGTGGCTGATCTGTACCCAGTGCATATAGAAATGTCCATTAGATAACAACACAGAAAAATAAGCCACAAAACTATTAAGCTGATGCCTAAACCAATATGTTTTATTCTGGACTTAAAAACATTAATCATACTTGCATTGCTAATATTTTCTGGAATACTATTCCAAAGTTTATGGGCTGCATAAAAAGGAGCTTCATCAACTGAGCTGTAAGTGATTATAAAAGTTTGCAGTAGGCTTGCCTAAACTAAGTGCAGTGGTCTGGTTGGGCCATAATGCTTCAACATATAAGCAACATGCTGGAGCTAAGCCATTATAAATGTAAGCAAGACTTTATAATCAATGCAAAACATGACAGCAAGTCACTGTATAATGTAACTCCTGAGTAATATACCTTTAAAATAAACTTTAAAAAACAGCTGCACTCAAATCCAGCAATACCAGAAGAGAGACTGGCTCACTCTCTGACTGGCTCACTGACTCTGTGGTCTAGTCCCCTTAAGGTTTTTCTTCAGCATTGATCTGAATCCCAATGACTGACTTGGCTTTTTTCCAGAATTTTGTAGGCTCTTTTTAGAGTTTCTTAGCAAAGTGTAACCTGGCCATCCTGTTTTTGTGGCTAACTAGTGGTTTTTATATTCATGATTTCATATTCTGGAGAGCGTATCTGATCAGTTGGACAGGTGTATGAGATTTTTCTTCATTAAGGTAAGAATTCTTCTGTTATCAGCTGTGGAGGTCTTCCTTTGATTACTAGTGCCTCTTTGGTTACTAAAGTCACTAGTTCTGTCTTTCTTTATAATAATGTTCCAAATGGTAGGTTTTCCTAGAAGGATTAAAACATCCCTGTTTATACTAAGTATATTATTGAGTATCTCTAATAACTGTGTAGTTACACATTACCAATGCATGCAACAGCAATGCAACTACTGATGTTGTATTCATCGTTACAGATGGACTACAACAGTGCAGCTTATGTACATTTTAATAGAGTAAATAAATAATGTGGCTGATTAAAACTCGCCATATTAAATGTTAAATTATGGCCACATTTTTTTCTTTTGAGCTGATAGGAATTCCTACAAATATGCATATTTACAAATTCATAAGCAATGTAATATGCTGTAAAAGGCATTATTTCCATAATGTAATCACTATTTATTTTCACAGTTAATGGGCAGTAACATTGTTTCCTTACCTAGAAAATGTTGTCTTGATATTGATGCTATGCATTACTGTGCAAAAACAGCAAAAAGATATTTTTGCTCACCCTGTCTTCATTGCTCAGGAAGTGGTCAGGCCAGAGAACAGCTAGGCCTCTTTACTAGCTCCTTTTTATGTAGGTTACAGACATGCAGACCTGGCATGAAATGTCAGCTATTAAAATCTTTATTGATCTATTTTAATCATTACTCACGTTTCTCACAAAAAGTATCTATGGCACTAAGGTCAGCAGTTTCTATGACACCACAATACTTTTTTACAAAAAGATTGTAACCTTCAATAAATGTCTGAGAAGAGGGGTTAATCTAGAACCTACTTTTGTCCGTTTTTGTCCTAGCATTTTGCAAAAATTATAAATATTACAAATATTAAACCATGCATTTGCATCAATGTATGCAAACAGGTACAGGAACAGTCGTACAAACACAGTGCTCAGAGTGAATTCATAGCCTGTTAATTCCAGTTAAACTCAGCAAGACTGCAGTTCCAGGTTGAAACCTGAGATTGACAGTGAAAGCATATTGTAAAAAGGAACGATTCTCCTTGGAAATTGTGAAATTTTGATCCTCTCTTGATTAAAGGTGTTTTGTTCTTTCAGCTGTTGATATATTGAGAGTTCGTCCTGGAAAAGATACACATCATGCATGTCACTGGAGGGGTTACAAAACACCTGTGTTATTACCGTATAGAAACTTAAGCTGTATTTTCTGTGAGCTGCAGGAAGTCCACACTGGTCAAATTCACTTGAATCACTTTCACAATGAAGTGTTGTGCTGTTCTGAACGTTGACTGTAATCCCTCCTGACAAAGAAATGCCCCCCCCTTGGGTGGTTTATCCTGTCATTTGTTTGATATTTGATGTAGAAACAATCAGAAAGAACAGAGAAAGAACAGAGTCATAATCAGAAATCATTTCTACTCAGCCTCCAGGTCAGATGTGTTTCTAGGACAGTGTGACATTTGAGACTTCGCACCCAACACTGCCACACTTTATGATGACATCATGCTTAATAAAGTGAAAAGCTAGAAGGGGCATCGATTTTACCTTCTATGTTAATGAGGGCTGATGCTTTTTATGTTTGCTTGCCTTCTAGTTGATTTTATTTTGTTCTGAATACGTTAACCTTTTAAACTCCTTGGAACCACCAGTGGTTCCAAAACACACTTCATCATATTCTATATAACTTTCATATTTCATGAGCTACATTCAAAAGGTCGGTGTCATATGAGGCTGTAACTGTCTTCTTTCCAGTCAAATAGATGGGTAATGTAATTTTAAACCCTTATAATAGAAGAAGCTGAACTTTTTTTTTATTGAAAGTCGACCCATTTTCCCACAAATCTGGGCTATAAACTATAAACAGATGGCATCTCTTCAGTGATCTGCTCTGAAAAAACAATTTTTATAAAATAATACAAAAAGCAAGATTTTTGTCTTTCAGCAGTAAATTGTAAGCATATAGCAATATGTGTGATTATAAAACACACGTTTCTGTTAATTTGAGGGGAACTTTTACGAAAAAATAATAAAGAAAATAAAAATGTACATTTACTTTAATACAGTTAGTGAATAATTTACCTTATGGTTTGGTCACGAAAATTCAGATGGAAAAAAACTAAATATACCCACAAGCATATTAAGCAAGAATTTAACTTGCTTCTAATAATTTATCTTCATGTATGAGTATACTTTATGTTAATGTTATATTGTTTCAAAACTGTTTTGCTGCAAGTCACTGACCACAGAGGGCTTTGACACAGTCTGTCAGCACAATTCTTGATGCTCTACAGTCTGGAAATAACATGCATTACTGATAAATGCTAAAGTGCAAAAGCCTTGTCACTAATTAAAAAATAACTTGTGTTAATATATATAGCCCTTCAAGCAATTTTTTACAAACTTTAAAACATTTCTTTTTTTAGATTTTATTTTTCTTGGATGCTGACCTGGGGCAAATGTTTTGAACCAGTTCAGATGCCAAGCACTGCTGCGTCTGATCCACTCATACCAGCGTAACACACACTAACACACCACCACCATGTCAGTGTCACTGCAGTGCTGGGAATGATCCACCACCCAAGTAATACCTGCTCTGTGGTGGTCCTGTGGGGGTCCTGACCACTGAAGAACAGAGTGAAAGGGGGCTAACAAACAAATGAACAGATGGACTACAGTCTGTAATTGTAGAACTACAAAATGCTCCAGGAAAACAAGGAGAAATACTGGCAGTCACCCATCCTCAAACCTTGAGCTAACCTAGCCTACAACTTACAAATGACTAAAAATCGTCACACTTTATTTGGATGGTCCCCTGTAGATGCTCTACAGACACCTATAACACTAAAAAACTTTCTGGTGATATACAGTTGATTATCAACAACAGTATGGTTATGATTTAGATGAAATCTTTCATACTGAACTTAAGGTTTAATTACATTTAATAGATATTTGGTTGACTGTTACATAAAGACAGAGTGATTTATAAAGCATCTACTGTGGACCAATCAAATAACACTCAACTTCACGTCAAGTTGCAGTTAATAGATATTTCATTGCATGTTACTTAAAGATATACTGAGCATTTACAAAGCATTTAGAGTGGACCATCCAAATAAAGTGTTACCCTAAAAATAAAGTAAGCTAAAGGGCTAACATAACATAATGCATCTCCACAGGGCAGCCTAATTTAACTTATACTTTCATATGTGGTATTTGATGTGTTTTTTCTTGGGTTAGCTAAAATGTAATGTCCCAGTTGTTGGCTGTTCTGAATTGGTACATTTAATGATTTGTAATGCATTGTCCTATTTATTTAC